TTCAGGACAGGTCTCGGGGATTGGTGTTTTCAAGGATCTTCAGGACCGATCAGTATTTGGCGGTATGCGGGACAGCCTTCTTCGACTAGATGAGAAATGGCATGCAGGTATCTCCATCGATCCGCAGGCATGCGGTCTCAAGAAAAAGGTAAAGCCGGAAGGGTTCAAATAAGTAGACACATCGAAGGAGGACTGGTAGTCGCGGCAAACCAAAGGCTGAAAAGCACGCGTCGCTCTACACCATGCTTCGCCGAATCGGTTCGGGGCAGCCAGTGTGTAAGTGTCACAGGAAGGGAAGGGTATTAAAGCCCACCAGCATATGCCGTACGCACGCAGGATTACAATTTACAGCCAACACCGCAGTATTCCGCACTGTCACGCCGTTGCAACAATTACCTCCACCAATACATCTTGCCTACCGCACCTGTGGAATAAGTGATGTTATCTACACGGAAGTACAATCATGTTGGCATTTGATATTCAAGAATTTGTCCGGAAAAACGTTTCTATTTGACCACGAAATCGTGAGTCTTTCCATTTCCAAAAGGGTGCCATATTCGGCCTAATTTCCTTCCGAAAACGCTGCGGTAACCGCAGTCCGTTTCCATTCCCTTTTCGGATCATTCGAGTTATTGCCGATGTCGGTGAGAGTTGGGGTAGTAATCTCGGGCATGATCAGACGTACCGCACATCAAATAATCCAACGCATGACCGCCATCGCCAAGGCATCATAGGAGGTACTCAAGCGGCCGCCACGTATCCATTGACGCGCTGCCCTTCTCATCCTGAGTGAAGTCTGACATCACAAGCCTGTCTCCTATGGCGCGCGAGATCTGCTGAGCAGCTCTCTGTTTCAATACGTAATATCTTAGCGTCCTCATCATAGATTTCTCAATCTTATAACTACGACTACGTCGTCCTCCATCTCATTCCAACATTTGCCCTGCTTTGGTGAAGAGTTTATCTCTTCACTACTGCCGTGCTTCGCCGATTCACTGCCTCGCGTCTCTCGTTTCGCTTCTCAACGCCCCCCCTGCTTCAATAATGTCGATGCCGGTATCTGACGCCTCTCGTCTGCTCGAGCTCTGTCCTTCTCAGAGAAGGTGTATCCAGACGGCGGCATCATCCACTCCCGATACCAGGGCCGTCGTTACTCGCCCAGTTGTCACAGATCTGACCGTACGCATATTCTCGGCGACCGTTTCTCCTCCCACCTGCGAACTGGACCCGCGAATATGGCACCGTATAGAGAAGGACCTCTACTTATATACATCTCAGCAGAGTGCGTGGCTGTATGTAGCTATAGCGAATGAAGCAGAGCTTACCGCTGAGGATCTGCTGGTTACGGATATCCGAGTCGGCGAGCCACCTCCCAACCCTAGCTCAGGTTATTCATGGGAGAGTCGACCTGGCGGAATCTGGGTGCTAAAAAGCAAGTTCTCTGGCAGAATTGGTCAGGCTGTGACAGAGGTGGACGTTCTTTTCGGTGCGGATGCCGTTGACCCACGGCCACAATGGGCTCTTATGCGATCACCGCTCCAACTTAACTGTGGGCCGGAGGTACCGGTTGCAAGACTTAGCGTACTCCACGGCAGGGCCAGTCCGAGACCAGATGCTCGGGTGGCTTTAAGAGTAAGGGGCGATGGAAAATTCAAGATTGTTCAGATCTCTGACACTCACATGGTCACTGGGGTCGGGGTATGCAAAGATGCCATTGACGCACATGGGAAAAATCTGCCAGAGAGCGAGGCTGACCCACTTACGGTAAACTTCATTGGAAAGGTCTTGGATGTTGAGAATCCAGACCTTGTGATTCTCACTGGAGATCAGTTGCACCACGATATTTCCGACAGCCAATCTGCCCTCTTCAAGGTGGTTGCTCCTATTATCGAGCGTTCAATTCCATTCGCAGCCGTCTTTGGCAATCATGATAGTGAGGGCATCCACGCGTTATCCCGTGAGTAACCTCTTTCACAAGGTAGCCAAGACAAAGAGCTAGCGATCGACAACACACTCGGAGTTGTCTCATTTCTCACAAACAGTGTAGACTGCTTTTCACCACTAGTTGTTCATTCCCATTAAACTATGTCTTGGAAATGATACTGCTCATTCTTGCTAACTACATTACAGGTACAGCACAGATGTCAATACTTCAGAATCTGCCTTTCAGCCTCTGCGAGTCAGGTCCAGAGCATGTTGACGGCATAGGCAACTTCTACCTCCAGGTCCTGGCTCCTGCACCGTCACAGCTCTCATTATCCACTTTATATTTCCTGGATTCACATGGTCAAATACCGAGCAAGACACGCAACCCTGACTATAGCCTATCAAGCAAAGCCAAATTGACTGGTTCACGGACGCTTCCCAAGCGCAACGTAGCGTGCGTGACAAGGACAACAGCGATCACCGCCTTCATCTATCTCTAGCTTTCCTACATATCCCTCTTCCCGAGTTCGGTGATCGCCATCTTAGTATACACAACGGTTGTCGGAGGGAACCATCTGAAAGCCCTAGCTGCAATTCCCATTTCTATGACGCTTTGGTCGAAGAAGGCGTATCGGCATTAGGTTGCGGGCACGATCACGTGAATGACTTTTGCGCCCTCCTGTCACGAAAACCGCAGCAGGATGGCGACAAAACCCCTCAGATCGGCCCTTGGCTATGCTATGGAGGTGGCAGTGGATTTGGGGGATATTGTTCGTATGGTGGAAAGCGATTTCACCGACGAACGCGGGTGTGGGAACTCGACACGAGTACCTGGAGCTTGAAGACTTGGAAGCGGGTCGAATATGCCATGGACAGAGTTGATGAGATGGTGCTTGTGGAAAGGGGAGTGGTGGTTGATCCTTCTAGAGAAGAAGATGAAGGCAGGAGATATGGAGTGAGTTGAACTTCGTCTCGGTGATGGGATTAAATTTGATTTTCAGCAGGCGTAGAGGAAAGGAAGAACAATCATCATAATTAAAGAGGAACATACTTTGGGGCACGCCATGAATAAAATGGTAGAAAGTAAATACTGGCTTGCAACTACTGATGAGGGCCAGTCATTATTAAATCAATTCCTAGCGGGGTGTTTATATGTCGGGCTTCTTTATAAATCTCGCGCCCCAACAAACCACTCGTCATATTCATCCTTCCCAGTCAACTCTTCTATTTCTCTCCGCGGTGTGTTGGCGTCCTCCTTCCGGCCCCAACCTCGAACCCATCCCTCCAGAACATACATGAATCCAGGGCCCCAAGAATGTTGTATTCCCCACTGATCCACAATCATCCCTATCGCGCCTCGCATGACTGGCTCTGCTGCCAGAGTCTTCCCTTGGTTAAACTGACTGCGAGAAATGATTTCCGTAGATTTTATCCTCTCCACAATTCTCCAAACATATATCTCATGTCCTTGAAGCTGCGAAAGGACTTCCAGAGCCATCTGCTCTGCTTCGTCATGGCGCCCTTGTCTGTCTAAATTATGCGCCAGGTTGAGCATCACCCGCGGGGCCAGGAGTCTTGGAATGCCTCCGAACTGAGCAAGGAGATCTCGAAGCAGGAGTTCTTCTTCAAGATGACAACCACGCACTTTACATAATCGAGACGAACGGACACAGCGAATCGACTAAACGTTCCGAGCTCGCCATCGAGAATATCAGTGATGCATTTCCAAATCTGTGCCATGGCATACTCAAGGGATACCGAGTCCAGTTCACCGAGAAGCCGACATATTTGACCCCAAGAATGCCCCTTTCTAGTGACTTTTTCGGACACTCTTTTGACGTATCACGGAGAAAGGAGGCTACTCTGGGAAGCCCGGTTTGTATGAGGTAGATGAAGACTTCGAGAAAGTAGGCTAGGGTTCGACGATGCTCGGCTCGAAGGATTTATTCGATAAGAGCACAGGCTTCCGAAAGTGGGCGGCGAAACTACACGTACAACCCCTTTTCCACAAGCATGGTAGCGGTAAAGCAGTACGAGTCGAAGTCGTTTAGAGCATTATCTAACTCGGCGGAATTAGGAGTGATTTGGAAGGTGCTCGTCCGCACCAGCTGACAAAAATGCACTGATACTTCTCCGTGTCTTTGTGACCTCGAGCGATCCGGTACGTTCCTCACAATCCGCTCCTGCTAATGCTGTCAATATTTCCTACCCAAGATTTCACACCCTCTGCTTACTTTTTATTCTTACTACTCACGGTCCGGTTTACTGTAAGTTGGCTCCTGTTGACTAGCAAGTACCTGCGTTGATACGTGATGTGTTGGAATATTATGACCTTTTTAAGTCCGGAAGGAACGATCATGATTGCATTGATTATGGAAGAATTAGTTCGGAAAAACGTTTCTACTTATGCCCACTGTCTCCTTTCCAGTTCCATTTCCAAAAAGACGTGCCGTACGAGTTTCTTTTTTTGAAACACACTAGGAAAGGCAAAAAGGTGCCATTTCTTCCATCCGATCATTCCGCCACACCCGATGTCGGCAAAAGCCTCTTTTTCTATGGTGTTTTGCCCGTTTCTAGGACACTGAAAACGTCATGTCGATCGATGTGGCGTTTTCCTCTTTGGGAATCGTCAGTTTGACGGAAAGTCGTCCGAATCGGCTGGGCCAGACCCTTTCTCGTTTCACTGCTGGGCTTGGCTCCACACCACTTCTTCCAACATGATGTACACGATCGCGATGACAAAGTGCAGGTAGCCCTCGTTGATTGGCTGGTGACTAGGTAGATTCTTCCGAATCTTTTCCGAGAAACTGATTGGTTTTGGGAACTGTTTTCACCAGGAAATTTCCCCTTCCTAATTAAGAACAGTTATTCTTTAAAAGAACTACCATTTTCAGCAAACTACCATCATCAACATCAAGCCAAACGATTACCATCTTCATCAAAACCATCACCGCTTTGGAATATCGACATTACTGTCGTCATAACGATTGCTGCCTGTGTTTTGTCGGAACAGTCACTATTTTCGTCGAACCCATCGCCGTCGAACCCTGCCATTCAGGGTTCAAGCATCAAAAATGAGTCTTTCGAAGTTTATCAAGAAAACCAGGCCCTCGACGAAGAGCATTCTTGGGCAAGACTACCCCGAAGAGGTGATTGATAACCCGCCAGTACCAACGCCCCAGAGAGACATCGAGGGTTACACAGATGGGCGCTTGCGACGGGGTCTCGTGTTCGCTGATACGACACTACGAAATAAGCGAAGAAAAGTGTCACCACTAACCGAACACTGTCTGTTAATGTACACCGCTACAATTAAGGCAGTCCTCGAGGAAGATTTCGATGATAACGATGAGAGGAATATGCTGCTCTCAACTGTCCTAATGTGCGAAAGGGATATCTATACAAAGAACTTCCTTCGCGGCCCCGACGGAGAAGAGCAGGCGAGCTTGATCGAGAGGTTAGCAGAACTTCGACGGTATGAATTCGCTGCAAGATACGGTGATTATATGAGCCATGTATGTCAAAAACTCAAGACTACTGCCAAGGTGTACAAAACAGAGTACTACGAGAGTTTACATGGCTGGGACCGATATTGGACGGATATCAACCATTCGATCAACATTGAGCAAACCAACTGGACGAGGAGGACCCTACGGGACCCGACAGTGACGGATGACGATGTCAAGACAACCCTGACCATATACAATGCATGTGAACATATGGCCATTGACTTCGACAAGATTCTTCAAGTCATCGCGATGTACACTGATCGCAACAGCCTTGTCCATGCTTCAATTTTGAGGTATGTCAAACGAGGTAATTGGCATCTTGTTAGTTCCACGCTTGCAAGGGACCTAAGGGAATTACCCTCCATCACACCATCGAACATCGCCCATACAATCCCACTCATGCAAGAAATCATACGAACTGTGGTTGACGAATACTTCGATGCCCATGGAGATTACGACAATTTTTATCGTTGGTTGGTCAAGGAGTCATCGATTGAGATAACGACAGATATGAACAATACACAGGCAAGGCACGATGTAATGACAAGAGAACACGAGAAACTCCAGAAGGTTGCTGAAAAGAGGGTCCAAGAGATTATTACCAACCATTCTATGATACACTTGACATCAGCTATAACGAGCCTCTCCCCGCCTACTAGTCATGTCTCCACCCGCCTCCTGAAACGGCCGCTTTCTCCGACTGAAAAGGAGGCAAGAGTCGGTACATACAAGCGCCAGAAGAAGGCTTGGAATGCTCTTGTCAGTCTCCAACGACGTACTTGCGATAACTTGACGAAATATAAGTTGGACTATGGCTCTACTGAGCCACCTATGTGCCCTGAGACCTGGTTTTTGTTGGCGGAAGACAAGTGTGCTGATGATGTGGGCGCGGCTCCTCAATGATGAATCGTGATGAGGGGAAGGGCAAAGAAGCTTTAGCATCCGAGAGCGAGAACCTCCAACTTGATCAGCGTCGTGTGGTTATTTGATGCGACAGGATATATACCAATCCGCAGAACGGACAAATTCACACTGGACAGCACGATACTGAGCTCATAGAAGTCGCTGCCCCCTTCTAATCAAGGAAATTCCGATCGACCCGATCTTCAAGGCCCACGACGAGCTCTGGAAGGATGCGGGCACGCAGACCCGACCACTTGGGCCGTCGATATTGCCCGCCTATTGTGCAATTGACAGCGAGATCCCCTATCGAATGCGTCAACGGATTCTCGAGACGTACCAGTAATCCACCGGCTGGCTTCGCCTTACGGTTGCCCAAGTCGCGAGAGGGGGACAAAACTTCCGGGCAATCTGCTTGCTACCCGGGGCACCGCTGTTGCTCACATTCTACCCTTCGCACTTAGGAAATTCAACGGGATGCAAGGCTAAAATTCCATTCTTTTCAGCCTTCGGTGTGCACTCCTACGGCTTGCTCACAGATCAATACCATTGCATAGTCCACCGACTGGCTCCACGTTACGATTGCCGAACCAGCGAGAAGATTAATACTTGTGGGCAACCTGCTTGCTCCCTGACGAGGCCCGCTCATGCAGGGGGAAGAGAGGCAGCTGAGGATGACGATGGGGATGAGAAGGGTAGGGATAGTTGCCGTCGCGGCAGCCCGGAACTGGGGGAAATGAATCAAGCAGATCCTGCAGGTCCTGTTCGTGATGCCGATGGGAACTCCAGGGACCCAGATGCCCCGGCTAGCAGATTCAACAGCAGGCAGCGACCTAGCAGGCGCAGGGTCGGTCATTAGAGAGGCGCCCTCGTTGCCAGATGACAGACTTGCTGGGCACTTCGATGACAATGGGGACGAAATGGCAGGTAAATGAGGAGTCAGGGAGACTGATGAAGGCCCTGGTAACTATTTGATGGAGTGGGAGAATGGTGCCAAGCTAAAAGTGTCAACCGAACCCTGGGCACGGGAATGTGACTCGGATAAGCAAGAGGCTCTGGCAACATCAGGCGCCAGAACAGTATGGTCCTTCATAGGGAAAATGAAGGGGCACTTCATCATACTTCATCACATGATAGGTACAATACACCTCGAAGTAAATCCTGTCTGAGGCAGGGTTCTTAATAGCTACGAACCCCGCGGGATCGTCGATAAATGGCCTAGCTAGTAAGTGTTATCTAGTCAGCTTCTCTTACTTCTACCAACGTGTATGTTTATCATCAGTTATATGTTCGAGGTGTGCTCAGTTGTGCTGCCAAGGTCCCTACCCAGATTACTATGCGCCGAGAGAACCCCGACTTGGTAAGTCTCAATTAGTTGATTGCCTTACACAAAGGATAATTGATAGACTGGAGTCCACAGGTCCCAAGGTGGTGGCACTCGGCCAGAGGCTCCCAGTAGAGGCGGTGACGGGCATTCAGTCTGCTACTGAGCGCCACAGCCAACTCTTCGTAATATTCCTCCGGTTCCTAGCCAGCTAACTGTACGCAGTATAAACACAGACCTCGAAACGGCTCTGTCGGCAAGACGCTGTTAGTTGCGACAAACGTCCCCGGCATAGATATCCCTGCAACTACCGCTATGGAGGCCCGATTAATGCACTCGGTCTTGCCCACTTTACCAATCGGCCTTTTGCACGGTCACATTGGCGGAACGTTCACAGCCGGGCTTCACTCAGGTGAAAATGATCTTGTTTCGTCCCACCTTACACAGGATCGTTTCCATTTCCGCGAGAATAATTTGGAAGAGCGGGTATTAAACGTTCAGCGTGACTCCATTGGGTGGATGAATTGCGAAGCCACAGGTCAATTGCATGGGTTGCAAATATCAAAACTGACAGGTTTCTTTTCATTTCGATGCTCGAGAAAGAACGTGAAACACACCTCAAGGAACGATATTAGTGACCTGACGTTACCACTTGGCCTCCTCGGAATCAAAATTCACACAACGATCGCCCTAGGGGGAGGCACTACTAATACGCTCCTACCCCTACCGAAGACGACGAGGCCAGCGAACATGTTCCCGACTTTGATCGTTTTACCGAAAACGACGAGGCCCACGAGCACATTCCCGATGTCGCCTACAACGCCGAAAACAAGGAGAACAATGAACGCGTTCCTGGCGCTCACCGCACCGTTGAAGTGAAGCCAGTAGCCAGTCAAAGTCTTTTCTGGGAACCTAGTTCACCAGGTGGTATCAAGACATTTTCCAGATCCAACCCCCCCTCGAGCGATATCTCCTTGCGGCCTCGGCGTTTTTCTCGGATTGTCGGTCGCAGCACGAGGTTTCAGAGCAAAGAGAGCATGTCACATGAGTAACCCACTTCCTTATTATATTTTATATATTCGAAGTCTAGTTTAAAAAAAAAAAAAAAAAAAAAAAAAAAAAAAAAGAGAAAGAAAATAAAATATATTACTTAAAATAACCCGCACAAACTTATATCGTTCTAATAAACTTTAAGAAGAGTAAAAGTGTAACTTTAGCCATTGCTCTTGCTACTATTATTAAGGGACAAGTGAAACTGAGGCAATCATCCTTCAATGCTATTATAGGCCCTTAATAACATCGGGAAGTAGCACGTTATTATACTCCCACAAAACAGTAGAAAAACCGGCGGAGAAGGCTGCGCCAGTGTACCAGGTGGAGTGCCGGCCCTGGAGGGCCAGCTGCTTCTGGATGAAACCGGCGCGGAGGTCATCGGCAGTAACCCGCGGGTGCATCTTGCCATGGTTCGCAAAGGCAGGGAAGGTGAGGGCGCCCTCTGATGCAGCAATAGTGCCGGCCTCAGTCAAGGTGTTGATAGTCTGGGAGATAAGCTGCTGCATGCTCTCAGGGGTGTCGTCTTTGGTTCCAACAGCTGTAAACTGAAAGATGTTGTTGGTACCACCAATGTAGTCGAAACGGCCGACCTGAGAAGGCAGGGGGAAGATGGTGTAGTTGCTAGGCCCAGTCTCGGGTAATCTGTTGGAATAGGCGACGCCGATCTCAAGGGATGGGTGCTTAAGAAGGCCAGCATAAACAGTAGTGTAGCCAAACTTACTGAAGACCTGCCTCTCAGTATCGTCAGGCCTGAACGGCTGTAGGTTCTCCATAGTAGGCTCAAATGCAATTAGCAGACGCTTGGCTTCGATGCAGGTCAGCTTGCCGTCAGCACCTGCCACCTTCAAGGAAACACCCCTGTTCGTTCGAGTCGATGAGATGACTGTACTCGAATATAAGATATCATTGCCGAGGAAGGTAGCAATGCTCTCGAAGAGATCATAGAGGCGCCCAGAGGCAGGGACAGCAGCAGCACCAAGGCCAAGCAATGCACGGACCATAGGAATACCTGACGCTTGCATAACAAACAAAGTAGGTACGTCCATCGTGTCACCAAGTCCTTGGGCCGTCGAATCCCATATCTGGGGCACAGCAGCTCCAAGGTCGTACTTCTTTACGAAGTCACTGAAAGACATGAGAAGGTCTTCGGGGATAGATTCAGGCTTGGGGAAATTGAAGAAACCCGGGAGCAGCATGTCCTCATACTGCAAAAGGACATCAAGATATCGCTGAAGAGCGGGATACATGTCCGTGGGTCCGGGTGCGGTATAGTTGGTAACTGGCAGGCCGGACCTGAAATCAATATACTTGTAGTCAAGTGTCGTGAATTCCATGGACCCGCTCGTAGACACATTCATGCGCTTGGGGAAGTCGAAGGTATTCTTGTATTCCATCCACGCTTGTACGCCGATGTTAATGGCCTTGCCGGTATCAGGGTCGATATATGAATCCGTATGGCCGCCCTAAAAAGCCCGAGGCTCCAAGTAAGCAACAGGCAACATGGAATAATAAGAGTGAATATTGAAAGAATAAAAAGGGGAAAATTCCGAAGTGAGAAACAAATCACAAACAAACAGTGGGTTAACTCACGAGTTGGTTAGCCTTTTCCACGACAACCACGGTCTTATTGTGGTCTCGCAGCCACACGGCAGCATGAGCGCCCGAGGCGCCGCCCCCCACGACGACGACGTCGCGAGTGATCGTGTTATTGCAGCAGGCTGGCCTGGCTACGACCCCGCGAACGAGAAGCGAGGCCACGAGACCTACACTCGCACAAATATTATAGCTATGCATATCGTCCAAGAAAAGTCTGGATTTGAATCGGGTCGTGCTTTAGAGGTAACAAGGTGCTTGTGGCTGCATGCGCTGACGGAAGGAAAAGACATATCCTACATTGGTGTGGGTGACTATAAGACATTTATTCTCAAAAGCGGAAGTGACAATTACAGTGCCTCACCTCCTCTCCCGCCGCTCTTTCCGGGCCGCAAGGGCCATAAACACCCGCTGCATTGATACACCCCCACAAGAAATTAGCATATTTCGGTTAGGATTCCTTCTTGGCTACCCCAGGTCGCCTGCGGCGGTTTTCCCACTTCCTCATCGGCCGGAATCGGCCCACTCTGCCATCTGTCACTGGTACTATTGCTGGTACTATTGCTGAGATTACGAACGACTACATAGACGGGCCCAATTCACAAGAGGTAGCTGAGTACATGGACAACACTGTCAACTGCGAGACTACATGGCGACGGGTGGATAACGGAGAAATTCCCAGTTAAGACCTCATGAAGCCGCGTGTAAGAATACCACCCTAGCATCCAAAGTCAATACGAAGTAGCCTGGCTCCTTGAGAGCTGGAGTTCATTACGAAGAGGAGGCCAGCTTAAAAGAGTGTATGTTGAAGTCCTGCGCTACTTCATAGACTAATGTAGGGGGAAGTGTGGCAAGTGTCCTACTTCTAATCTATCGTATAGTGTAGTACTTCGTTTACACATTGATATTTATGCGTCGATAGATTTCTTCGAGAATCTTGAACTCTGACCTACCAGTAGAACAGGTGCTCACGGCCTTACGACTACCACGGCGAGCACAAACTTCCCTCTGATAATTCATGGAGGTTGACAAGTACATGGGAATAATGGAGAGCCCCATACGAAGTGGAACTTGCTTCCCCTGGCTGTGGGGCATTGTCCGACTCGTCGTTTGGTGTCCATTGCCACCCCTGCTCTAGTCGCAACAAAACCCTGTAAAAGTTATCGATTGGAAGGTGATAGGTGAATGGAGTATTCTTCACATGGGATTACTCCGTAATATGCAGGAATCAGACCAGGGTTTTTTTTCCTTGCCCTTGTCAACTCCTGCGGAAGTCAGGGATCGAATCTCTTGATCTCTCTATCTCCAGGCTTTTCTAATCTAAACTACGCCCAGTTTATTTCGTGCAGCCCCAACATACGGAGTAGGTGTAGTAGAGCCCCTGGTGGAGCCCATTGATGTTACCATGCCCATCGGAACTCCACCAACGACCCTCAGACGGTGAGACTACCAAGTAAAAAGCCCGACCCACCACGAAAACGGCGTCCAGGAGGAAGCTAGTGGATGCGTGGCAGGGGCCAAGTAAGTGATATACGAAGAAACGATGCCAATCCTTTTTTATTTATTAAACAGGGTCTAATCTACCCCAGAGAGTGCCGATCCGGAACGATGCCGAGCTGCTGGTAGCCTCTCTTCATTTCTTTTCCTTGACCATGGATGAATTCCCTCCTGAGTATGTGAATGCGAGCAATGCGGGCCGGATCGTAGGCGTCGTTGGCGTTTTCCATATCATCGCTTTCGCCTTTGTCTCCCTGCGCGTCTATGTCCGGCTGTTCATGGTCAAGGCATTCGGCATCGACGATACGCTTATCATCATTTCTGCTGTAAGTATACGCATGTTTGAAAGTGCCTGTTGATTCGGCCGGGAGAAGGGTACTGACATTGCGAGAAAATATTAACAGCTTCTTGCGCTTGCTTCATGGATCTGCTTAATCCTTCAGATACCCTACGGCCTCGGGCGCCATGGCATGGTCGTACCGGTGGAAGATCGGATAAAGTTCGAAAAGATAACTTTCTGGAAAACGGTGATATCGGACGGCTTTGCCTTGGGTTTGCTCAGAGTATCTATGGCGATTAGTTTATTGCGGCTTCAAAAAGACTTAAAATGGTACAGATGGTCGCTCTACGCGGTGATGGGTACGGACTCGTTTTTTTTTTTTTTTTTTTTTTTTTTTTTTTTTAACCCTTCCCTTTAAGCCCCTTCCACACCTTCGATGCTTCCTCCACCAAGCCCGGCCTAATCAATGCTAATCTTTCATCGCAGGCTTTGTTGTAGCGTACTCTATCCAGGCTATTACTTGGCTCTTCGTCTACTGCACCCCGTATTCGGGGTGGTGGGAATTCCAGTGGATGAACCCATTCGACCCAAGATGTCACGACTTTAATGTCTTCGTCAATCTCGTGTATTGGAATATCTGTAAGGCTTTTCTATCCTCCCCGATACCCAACAAGAATTACCTAGTATTAACAGGAGAATACCTAGCGTGCCATATCTTCACGGACGTTTGTCTCGGCGCTCTACCTGTTCCTATTATCTGGACCCTAAAGATGAAACTTCGGGTACGGATATACGTAATTGCTATTCTCAACCTCGGCTACTTGTGGGTTGCCTCTGCTGACCAGTCCCGATGCCTTCCCATAGTTCTGGCAAGCCTGCTCGTTAGAAACTAACCAAACTCATGATAGTGCTGTCCTAATGGGCATTCTCAAGGCCGTGTTCATGCTCACAACCGGTGGCGACCCAGACGCCATCTTCGACTACTGGGTCCATTTTTGGCAAAAGTAAGTTGATAACAGTAGAAAAGAAAACCCCCTTCCAGACCTATGGGCCAATCATTCAACGTGCCACGATACCCTTCACTTACATGATATGTGCAAACACGAACAACAGCCTACAACTCAACATTGGTATCATCGCCGCGTGTGCCTCGTTTCTCAAGCCTCTCGTCGGACGTTTCCTGAAGATCAATAGCTCAGTGGGCTACTACCCCAGCTACGATCGATACGGCCAACGCGGGCACAGCCGCACGGGACTCTCCGTGCCTGGTACCAACAGCAAGCGGACAGGCACCATCGATCGAAGCCTGGGGGACGATTTCGATGCTCCCTCCAAGTATAACATTCGTATTGCGGGGGAAGAAATCTCTCCGGGGAGCACAAGTGTTCAGGGGACACGCGCCCACGTAGCTTCGGTAGGCAATTCCTCGACAGAAGCCATTTATATTGGTGGCCAGCCGTCCGATTCGAATAGCGAGGAGATCATATTGCAGAACTTGGACAAGGATCGCGGTATCATGTTGACTCGGGACTTCACCGTGAAGTATAGCGACAAGTAATAGGTAAGCATCACAGAATTCAACTATGGAAATTTTCCAAATTCATTTAGGGCGGTGCAAGCTAGTATGAAAGTGATGGAATTTTCCATAGCGAACACATTATAATGGCTTGCCGATAAAACTTGTCTTCTCCTCGGCTTATATGTCTGCTTAAAAAAAGGTGTGCGTGCTGAGCACGAACCGTAATAATTGCATCACCCTTCCACGAGACATTGGTGCATCAACTAAGTTTGACTCGGAGCTTGCTCAACCTGCGCGCAGCCCAGTCAAGTTTGCCCATTACCGCTCCCAATGCCACTTCAACCAGATATAGACGGCATTGGAAGCAGTGGTCGATTGGCAAGAATCATGGTGTTGATGGTGGAAACGTACCGACATGTATGTGTATCGTCACTGAATTAGCCGAAAGGCAAAGTCGAGTTCGTACGAGATATGTTCAACCAATGGACGAGAAATTGCCCCAGCTCGTCCTGCATCACAGAAGGCTCCGTCCATCTTCCGCGGTAGAAGTTGATTCTGCGAATAAGGCGAAAAGAGTGGAGGTGTTGAACGTCAAGATAGATCCAAATAATGTATATAAGAACTGCGTTGAACGATCGTTCACAACACTAGTCGTACCATCGGCATGTGTAGAGAACCCATTAGATTGGTGTAACGGCGACCAACGAGCTGTGACTAGGGTAGTGAGATATAAGGCACTTTTGGACATTTCCGGGCGACTGCGGTTCCCGAGCATCTCTGCCGTTTGTCCTCGCCACTTGCTTCAGGTTTCGCCTAGTCGCTCACAAGGGGTTTTATAGTAACACGAACCATGATTGTTGAACAAACCGATCTCAACCCGCCCTGTCTGTGAACTCTCTGCACTGAACAGGAAACTCGATTGATTGGACTGGGTCATATTTCCCGCATCCCTTTTCACAGTGAGCATATGCAGCATTCTGCACGACTACATGCCCATGCCTAGAAATTTGGTGTATTGATTACGTCGGCGCCATCAACGTTTTCCCTGAGCGGAGGTTTAAATCAACACTGCCGTCGTCTTGGCAAGACTAGGAGAATTATTCTCTTGGAGAGCAATGGGCCAATAGGTATCATCGTTTGAGTCTTTTCTCTTGGCCATCTATGCTTCCTCCGCTCACGAAACGAGCTCGAGTGTCCCTCGAACCAGGCTGAGAGCCCCCGAAGTGTTAAATAACCACTTCTGTCATACGGCGTGGCAGGAAAGCTGCATGGGATTAAGAGAGACTCTTCAAGCTCCGGCAGAAAGTACTAGTACTTCGCTTGTATTGAGGAGTATGGCAAGGACTGGTACTGATCTAAAGTCATGAAACATAGTACCACAATAACTTACAGTACCTCTATCACCTTTTCACTCAGGATGGCGCAGATGGGCGGCCTTTCTTCAAGCCGTACCCCGCTCGAGCCTCGACACCTTGGCAGTGGCGCCGTATCTTCATCGCCATTTCCTTAGATTGTCAACCGCATTCTGGGGCCCAGCTCTGACCTCTCCGTGTGCCTTTGGTGTTCTGAACCTTCAAGAACTGCCAAGGCGCTGCATGGGCTCTTCGACATCTCCACTGGAACTAGGAGCATCACGGCTGTTGGCAATAGCGGCTGCAGCATCATTGCCGCCGTAGCATATTTGATTTTCGACCTCAACGTCCGCGTTGAGGGATTGGATGGAGGGGGTGTTTTCGCCTCCTCGGACGTCAGTGGTTCAAGTTCTGTCCAAGTCAATGGCAAATACGTAGCCACGCAAACGTCAGGTGTCGTGATTGCAGACTCTACCTACGTGCTTCATGAAGCCAAGGATATACTCACGTATACTTTGCAAGACCAACGTTTACTCCTACGCAGGCGGCTGCCGTGGAAACACTGCCTCCGGTCCATGTTTGGGAGCATGTTCGTCGACCTCATAGAACGGCCTGCGGTGCTGGGTAAGGTTTTTGGCAGCGTCGCCCACATCTGCCAAGCTTTGGAGGAGGGTGAGATCGACGTCCAGAACCAGGACCGACAGGCGTTCATTGATTTTACCGAGGCCAGTTTTGGGGTCGGATTCATTGACTCCGTTGGCGAAATCTTCCCAGAGCTGTCGTCACTGGAACTACGGCCACACATGGACCTGGCTCTGGGCAAATCCCCAAAGAAGGCAGAAGAGCAGTTCGAGGATCCCTTCGTGTCTATGAAGAGAAACTGGTCCTACGTCGACTGCACTGACGTTGGAGGCCCTCTCCACAACAATTTCAGGATCTGTTAGGTGGCCCTAGCTGCCACCCTTGCCGACCTATTTGAGCTGTCGCATTTTCAAATGGCAACAAACTGCATCCGACTGACGCTGGACTACGGTGTTTCTATTATAGAATACTCACAGAATGGTTTAGTCACCTCAGCATGAAAACAAAAGGCACAACGCATTCTGGATAAATGGAAACGCCACCGCTTCGGCGTCAAGCACTCACCCAGAGATCAGCTCGGTAGCATGCTGGGGGACGTTTTTCGCCTATTTGCGGGATACCCTCCCCCGTCCGAACGCATGGGGCCTATACTGGCCGTGAGCAGCAATGGCGTATGCGTTTTCATCCGGGCTATCGTGGAGGTCAGCTCGCGTCCCGAACCTCTCCGTCGCATCCACATAATCCCTGGCCGAATATCGCGGTCTTTATTTTATTTATTAACTTAAATATAAAAACTGCTAGACTATAAATATATTATATTCTTACTTTTTTTAATTTTTTATTAATTTTTAAAATAATAGTAAGATTTTAAAAATATTAAAAATTTATTAAACTTAATTATTTAATATTTAATAAATTTTATTTACTATTTTATTAATATTATTTAAAAGGTAAAACTATTTTATCTTTATTATATTATAAAATTAATCTTTTTATTTACTTTATATTATTAAAATCTTAATATTTTTTTATCTTTGGCTGGCTCCAGTTCCACCGGGGGGGGCGTGCGCAGCATTGACATTGGAGTTTTATGGTCTGCGAGTTCTGCTGCCTTCAAATCTGCATTGGAGAACGAAAGATACACTGGACTAGCGGAAAGGTCTCAAGGGATGCAATTGTACTCCATCAGCAGGGAATTCAATACTTCACACGGCGTTACCGACTTCTCTGCGATGTCCTGCGACTGGACCCTGGTCTGGGCACTGTGAGGGATTGTCTGTCAGGTCTTTGTCTTGAACACAACTTCTCAGGCAAGATTCAAGCCCTGCTGGCAATGAATTACTCCTTCTAACGGATAAGTAATCAAGATAAAACGCCAGATCATGTCTCTCTATCAAAATATATACAACGAAGATGAAGCGCCAGTGTAAGTCTCACAGGAAGGGTATCAACGTCTACCAGCAGATGCCGTACGCAGGATTACAGCCAGCTCCACAGTATTCCGCACTGTCCCCGCAGAAGCCCCACTGTGAGCAGCACCTGTACGAGGTCTGAGGGCATGTGTAGCCGTTGGGACCGCCACAAGAGCCATCAGGGCCAGGTCCAGGGTTGCCGCCGGGAGGTGGGTTGGTACCGCCGCCGTCGCCGCCACCTCCGCCGTTGCGGGACGTGCGATACCAGTTGGCGGCAGCATCTCCCAGACATTCGCCGACGGTGACAGCTGTCAATCTTAGTCAGCTTTAATTCTGGAGAGTGAACTTGTTCAAAGTCACTTGGTCAACTTACCTCTCTTTCCACTGGACCGAACGGCGTTGATCATGGCAGAGACGAGAGTGTTCGCGGTGGTCTGGTGGACATCGTGGGAGAGAGAAATAGTTCCGCCGCTGTTGAGTCCGTTCTGGAAGATCTGGACGCTCTGGCCGATCTGACCAGGAGTGTTGTACTGCCAATCGAGGGTGTCGATGCTGGCTTGGATTACGTGATATCCCAAGCTTCCGAGCGTCTGCAGCGTCGCGGAGTTGTAGCTGAAGTAGGGAGGGCGCATGTAGGTAGGGAATTTGCCGATGATGTTGAGGAGGGCGTCTTCGAGGAGTGTCATTTCGGAAGTTACGCCTGCAGCGTTGAGACCGGCGAGGTCTGCGTGGCTCCACCTGCATTGGGGATTGAATATGGTGAGTACATTTCACTCTGAGGAAAGAACATTTTCAAGCTAACGAGTTGTTGATGGCCGATTGATTTGATATTTGATATGGGGGCGGCAATGGAGTTGAATGTTCCCGTCTACTTACGTATGGGAGCCGACTTGGTGGCCTTCATTGACCATCCTCTGGACGAGCCAGGCATTATCATAAATGTTGCCCCAGTTCTGGCCGTTGACGAAGAAGGTCGCCTTGGCACCAGCAGCCGCCAATTGGTTGAGTACCGTCTCGGTGTAGATGAATGGACCATCGTCAAAGGTCAAGGCGACGGTACCCGGGGTTGTGCAGTCGTTGATGATGACCCCAACGGGCGGGGCGGCAACGACGGCCCCCGCAAGGAGGGACGCGAGTAGGTAGCGAGCGTACATGGAGTGTGGTGTGTGATTAAGTATTAATGTTCGAGAAGGGGCAGGGGAGGTAAAGGTGAGAGAAAATTAAGTCTAAGTATATATAAGTCGTGACGGTTCGTGAAAAGCTAGGGCAAAAGGGACTCGAACAGGACCGGGACAGCGTTGTTGATATATACTTTGCTATCAGATCAGAGATCATAGCCGAGCGCATCCCATCTCATCCCACACATAATCGGCGCGTGCCTTGTCCGGCAACGCCCATGCTCTGCTGACCCACGTTTCCCGGACATGGTCCTAGGCGAGGGCCGAACCAGTCGACCGAAGAATCAGGTATTTCGATGGCAGACTCTTTTCCCCGCAGTCTGTAATAGACCACAGCGCTGCTTCTTCTGCTGCTACGAAAGACTACGGCGAAAGCTAACAAACAACCTGACTTAGAAACGGGGCGGGCTAACAAACCAGCGAGTAACAAGAAGGCTAGAGGATTAGTGCACGGAGCAGTGGTAGGGATTCTCGCGTGCCAAGATCTGCCGAGTGTCGTATTCGACGTGGTGGTACAGGATGGGCAGACCCCAATGCAAGCCTATCCCGGCCGGTGCAGGCAGGCAGGCTGTGTGTCTCTGGGTGAACACCCTTTCCTCCCCAAAAAATTTCCGCCTCTTTGACCGCCGCATAAACTAATTGGACAGACATGCGGGCAGCGCCGCTGATCATGTGTCGCCCGGTCTACTTGTTCGGAATGTAATCCGGTATGTTGTGATTGGTAGTATTCCGGGGTCCTCGAAATTTACTTTTTCCTTTTATTTCTCCTGCCGCCGACGATTACCTTCCTCTGACATCCAAGGCACAAACTGCATGTCTTGGTGGCTCATTGGTCTGCCCGACGTGCTTTCTTAGTGGTTCCTGGTTTGTGCCTGGGCCTATCCTGGAGTCATTTTAGGGTCTCAGCACTGCATGGAGGCTCGTATTTATGTCTTGGAGGTGCCATGGGCGAGACCCCGAGCGAAAAAGCGAACTGTGGAAGGGCGGGGTACCCTGGTACCTGGAAAACTGATTGGAGAAAACAGACACCAACACATCGGGGTTCAAGGCGCCTCTTTTTCCGATTAGGATCTGGGGGGATGCAGGGTATCGAAGAGTACTCCATAAACCTTCCAAGAAGGATTTCCTGGCTTCGCCTGGTGTCCAAGTTTGTTTTTCTCAGCCAAGGGATCACCACCGATGACACCGCGGAAGCCAGGATCTCTACCAAACTCAGACCCGGCTTTTGTTAACTTTTCCATTTTATTTTAGGAAAAATAATAAAAGTACCAAAAAGACTGTAAGCATAAATTACAAGGACAAAGTCAAAACCAGGAATCCGTAGAATGTCCCATCGGAGCAATTCTTGTTGCCATGCCTTTGGTTCTCGCAATTTTAAAGTGCAGGGCGGGTGTGGAGCATAAACGAGCATCAAGCACGGAACGATACGCTGTTGCCGAAGGATCCCGAGAAATCCTGTCTAGATTTCTTGGCAAAAGGTGAGATAAGCTTCGGGATGATTTCCTGGCCGTCATCCTGGTCCCGGACATCAATCACTTGGTGCAGCCTGGCAAGATGAGCTTGGTGTTGGTCTGACGCTCCGATATTAAGTACCACACTCTTGAGTGAGAATGTGAGATCAATCAATGCTTGTTGCTGCAGACTGCGGACTGTCAGAGGAAAAAGGCAGACTCGCCCCTCCGCGACTGGCCCATTGTGCAGTGCAGTGAGCATCACGTTACTGCAGGTGGCGGCCGCCATCGCCTGCCCTGGGGTAGAGAAGAGGGGCAACAAAACAAAAGAGGAGAATCTTGGAGGCGTAAAAAGCGGGACGCGGGAAGGATAGACATGATTCGCTCCAAGAGGAGGTGGAGACGCTCAGAGAGGAGGAGAATGAGGCATGTCGACCGATGCCAGGGCTTTTCTGAGCGCAGGCAGGAGAGCGTTTTCGGGGCTGGCTGGTCAGTGACAGTCGCTGTGGTTTACTTGCCTCATTTGTAAATATTGCTTCCCTGTCAAGTGTGAGATGCCAATGAGCTCTCGACACAGAGTCATTCCCCTCAGTCCGACTCAGTATTAAGATTACTTTGCATTTTGAACGTCTTTCTGTCGAATGACATGATCATCAGATATGCCATTTCAATTCTAGTAGGGTAAAATCCTCTGGCGATCCCTGCGTACCCAGGCCGGGGTCAAGCGTCGCAGGGCAAGAATACGCGAGGCTTCGACAATGGAAGGAGTCCGAAGGACTCAAGCCACGTCCTGTTAGCGCGTCAAAATTGAGTTGATCCTGAAGCCAAGAAATCCAAAATAAATTCTCTAAATTAAGCAAGCGCATCTTTTTATTTCTTTCAGCAGCGACATGCTAAAGAACAGCGCCTCTCGACGTGTCGCCTTGGCTAAAACATGGCGCCACGGCGATTTGAGACAACCGGGTTTTTTCCTCGACCAGCACTGCTTCGTACGAGCCAAGACATTAGAGAACTTACTGAGCTCGGTCCTGAGAGCGAGAGCCCCTGTCAGGGTCCGCCGACGTCATAGTTGCCCAGTTCGTCCTGGCACGGAGACGATCGTCATGAGAAAATATGGTTATCTGCACCGCGGCCCAATTGAAAGTAAGGAGATTTTGACAGCTCAGGCGAAGGAGCCTGCAAGCGCACTTCGCTTCGCTCCTTCGTACGGAGTAAACTACGGAGTACGGAGTGTGTGTACTGCGGATGGGTAGATTACACCACACACTTCCATTAGATCACTGTCCACTTCGTATCCACCTACTCCACAACCAGGTCCCGTCCCATCCTTCGACTAGACAACCTTTTGTCGATCTCCAGGGGGCTGGGAAAGCTTGCAGTGCTCGTAGGGCAGAGAAGGCATGCCCAGTCCACTAGAGTCGACTCCGAGGGTCCCGCAATTTGACGCTGGCTCGTCCGCTGCTTTTGAGCTCTGAAGATTTTGCCTGTCCACCAAGCCAAATCGGGCTGGGCTCGCCAAGAGCTCACTTCTCCATCCAGCGTACTCCGTAGCAATTCTTGGGAGCAATTCCTCCGCGGTCCATGCCCGAATTGATGGATTTGCGTAGTTTAGTGCGAGGCGGCGATCGTATTCGACAAACACTTGTCAGGAATCATATCACGCACGCTCCTCATCCTTGCTCAGGCTCCTCACAATGCCATTCTGACCTGGTTTGTCTGAGCCCAGTCAGACTGAGCATGGAAAACATGACAGCAGTGAGGAAATGAGCAGTTACCCCAACTTCGCCCTCCCGTTCACCGCTCGCTCGCTGGACCCGAGCCGAACCCCGTGAGACAGCCTCCACCCCATCCATGACGGCATGGTGCAGTTTCTATTTTGGTGCCATGGCACCCTGGAATCTCAGATGCCGGCGTCGCATTTTCTCGTACCTCCACCACCCACATGGCTTGGCACAACAGTTCGGCTCGTCTTACCATCGGGGCAAATTCCGAGAAAAAGGCGGTTCGGCCGTTGTCATTCCCCTCTGAATTGATTTGAGTGATTATTTCACTTCTTTTTGCCAAGACCTATCGGCTCTTTCCACGAGGTTGCATTCGCTTGAAGAGAGAGAGGTGCATCAAAGACACCATAACTCATTCGTGACGTCGATCCCAATAACGTCGCGATCGTGAGAGCGCTCGATTCGGCTCCGGCTCGTGACACGGCCAAAAGCTTTTTTTTTTTTTTCCCTTCCTTTTTCCTATCACGAGACCCACGCCTTCCGTCTCGATGGATGCTTTGTCTGTCGATGATGACGAACTCGATTCGGAGCTTCCGACCGCATCACCATGATTGGATAGATCCAATCGATTATTCTGCCCCCAGACCTGGGGCAATATGGGGTCGCAGTACGGAGTAGTTTAAACTGGTTTAGTTTACTCGTCCGCAGCTGTCAAGGGATCGATTCAGGTCGCGGAAAGGGACAGAGGTCGGAATGAAGGAGATCTAGGGCGTCTCGGATGCACGCATGAGAAGTCGGTATCGTCGCGCATTGCAATTGAACTAATGAGGCGTGATTGGTAGGATGTGGCATTTCGACCGCGCTTCTTCAATTCACGTGTATGAAGCCCTACAACTTAAAGCTGATACTTGCGCTCCAGTCGTTTGAATAAACCGATGCCATTCGCGGAGACGAAGTCGAGACCGATGTTTTCTTTGTTCCCGTATTCTACGATAGCCATCATGTAGCCGCATCTGAAGAGACGCGCTTCGCGCTGCCCATGGTAGACACCTGTCTGGCTGGCCTCCTCTAAACTCCTGGCACGGGGTCCTGTGTTGGCTTCTTAACTCGCGTCGCCGTGGACAAATCCCATCAGACTGTTCTTGTCAAACGAACGGCGCCAATGATTCGAACATTTTTGTCAATTCATGAACTCTTGGTGTCACGGTTAGAAATGCCTAAATACGCATCTAACTTGGTATGTGACACATCCATTACTTGTTCTAGAACTTGATGAGGAAGAAACTAGTACGATACCGCGGAGAACAGTTGGAGAGAAACCCCGGCTTCAAACCATACTTGGCATCAATGGCATCACAAAATGCAGCCAAAAACCACGGTTCGACTGCAGGATTGCCCTTGATCCAGAGGAACCCACCGTGGGGACGACATTGGGGGAACGCTGGTAATCCCATCCTCTTATGTTTTAGGTGTGAGGGGAAACATCAAACCATTTTTCTTTTGACAGGGATAAAATTCAATCTCCGCAGCCTGGTCGTTCGTGCTGGGGGCAGTTTGGCCGCCGGGGGGGGGGTTTTCAATGCTACTTATTCCCGCATCCTGCCTTTCAAGTGGTGTGCGATCCAGCTCAGAAGCTAAGCCACAATTGAATCGGTGATAATTCCGGGCTACTGTGATAGGCGGATCGCTTAATTCAATTTCTTGGAAGTCAATACCAAAGATGCGGATAGTTTGGTGAGTTCGGCCTCTCCACCTCAGACAGAACGTAATTATTCTCCGTATTGCTGGCTGAGAGGTGTGAAGAGCTAGAATATTGGCTTTGAAGAGGGAGCCGACAGCGGCAGTTCCATGTAGTAGAAGTAGTCATAATTAAACGGACTTCACGTCCTCAGAAACCCGAGGTTGTTGGACTAGGCATAAGAATCCAACCATTGGGCTGGAAAAGGACCAGTACGACAAGGTAGACCCGGCTGACCTTGAGTCAGAGCAACCCCAACTGGCGCATCAACAGCATCATTTCTAACGAGGCTTGCTGTACTTGCTCATTCTGCTGCCTTCTCAGTAGCTCCGCCTGTCTCATTCGCTCCTCGACGACGTACTGGTAGCCCGCGCTCCCAAACATCAAGCCTGCTAAAATTGGTTCCTGCTGCTGGTGCTGTTGCTGAATCTGCTGCTGTCTCCTCATCTCTGCCTCGCGTTCCTTCTGTGAAATTACTGCTGCAATTGCTTGGGCTATCTCTTGGCGTTTGGCGGCCTCCTCTTCACCGTTCCGAGGGACTGACTAATGTTTCAGGTCGAAGGGAGAACAAGCTCGGGAGGGAGAGTGTTGGGGACGGGGTAGCCGTTCAGTTTCATGTAAATTAAGTGCATAGCCACGGCAAACTCATCGAGATCTAGCCGGCCTTTGTTGCCGTTATCAGCAAGGGTCCAGATGCGCTCGAGATCAGGCCTCTCCAGGCCACTTCGATCAAAGATTTCTACAGCCTGAGGGCCCGCAATGAATCCCTTATTCATTCCGTCCGAGGCACGGAAGATGGCATCATATTGATGCTTCTCATCTTTTGTCATTGCCCATGGAATCACAGCATTTCCTCGAAGGCCTGCGGTGGTGAAGTTTGCCTGTTCGCAGCCCTGCTGACCAGGATGGCCGGTAGGCTGAGCATTCAAAGGGTGCGCCATATCACCAAGCTCTTCGACCGTGATTTTTTTACTTTCTTCCTCTGCAGGAGGAGTGGGTTGTTCCTCTGGGGGCGGTTTAGGATTGGTGGATCCGGCCTTGGCAGGTTTGTTTGGCGGTTCTGGAAGGCCTTGATAACCATCATGGGTCAAGATGTCAAGGAATCTTCAACCAAGAAATTAGCACCCCTTCGCCGTGAATACAACATATGTGTGTGCGCGTGTGTGTGTGTGTGTTTGGGGGGGGGGATACTTACTGGAGGCCGCAGACCGAAAACTCAACTACCGGATCCGGGCTGTTGTTGGAGAACTCTTTCATACCCGACCACTGGATAACCAAGCCGATATCGACCAGATCGTCGCGATTTCCGTCCACCTTCACTAAATGATCCCAATTCAACTGGTATACAATATCACCAGTCGGAATTGGGAACGACTTCGTTGCCATATTGTCCAATAGTTGACAAGGAAGGGCATCTCCGAACAGAGGTCCTGATGTTTCTGCCGTTTCAGGAAATTTAGACTTTCGAAACTCCCGCTGGTTACGTATAGTACCAATAGATACCCTCATGGTACCCATTCCTTCCTCTTCGATGCGCTCAAGGCTTCCTGGACTAATGTCACGGTTGAATCTAAAATAACCGTACATGACTACTTGATAATGTCCTGGCTGAATGTCGGTCATGAACCTTGCATGTGAGGGTTTGCCGAAGAGCCTCAAGAACCTCAAAGACTTTATCTGCATTTCCTCCATCGCTGGTTGTTCTTCTTCTACCCAGAGAACTCTTTCGGCATTTGTGGGATCCCTTTCCGGGTTGACGTCTTCCGTTTGCATCAACCGGTCGGGTAGAAAATGACGTGTTCCGCGAACAATGGCAAATGCATGGGATGTTTTATGATTCTTAGATGTTCTTTCCTGTTGAAAGCATGGGATGCACAGAACGTAATCCAGGCAAACGCAGCATTGGACTCTAGACTCTGAAGACTTGATGGGGCGGAGCTGGCCGGGGTGTGTGCAACCTTCTATATCGCAGTACGCCGATACGTCGTCTGTAAATGTTGCCGCCTCCTCGACGGTAGTGAACGATGTCTGGGAACGCGGTGAATTGTGACTGGTCTGTGTTGTTTCTTTTCCTGCGTTCGATGATGAGGGTACCGGCTTGTGCGGTGTCGTATAGTATCCGCGAAGGTCTAGCCTTGAATGGTTTGAACTGAAATTGCTGTACGATGACTGCTCGCGCTCCAGCGAAGGCTGTGAAATCTTTGGCGGTATCGGCGGGTGCTGGTACGATCGGGACTGGGGCTGGGGGGGCTCTCTTGGTGCAAAGTAGCCGGAAGGAGGGGTCTTTGCTGAGGACGGACTACTAGATGATGGGGTTGGGGGTACGTACGCAGAAAAGGAGCCCTGGAATGTCTGCGAGGTCGAGCTTGAGCCTGGTGTAAGGACTGAAGGATGTTGCCTTGGCTGATGGTAGGGTCTCGGTGCAGGTGCAGGGGGCGAAGGATCTCTCATCCATCGGGCTTCATTCTGACGAGTCTGGAAGGATGGGGATATCGCGGATGGTCCCACTATGAGTTGTCTTTTTTTCAGCTCTACATTCCCTACTTCAAGGGATGGATGGGGCCTGCCAAGAAGTAATACTTACCGACGGACATTGCTACCAGCTCGCATATACTGTTAGATACAGGCCACCAATTCGCATCCCGGCTGTTGCGGAATGTGACCATTTCTCTATGATCGGCAGCAAGACCATAAGTTTTGACCTCGTTAGGAAGCTGTAGAATTGCTGATTGATGCTCGACGACCTAGAAGCGATCTTAGTCCCCATAGGCGTAATTGCTTCAGCGGAAAGGAGCGCCGTGGACGGCATCCGGAAGAAGGTATTGTATTATCCGGCCAACTTACTATCTGTCCAGCCAGCGGCTTTGTTTCGTGAAACGAGTGAATAGTAAACGGCGAACAAATATTAGAAAACTGCCCTGCAATCTGGAAGAGCACCCTGCTGTTCTGCTTCAAATTCGCAACCGCGCTCGGATAAAGTATCCTCAAACCCGGAGTGAGGCATTTCGCGACGTTGACCACCAATGTTCCTACATCGGCGGTCGCGGAGCCTCGATGAGGCGTGCCGAGGAAAACTATGCCGACTGTCGCTCGCGAAATTTGGATGAACTGGTTGTTGAGATTCGCTGCAATGAGGGCCTCCTTGAGGAGGATACCCCCTAGAGAGTGGCAGACCCAAATGATTTTCTTGTCCTGCATAGCAACTGTCAGGAGCGAGCCCTGTAAGGTCTGGGGGGTTGGCGGAACGACACGACATACCTCATGGCCTCGACGGACCTCCTTCACGTTTGACAGCAGGTTCTCTGCCTGAACTCGAAGATTGAAATCTTGAAGCCACACTTTGGCCGGGTATCCATATGTCCATATCCTTGCTCCGGCGTTTTGGACTCGTTGGTGGATCGCGTCAGGTAGGAGATCTCGAAACCATATGGTGTTCGTGCTCGAATGCGTCCAGGTCTTGGCAGCGCCGCCGTTCAGGCCATGAATTAATATGATGCTAATAAGGATTAAAGCATTGTGTTGTTAGTTATCGAAGGGCAATACGGAAATGGACCTGAAGAAATAGGGAAATGCAGTGAAAAGACCCACTCGCATGTAGCTCGAGGACCGTCGTCGTGGGCAAGGAAGAGCCCGCAATGGTCCTCACCCAGAAAGGGCATGAAGTCGACTCGCGCCTCCTAGACTCTTAGCCATGAACGAAGCAGTTGAGTGATCGGGGAATAGCATACCATGATAATTATATCCTTCTAGACACGCTATTCTATTTGACGTCGGACATGTGTCTAGCAGTTCGCAAGAATGCAATGCCTCTGTGTGAGAATGGCAGGCCAGATTTAGAGTCACGTAGGAGCATGAAGAAGGCGGGGAATCAGACAGAGAGTGGGCGGGCTCGGGGGAAATCTCCAAGGAAGACGCAGCTGCAGGTCCGATATTGGCCGGGGGAGGGGGAACCCTTGTCGAAATGGGAAAGGCGTTGGATTATGGCTTATCTTTCAAGTCTCTAGGGAAAAGGGACGGGAGCAGGCTCTGGAAACACTTGACCACTCTTAGAGCCTGCATTTCCGAGAATCGTCACCAATCGCTCCGGCTAGGGCTTCAGAGTCCTTTCCGTGAGGACTACCGAATTTACAAATTCCCTTTAGAGACTCAATCTCCCACATATAGAGCCACAAAATCTCTTGAAAAAGAACGAAAATACCATAATACTTCATAGGTGGGAACGAATATCAGTGCGGGAAGGGGACCAGGCTGTGAGGGCGCAGCTCTAGGGCGATGGGGCAGTGCAAGCAGATGCCCCACACAGCACCTCCCAATGCCCAATGAGGTATTATTGTATGATTGTCCTGCATTGAGCTGAAATGCTGTCACAATTTGACATGACTCCCGTTACGAGAAGCGACCTTTGTTCAATACTTCGTACAAGGGTCGCCTTACTGGCTGGGTGGCCAGTTTGCTGATATGCGCTCCACGGCCGGGGCTGGGCGCAAGATGTGTAGGATGGTGGGAGCTGTCCGTCTTGACAAGGCCAGGAAATAATGTGATGTCCTTTGGCGATCCCGATCTGGTGGTTAGCATCATCTTCTACTGGAAAGAATGCCAACTTTATTTAGATCAGTGATAAGAGGACCTGATCCGACTTGTCGTAACGCCAGGGTACTCACGACTTAATTCCCGATGACGACACGACGGCCTGGACTGTCTCGCTCGACTCTGGTCCTGATGTTATATCATACTGCTTGGCTTTGGAGCGAAGGCCGACTCAATTACACGGGGTGTGCAGTTATAGAGGTTCACGCCATGCCACGTTTCGAACCGTCCTAACGTCAATGATCAGGCGGAGCGTCTATACCTTATTTGGGCAGCATTGAAGCCTTCACCATCCCATCCTCGCTTTGTGTCGCAAGGAAAACATAATATTGGTGAACTCCAATAGGCTCCTCTTTTCCATGGATCGTTATGTTTTCTGTTCGCTCGGTGGGATGTGGGACTGTACTCTCCCAGTATACAGGCCCGATACCCCCATTAGAGAAGCTCGCTTAGAACTTCAATGTACGTGCAAGTACGTCGCTAAAAGGAAATCCCTCCATCAATTGATGTGCTTTTTTCCACTTGCAATAGGTGCCGATAGATTTGCTACCACGACATGTAGTTCTTGATGTAGGGAGTGACCAGCCACCGTCCTTGTTTGGAGTTGGTTTCGTCACACCAGTCCTAGTTTACGGCAGTCCCGATCCTTCCACCTCATACACCGACAAATACGGACTCACTCGAGTCGCATTCTATTATTAGTCGAGTTTGTCAAATATCATCTTCAATTTTGGTTCATAACACCTGTTGGCGTCTTTTACTCAATCGCCTAGAAAGTGAGTCCGATGGGACCGCAAAATAGATTTTAGTCTACGCACTTTTCGTCTTTGATTTATGTGGTATTAGACAGTCTTGATATGATAATCCGCATTTATTCCTAGAAGGCTTTACAGTTATACTAATAGCCTAGACGACTTGGAAGAGGGATTTTATTGTTCTCCAAACAAGATTGACACCCTTGCGTAGACTATGCGAACTTTAATAAAATACTTTACTGCCAACTGTATGCACAGATAAACCCAACCAGGGCAAGGTCTCGCATTGCACCGTGAAGGTCATGGCCCGGCGCACCAGTTTAGAGCTTCTCCTGAACGGAGGCGATGCCCTGGCACTGGTAGGTCTTAAACTTTCGGGCAGGAACGCGCTCTTGGAACATCTCCTGGATCTCTAAGTAGGTGCGGCCCTTAAGCTCCGGAAGGCAGAAGTAGAGGTAAACACACATGGGCACAGAGAAGGCGAAGAAGACTACGGCACGTTAGTATTCAGATGTATGTAAAGTAGTATTTTTCGGGACAGGTGGACGTACTGAAGCAAATCTTGGCACCGAGGTTGAGCTGGTCGGTGTTGATGAGGTAGGGCATGACCTGAAGCACCAAGCACGAAGCGGCGGTGGCAACCATGATGTTGATGGAGTAGGTCTTCTGGCGAAGAGTGGGGCTGGGGGTTTCACCGCCAACAGCGTAGGCGACAGCGCCAAGCGTCATTTGGTAGAGGAATCCCCAAAGAGTCATGAACGCAACCACGGCGGAGAGCGCGGGTTGCGAGTGAAGAGTGCCGAGGCCGCCGATGAGAAGCAGACCGCAGGTCATGACGATGCAGCCACCGACGATGATGGGGCGCCGGCCAATGCGGTCGACAAGAGGCCAGGAGCAGATGTTCCCGACGAGCTGGATGGCGAATGCAGCCTGGCCAATTGCGAGCGGGTTCTTGACACCAGCAAGACGGAAGTAGTAACTGCACAAAACACCGTTAGAGGAAACTGCATCAACTTCAATTTCAGCGACGCGAGGCTCGTAACTCACGTAAGATAACCCGAGACAAAGTTGACACCGACGGCCTGCTGAGCGACGTAGACCATGCACACAATGAGGGTTCGTCGGCCATCGGGTCCCCTGAAGCACTGAAGCCACGAAGACTTGACCTGAGCGAGCTCAGCCTCTGCCTGAACAGCAGCCTTGGTGGTAGCAACGGCGTTATCGACGTCAAAGTTGGGGCCGTTGAATCGCCTAAAGGCTTTCCTGGCCTCTTCTTCCCTGCCTTTGATCATGAGCCAGGACGGAGACTCAGGAAGGAAGAAAATGCCGAAGAGGAGTAGGCTAGGGGGCACGACCTGAGTGATGAGGGGTATCCTCCACTGCATGTCGCCGTCGAGGGTTTCGGAACCATAGATGCAAAGCGCGTTGAGCCACTGGCCTAGGACAATCATCGTGTTCTATTCAAAACAAGATTCGTGAGAAAAGCAAAACTCAGCCAGGCAGAGAAAGAGCTCTCAAACTTACTACAAGCGTGAGGCAGATACCCCTCACCTTGACGGGAGCAAGCTCAGCAACGAAAACAGGGCCAAGGGAGTGTCCCAGACCTAGTCCAAAGGTGGCAGTGATCTTGCCTCCGTAAAGTTGCATGATGCTCCCAGCATGGTACTGGAAGACAATGCCGCCAACACACAGGAAACAGCCGAGGAAAATAGTCTTCTTGCGGCCGATGAAGTCCGAGATCCAGCCTGTAACAAAAGCAGAAACAAAGAGGCCGATGGTGTTGGCAGAGTTGAGGATCTGCTGGTCACGGGCTAAAAGGACCTTCGCACCGTCAACCTCGCGTCCGAAGCGGTCGAGGAAAGGAACGACGGCCATGAGCTTGCCGAGGGTGGTGATTTCGTATCCAAAGTTGACGGGCAAAAGGTAGATGTAGAGACCTGAAGAGAGAACGGGCATTAGCGTCAGATTCATGCAGCAGAGGTGAACTTGCGAAGTGCGTACAGAAGAGCAAAACTCTCCGGTTCTCCCAGAAGTCCCTGAAAGTAACTTTGCTACGGCCTTGGGGAGCAGAGCCCGACTCAAGATGCTCGACGGCATTTTTATTGTCGCTCACCTGGACCTCATTCTGAGGTTGCGTCTGGTCCGGACCTGCCATGGTGGACTGGAGACCCGCGAGTAGCTATGTCAATGCGAAAATTATACAAGAACCCGAGCTGTGTACAAAAGAGAAGACGGAAGATGGCGTATCCAACCGCCGGGCGCAATCCTTAATGGTTCTTTTGAGTTCTAGGGAAACTCTATTGTGGCAAGGGACATGTAACAGGAATTATATATGACGCCGCTCCCTCGAAAAGTCCGCCCGGTGTGGTGCAGGGGGTCAAAATTTCAGCGAAAAAGTCTGCCGTGGTGTGAAAAAGTCTTAGTTCGTGTACCACTCCAGATCAACTGATCTTGTGAGCCATCTTCTCTCTAAACCATGCCTAAACCTGTCCCCGCACCAGTCGGCGATTAGGGCGAAGTGGACAGACATGAGGGATCTGGGGTAATCCGGGGTATTGGTGCCATGCTAAGGTCTCAATTTCCCCAATCCTGCCAGGGCCAGGGTACAAAACCCTAATTGGAAGGCTTAACCGCTCTCCGCTAGCAACCTTTTCTTGCCTAATGACATTTCAGATCGTTCCACAGTGAGCCATCTCGCAGCTGGGCTATCCATTTATCGGCACTACCGAAGGGTTAAGTCGGCAACTAATTGCCGTGGCCGTAGTAGGCAATTTGAAGCCCCGGTGGGTCAGCTACTGTAGCGGACCCCAGCTTCCCCAAGGTAGCACCGATCCGCGCTTCCCATTATCGGATTAGTCTATCAAAGTCAAAGCTCTAGGTCGGGAAAGCGGGGAAGATGAGGGAGAAGGTAATTAATGTCGGTTCAAATGACGGCATGTATATCGTGAATTCTTTTCATGCTTAATCGGCGACATAGCTTATGATCCGGCGGCAGTTCCGTTCCGAGAGAGATACTGGAGACCGGGATTGGCACGGCGGACCCGGATCGCCTGGTTAAGAATCTATAGGTTAAAGAGCCACTGATATATAACTTCCTAGTACCCGATCTCTCCTTCCACCACGCGACCGCTACCATTGCCTAGCTACTCAAGCCGACATCATGCCCTCTCTATATCAGGTCGTTGGAGCCGTAGTGACGCTCCTCAATGGCGTGGCCGCAGCCAGCCGTGCCTCCCATCAGCCCAGAGCCACCGTCAAGAACGGCACTTACGAGGGTAAATACGTGAAATCGCTGCGCCAGGATCTGTTTCTCGGTGTTCCCTTTGCCCAGCCTCCGTTGGGCGACCTTCGCTTCCAAAACCCCCAAAGCTTAGATACAGCCTTCGAGGATATCAGGGATGCCAAAGAGTATGGCGACTCTTGTGTAGGTTATGGGGTGAGTCAGGTCTAGTGATCCCTATAATAAAGGCATTCTCTGGTGCAGCTAACAAGTTCTTGACTTAGTAGAATAGTGATGCTTGGCCCCATACCATGTCAGAGGACTGCCTCACCCTTAATATTGTTCGGCCCTCCGGTTACGGTGAGGGTTCTAACCTCCCCGTTGGCGTTTTTATACACGGTGGTGGTTATTACCAGGACTATAGCGCCAACGGCGTCTATAACCTTAGCTTCATCGTGCAGGAGTCCGCTCGCATGAAAAAGCCAATCATTGGCGTGTCCCTAGACTGTAAGTGACTCTTGCATCAGATCTCACGTCGAAGGTGGCGGTAGGCTAACACAAAGAAACAAGATCGTCTATCGGCATGGGGCTTCCTCGCCAGCCAAGAGGCTGTTGATGCCGGCATCGCCAACATCGGCCTGAAGGATCAGCGCATGGGTCTCCGCTGGATCCATGAGAACATAGCGGCCTTTGGAGGAGACCCCGCTAAGGTCACTATCTTTGGCGAAAGCGCGGGCGGCGGCAGTGTAGCCTACCAGTCCCTCGCCTACGGCGGTAAGGATGAGGGCTTGTTCAGGGGCATGATTATCCAAAGCGGCGCAATCGGCGGGGACGGCAAGGACCTATCCTCCCGAACGGCGCGTTACAACAAGCTCGTTGCCGATGTCAGATGCGATGGCTCAGAGGAAAAGCTGGCGTGTCTGCGGCAGGCACCCTTTGAAGACCTGAACAAGGCCATCATGAACGGAACTTCCGGGTTCGGCCCCATCGTGGATGGGGAGTTTGTCACAGACTTCCCCTCGGTTCTGGTTGAAGAGGGCAAGTTTACCAAGACTCCGCTCTTGATTGGCACCAATAGCGCTGAGGGGACGCTGTTCTTACTGGGAACCACTATCAACACCGACCAGGAGGTTGCGGATTACATCATGCGGTCCGGTCCGGATGAGGAGACGACTAAGACTATTATGACGCTCTATCCCAACATAGACGCTCTCGGCTTACCGGAAAGCTTTGAGAACCCCCCTAACTCGCCGTATGGTAGCCAGTATAAGCGAGCCGTGGCTCTTGCTACGGATCAAACGTTCCTCGCGTTCCGACGCTCTTGGACGAATATTTGGTCTGATAATGGTCTTCCCGTGTACTCCTATCTTTTCGACTCCCCGCTGCCCGCAAGTAAGTCCATGCACAACTCATACACGTTGGCCGATGACAGTCGCCAGTGATAGATATTTATGAGCCCGGCTAATCCTTGTTCCAGGGCCGAACATGGGTTCCTCGCATTGGTACGAAATTCCCTACGTGTTCTACAACACGCACGGATTAGGAATAGCAGAACATATCAACCCATTCATCAACGCGACGAAGGAGGTACTCCATTTGGCCATGCTCATGAGCCGTATGTGGGTCAGCTTCATCCATGATCTAGACCCGAATCACCACGGTGGTAAGTTTGAAAAATTTTTCATGGAATGGTTAGCTTGCGCTAACGCGATCCGTAGTTCGCTCCGTCGAGCCTTGGCCTCTGTACAACGCTACTCGGGGCTACGGAAAGAACTTTTACTTCCATCCCACCAACTCTGGTACGCAGCCTGACACTTTTAGACTTGCTGGTACTACCTTTTTGAACTCTGTCGGCCGAGACCAATACGGGTACTAGGGCTCCTACATAGGAGACTCCACGAGCCATAAATCACGAAACTTACAGTTTCTGAACCCCTATCTATGGGACATAGTCTTGACAAATTTGAGGAGGGAGACATCTAATTAATTCACATTCCTCGATTTATTTCTGGTCGCTCGGACAGTATCTGTGATAGGCTCTCAAGTAATTCGTGCTAGGGCTCAGAGAGTGCATGAACAAGTGCGAGCCACGAGTCGCGATAGTGAGCCTGGAGAACGTAAAACAGGACGCTCCAAGAAATCAATTGCCGGGCTCCAGTGCCGTTGGGGAACCGGGATTCCCCAAGTGTGATCGGCTCCATGCGTCTCCAACTCTTGCTGTTCATCCTTGGTAGGTCGGTCTCCATGCGCGGGGTACATGTGATGTGCATGCGGGGTAAGGAGCTAAGGGGTTCATTTCCGGGGACATCAGCTTGTCTTGCTGTGGCCCCTTCGTCCCAAGTACGACATTCTCGGGACTGTAAGTAATAAGTAATATCAAGACCGGTCAATATGCAAGACTCCGTGCCACCCAAGCGATGGGAGACGAAAGTATACGTACATCCACCACGGGGGTTGGATAGTGTGCTCCTCAATTAGACTGGACTCGACCACCTATTAACATTTTTCCTCGATAGTGCTAGGGTACATATTTCTAATTCGCCTTCTCCTTGAAAACATGACCAAATCTATTAATGTATCTCCAGAATGCCAGTGTCCAAGTAACTTATATTCCAGCGAGGAAACATCAACGCCAAGGCCATGCAGGCACCTAGCTGCTTCCTACCCAAGGATAATGCTAAGGCGGTCCTCTCCAACCCCAAGAGCCAGAAACGTGGGATATTCTTGAAGGCCAATTCACCAGAGTCGTCGTCCACTTTTCGTATAGATCGAAGATATCTGGGCCACTATCACCGTAGCTTTCTCCCATCGCATCTAGCTTGGAGAAGGCCGTATAAGCCTGTTTCGTCCGTTTTAGAATACTCCATGATAAGGCAGCCATCCTCTCATGCCTACCACAACACCCAAGGTGTCGGCGGCCTCCAGTAGGAGCAGCCATACAAATGACGCCCGCACATCCCTAGCTCAGACCACTCAGAATAGTATTAGCAACGCCTCCCAGAACCTGTGCAACCGCGTTGCACGAAAGTCGAGGTATGCTATTCGGTGGCCTCTGGTTGTTGTGGAGCCTACAGCTCCTCTTGCTCTGTAGCTAGTGGATCAAGCTTCTAGTTGTCGACCACGGATCTGTATGTGCCCGGCGATAGATAGTGGCTCGCGGCCAAGCTACCGTCGGAGAGACGAAGCGAGCGTAGAGGAAAGCTCGGTCAACGATTTCCCACGGGGAAAACGAGCACAATTGTAAATACGTCGTGGATATACCGGGGGAACGATAGACACGAGAAAAGCTGATGAAGGAGATCACCAGAAAACCCAGGGGAAAAAAAAAATCTTGTTCCTTGCCTGCCAGCGACACCATAAGAGGTATAGACCGAGATCACCTCAGGTTATGCACTGACTGCAACATTGACGTTGGAATACGATGGTGGGTTGTATGACCTTTACACGCTAACAGCCAGTGCCTATAATTGCTAGAATTAGTTAGTCGGCCGTAAATACTCTTTCTCCTAACAATAAGTTAAACTACGGCTTGAGAAGGAGATTGCTCGGCGCCTCCGATTACCTATTCAAGAAACCTTATTTTAGATCCATTATTAGCGCCGATTTGAGCAAGCAACACGATCTTTGACCGTCATAAGAATCGGCACATGCGTTCAATCCCCTGAGTAAAGGCCTCGAGGTGGTATTCCAACATTTACCCTGTCTTTTTTGTCTTATTGTTTCACTTCCGTCACTCATTCAACAAAGTCTATTTACAGCTCTGCAAATCAGGAATAAGTCTTCTCTCGAAAATCTCTTGCGCACACGGCAACCCCGCAGCCATGGGCTCCAACACTCATCGGCGGGATTCTCTCGTCCCATTCCCCTCCAGACCCCGCGTCTTCATTTTGACGGACATAACCAACGAACCGGACGACGCGGAGTCCTTCTGTCGCTATCTGACATATGCCAATCAGTTCCGAACGGAGGGAGTGGTTGCTGTCACGTCAACCTGGCTAAGGGATAAGGTGGCGCCCGAGTCTCTCCACCAGATTATCAGTGGCTACGAAAAGGTCGTTGAGAATCTCAACTCGCATGTCCACCCGGACTTCCCTTACCCTTCTGGCCCGGAGATAAGGTCGCTCATCAAGTCAGGGCCTCCGGTGAGTAGGGGCTTCATCCGGCGCCTCGTCGTTCCCGAGTTGACGTCTCAATCACTACAGGTCTACGGTATGGAGGCAGTCGGAGATGACATCCCTCTTAGCGAAGGTGGTGAGCTTCTGCTAGAGCGCCTCACATCATCCGATCCCGGACCCCTCTGGGTCCTCGTCTGGGGCGGCATCAATGTCCTTGCTCAAGTCCTCTATCGAATCCGAGACCGCCCTGATGCCGAGGCTCTTCGCTCCAAGCTCCGTGTTTACGCCATCTCGGACCAAGATGACTGTGGCGGCTGGATCCGACAGCAGTGGCCGGGAATTTTCTACATCTGCTCGGTCCATGGGTGGAACCAATACGGCAATGCCACATGGCTCGGTATCTCGGCCGATGTGGACGAGGGCGGACCGGACAAGTCTAAAGTTACTCACGAATGGGTCAAAGAAAATGTGCAGCTCGGACCGCTTGGAACCGAATATCCAAATTTCGAGTATATTATTGAGGGGGACACACCTACCTTCCTCTACCTCGTCCAGAACGGGCTCGGCGTCCCGGAGGAGCCATCTTACGGGTCGTGGGGCGGTCGCTATCTTCCAGTAAATGTTAGTAGCAAGGGGCTTTCGAATCGAGGGCATTTAGCCGATACGAGAGACACCGTGATTGGGAAGGATGGACGGAAGCACTCAACTAACAAGGCCACCATCTGGAGGTGGAGGAATGCTTTCCAGGATGACTTTGCTGCCCGTATCCAATGGACTCTGACTCCGGACTTTGGCAAAACCAACCACCATCCGGTCATTAATGTGAACGGTGATGTTGGTAGTAGACCCATTTCAATCGAAGCCGATGCTGGCTCAACCATCATCCTTGATGCTTCGGAATCGTACGATCCGGATGGCGACACGCTGTCGTTCAAGTGGTTCCAGTACCATGAACCGAGCGCCACACAGTCGTATCACGGATGGGAAGTTTCCGACCTGGAGATCAAGCCGGTCGGTGAACAGGGCGACAAAGCCGAGGTAACTATTCCCCCAGCAAGCAAGTCTTGTATAGTCGTGAGAGAAAACATCCCTCTGAAGAAAGGATTGTTGCTGCATTTGATTCTCGAGGTTACCGACAACGGAACGCCTTCCCTGACCAGCTATCGGAGAATCTTGATTCAACCGATTAATCCTGAGCTTTGAATTGATCGGGGGACACTCAGAATGGTGTCGTAGTACCCGCTCGACTGTCAAGACAAATTAATGCGAAAGAAGTTCCGGCATATATATAATAGAACAAGCTTCAGTGCATACGCATCTACCCTTCTGTCCAATCTAATCCGTCTTGGATCCGAAGTAAAGAATTAGACGTGTTGCTTGCAACGAGGAATTTATTTATGATCAGAGTAGGTCCAACTGAAAGGCCCGATCTGAATATCCTCCGAGTACCACTTCTTCAGGACTTTGGGGGGATCTGATCTGCCATCCATGTCGCCCAAAATGCCTATCCAAGTCGTCAGGTGGCATGGCATCTCCTCGTATCAAGGAACGTCATTCATGTTCAGATCCATAGGCCCGTATTGTCCTGATCGGAGATTGTACGCGCGCCGAGTCTGGACCGAGTTCTTGTGCTGTCCGTGTCGGCTTTTTTTTTTTTTTTATTATTATTTGTCGGGCATATATTGAAAAGTCCGGGAAAGTAGATGGCTCATTGACTCATAAAGGGGAACCGTCTATTCATATCTAACCATTTTATATCTACATACAATCCAATTATGCTATCCCCTTCGTCAATAATAAATCCAAAGCCGAAGTCCCCAACTTAAGCAAAGATATGGAGTGGGTGGTTGGGAAGATAAAAGCCAGGGTCGTTAAAACGAAGACCCCTGTCAAGGTTGCTGATAGACTGGAGCTCGTCAGCAGTCATATCAAAACCGAAGATGTCGAGATTCTGCTTCAGTCTATCCTTGTTATTCGACTTCGGAATAACAGCAATATCACGCTGAGTAGCCCATCGGAGGAGCACTTGCGAAGTAGTAACATTATACTTAGCAGCAAGTGACTTGATGGTATTATCGTCAAATAAAGCAGAAATATTTTTAGCCTTCTTAGAAAATGCCTCAGGAAGCTCAAGGAAAGACTGAGGGCCAAAGGAAGAGTAGGCTGTAACAACAATCTTATGAAGTTGGGCCATATCGATAAGGCCAGGCTGAACGAGATAAGGGTGATGCTCAATCTGGAGGGAGGAGATAGGGTGTCGTGCATAGCTTATAATATCATAGAGAGACTGGGCTTGGAAATTGCTAACGCCAACACTCTTAGCAACACCCTCATCAACAAGCTGCTCAAGGGATTCCCAGGTTTCACGGATAGGAACCTTATCCTCTTCGACAGTGCCGTTATCATCCATCCACCACGCCTGTTTATCTACAATTAGCTGTGTGTATATATGAGCTAACTACAGCTTCAAGCTCTAATGCTAACCTAAGAATAAGTAATTTATAGGAAAAGATAACTTACAGGGTACTTGCGAACACTAGGGTCGATATATTTTAGGGCACAGGGGAAGTGGATGAGGAGAAGATCAATATAGCCAAGGCCCCAAGTCTCGTTTTGCTTCTTCACCATGTCGATGGCATGCTCCCTGCGGTGGTAGTTGTTCCAGAGCTTGGTAGTGATGAAGATATCCTCTCGCTTCACAAGGCCCTCATCGATAGCTCGGCGGATGCCCTCGCCAGCCTCCTTCTCGTTCTGGTAGTCGTAAGCTCCGTCGAAGAGCCGGTAGCCGACTTTGATGGCATTATAAACAGTTTCGGCTGCTGTCTCCTTGGGAACCTTCCACAGGCCGAAACCAACGAGAGGCATTTCCTCTCCAGAGGCAAGAGTGACGGTCTTAGAGAGGGAGGCCATTGCGAACGTCCGCGGTATACACCGTGTTTGGAGAAGCGGCGATTGTGGTATGAAGGTGCAAGTCAGAAAGCTGATCGGGTTGGTTTGATGTCAAGAAGAAATCTCTGAAGAGGGTCTCTTTGGCACTAGAACATTACTCAGTGCATATATAGCTATGGGCACTTTTACAAAACCACAACCAAACCTTAGCGACAACCCCAGCTTCTCTTCAAGATGGCTAAGGCAGGCTAGCGGTGGTTAAAATTCCTAAATCGGGATATGCGCATGAAAGTTGGGAAGTGGCTTTTCCGAGGTTTTGCCAAGGCTAGGGGGTTCCCCTCGCTTCGAGATGGTGATGCGACGACCTGCCTAGTCCGGACTAGTGTAGACCCAGCTTCTCGTCATGGTTTGCTCTATGACCCCACAGATGTTATGCCTCGGCTTTTTGTTTCGTCCCATCGTGGGTTTGTTGGGGCTCCTGTAACTTTGTCCAATGCTGGCAAGCCGAACCGCACTCCTCTATCTCCGTTTCCCAGATATGGTGGTGACTGATCCACCAGGATGGCCTCCCGGCCGCCAACAAGGGTTCGCACCGGCTGCTTAAAATGCCGAGTTCGACGACGAAAATGTAAGTCTTATCGAGATAAGGAGGAAGAAAGGTCTGAATCGTAATACCTTCAATGGTTGCTAATCCGTTGTCGAGCAGGCGACGAAGGCAAGCCTAGATGCCAACGATGTATTGCAGGGGGCTTCGAGTGCCAATATGGCACGCGACTGTCCTTTCTGCAGAAGAATGCATTCACCTCTGTGACTGCTGGAGAAGGGAAGGAGGCTGAAGTGCCTACACCGAGCTACCGGAAAGTCCAGGTAAAGCAAAACCCGTCATGATTCAGCCAAATGTCCTAAAAGGGGGGTCTTCTGACTGCAGGTGATGATAGTTCATTAGCGACGATCTGTCACTGTCAGTCGGGACACAGAGATCACTTCGCACTCGAGATAATTCAGTCACCTCAAGCAGTGCCCGCTCCATCTCCGATGACAGATCTCCTACCGACTCTCCAGCAGTGTTGAGTCCTCCTCTGGCGCGCTTGCCCTCTGACCGCACATCTCTGACCCGACTTGAGCCACCGCAAGACCAAGAGAGAGCCCCGGGATCTCCGCAGCCCGCTGCCTCTAGGCCAGCGGAACATCCACCTACAGCTAGTGGATACGAGATTGCCTTGGATGCGCTCTTGTCCTTGGGAACAGAACTTGGATCTCCAGGTGGAGAGGGAAACGCACCCATAGCTCCGTTCAGCCCACGTGGACCAGGACCTCCCCAGAGCCAGGCTAGCTCGGCAGCAAGGGCGCCATCTATAGGCCCCTTTAGTCCTTTAACGGCTCATGTGTTGTCCAAACACAATAGGGCCAACAGTCGAAAATTAGCCTTGGACCATTTCGAATTCCAAGGAAACACGCCACACTCTGAGAACACGCCTTTCATTGATGAGTCCACTGAACGGTCAGTCGCTGGTGCTGGCCCGGCTCTTGTCTCAGATACACGAATTCTCGAGATTCTCCGGTATTACCGTTATGAGATTTGCCCATGGGTATGCTGGTCGTCTACTCCTTACGAATGACGTTTCTTGCCAGGCTAACTAGTTTCCCACAGCTTGACATATGCGACCTTGGTCAGGCATTTGGAGTGGTAGCCCCATGTTTTGCGTCCGCGTCCAACGCTATCCTGTACTCTCTCCTCACATTCACGGTTGTGTCCTCGAATCGGTTCGACACGGGCACCGAAGAGAGTGTTCGAACTAGCCTCGTTTCCCGATTGCAATCCATTATGCCACACGTTTCCGACCAAGACGTTTCTACAAACTTATTATGCAGTGTTCTCGCCTTGTGCAGAAATGTGCTCCAAAGAGAACTCGGCGCTGCAACGCGCCAACCACTAGATCATATTGTTGACCTCTTCAACCAATCCATCATCCCTTATGACAGTCATCCAATGACGACGCCTCTTTACTATCTTATGCTGCGATTCGGTTCGTTATCTAGCTATTGTGAACCAATATATTTGACAGTGGGCTCATGGGTTTTACAGATTTGAGTCACTCTCTATCGAATGAACAGCCGTTAAGTCTCCTGCTTCGGATGCCTTTGGATTTTGGGCAAAGGTCTGAGCTGGCTGCTCGCGTTTTCCACTATACAGCCCAGGCACTCGTCCTATGCGGCAGGGTCGTCAACTTAATTCACGGCGGAGTAGAGAGTACCACAGGCCATTCTGACGGCCTACTTAGCCAATGGTCCACACTCGTCGAGGAGCTGGGCTCTTGGTATGGCAATAGACCGGAGGAATTCAAACCGATGGTGGAGGTCGACGGTGAAAGCGATGCTTTCCCGACTGTTCTCTTCACCACGGGCGCTGCGTTGCTCTCAAATCAGCTATACCACACGGCCATGCTCCTCCTGCTAAGCAACAGGCCTCGAACATTCAAAGTCGGTAACTACAAAGCGTCGACCTCTATGTCCTCTCTCTGGCATGCACGAAGAATTTGCGGTATATCTCTGGCAAACGACTGTCGGGGAAGCTGGGACCCGAGCCTCTTAGCGTCGTTTGTGACTGCGGCCAGGAGAATGACTCATTCTACTCAGCATCAGCTCGTCTTATCAAGACTGAGGGAGGTTGGACGCATCACTGGATGGAATATCAATCACTATTGGACATCACTGAGGGAGGAATGGGGCCTATGAAGATTCGCGTAGACTAGATACCCCGCGTATATTTAAAACTAAGGTTTTTCATTGAATTTGCGTATAATGGGAAACCCTGATTGTAAAAAGCAAAATACCAATCCGCTTGCTGTTTCTCAAAAATGCGGAATTGAAAAACTGCTCTTCTTGACTCTGTAACCCCAAACTTCTTCCAAATCCGCTATGCGCCAACACGTTCCCCACCCCGTCAAAGCCTCAATGTTCCATATCAGTTTCACGAGCATAGCATGTTCTGACTTGTGAGTGAGAAGTCTCCCTGCCACCCATAGAGGTTGAATAGCGTTGTTCAAGCACCCATGGTGGGGATTCGTCCAGGAGATGCCGCACACCCGCTTAACATGCCAGAGAGCCGACCCCGCAGTCCCGAGACTCGTCCGTACACGCAGAGGCTTTGGCATCATATCTAGCATGATGATGCACGCTGTGTGATGCAGCTGATTAGAGGAGATAGCTGACCATCTCGAGTATAGAATCTCCGGAAAGGGGCTCGTCTCGACTGTCTTGATTGGCACAAAATCCGGAGGTCTATCGGACAACCATGTCTGTAGCTCTTCCCAGAGAGAGACCCAGCGTTCCTCAAACACCGCTCCCGAGCATCCATTATTCTCGCCGAGCTCGAGGCACTTCGTCCGATCGGAAAGGAGCTCGCAGACACGCGCGCAGAGATATACCGAGTAATTTGCGTGCATATCTGGGTGTGGGGAACCGCTAAATAGGGTGCGCGAGGCCGAAACAGTGTCAGAGCTTGGAGTGTGTGCAAGCCACTGGGAAGGGGGAAGGAGAGTAGACTCTGTGCCATCAGAGATGAGGGCACCACAGAGATCTGATCGCTTAGTTAGACTGTCCGTATGGTAGACACGCAGAACGGGATGAACAATGGGAACAAACTGACCCATGCGGGCATAGCACCAGAATACTGCCTGTAATAACCCACCGCTGAAGCCGTGCACACCAAAGGTGCTGAAGAGGGCGGCACACCCTTCAAGGTGCTTTCGCCAATCCTGCGCGCTCGCTGACATCATCTCAAGACAACATAGGATGGTGCAAATGGGAATGACCTGGGCATCTCGGCCTTCCAGCAGCGGTGCAAGGAGACGGATGGCTTCTTGATATAGCTCGAGGCTGTCGAACGAATTCTTTCGACCCTCCTTTCGCTCCATTTGCCGCGCTGAAAAGGCTAGCACTGCATAAAGAAGGGCGGGGGATGATCGCGCAAGAGAAGTAATTTGCGTCCCGAAGGCACGATCGCTGTCAAACATGTCAAGCTACAATTATTGAGTCAAGTTAATATTTCTTTGTTGACAGAGAAAGAATATTTTGGTGGTGAGATAATGTATACCCACGGAGCGACTTGGTCAACGTAGTTTCGAAGATACTTTATTCGCCCCTCCGTAGCCAAGATACCGGCTGTCTCACGACGGTGCTCCTCGTCGAGGTAGGCTCGAAGATCAGGATCCTGAGGCTCATCATCGACTGGACTACCCTGGCGGGTAGGCCCGGTAGATTGCGCAGTATGGAAAATCAGACTGCGCAACTCCTCTCGGTACTCCTGATACCCCTGGTTCAGTGTGAACTCGTCGGGCCTCCATGTCATCGACGGAGACGACCCGTCAAGAGACAGGCCCGTCGGGGAAATGGTATTGCCGACTGCAGGAGCAGTTACCCCGGACTGCCAAGGCGTCAGCAGATAATAGGACTGCTCCCCTTCAAAGCCATTCCCAGTGGGAAGATCATTCTCTGGAGGTGATGTCATGTTGCGGGCGGCCCGAGCGAGGCCCGAAAGAGAAAGCAGAACTCCGGATTATGACTTCTGCAGGCATAAATGACCTTGTCCGGTAATATCGAGGTAATAGCGGAGTCGAGATTTTAGAGGGATCATTGATGACCTATTAAATTTCCGGCCGGGAGAATCCACGTGGACAGCAGGGATACTAGCGGGGAAGCTAGTCCGTATATATACCGCTCTATTCAATGCTTATTATCTATCCATCAAAGCGCTAGGAATCTAAACTATAAAATTCTTATACCAGTATAAAGCTCTCCACCTCTTCATAGCTCAACAAACTCATGCTTAAGCAGCTCATCCTGCTTGAGTTTCTGAAGATAGCCCGTTACTTTCCTGGCAAGAGAGTCCACGTCAAATCCAAAGTACTTGTAAGCAGCCGGTCCGGGCAGACTATGACCAAAAGTCTTCATAGAAATACCCGCATCCGCGTAGCGCTCCCAGCCAGTAGCGGCATACGGCTCGATAACTACGGCGGGAATCTGGCTGCGGCGAAGCACCTCACGCTTGTATTCGAGGGGCTGTATCTCGAACAACCTCCATGAAGGGAAACTGACGACGCGAGTCTCGATACCCTGCTCCCGGAGCTTGTCCGAGACACCGACGGCTTGACATAACTCGGCACCTACGCCGATGAGAGTGAGGACAGCCTTTTCGTTTTCCTGAAGAATATATGCGCCCCTGAGGACACCCTCACGCTTCGTCTGCGCAAGTTGAGGGAGCTTGTGGCGGCTGGTGGAAACGATGGCGGGCATCCCTTCTGCTTCGATAGCGGCGATCCAGGCACCAGCGGTTTCTTCACTATCTCCGGGCCGTATATACAGTATATTAGGCATGGCGCGGTAGAGAGTGGCCAGCTCAATCGGCTGGTGGGTGGGGCCGTCCTCCCCGAGACCGATGGAGTCATGAGTCGCGGCGTGAATCACCTTGAGACGTTGAAGGGCGCCTATGACTAGATATTAGCGCCCGCGTGCAAAGGCAAGACAATGGGAATGTACACGTACCCATGCGGACGGCCGGTGCCGCATAGAGATAGAACATGAAGAAGGATGAAGTGACGGGGATGATTGTGCTGGGAGAGTAAGCTGCGAGGCCGTTAGCAATGGCGCACATGGCATGCTCCCGGATACCATAGTGTATATATCGTCCAGTATAGTTTCCGTTGATTCCGCAGCCAGTCTTGAGATCGGGCTGAAGGAAAAATGTTAAAAATCCCTGTCAAATCTCTGTTGCGGTTGAAATGGAGCTGACTTACGTGCTGGAAGTCAACCTTGCCAGGCCAAATCATATGGACCGACGGAGATAGATCAGCAGTCCCCACCATGAAGTTTTCAAGCTCTTTGGCAATAGGGTTTAATACCAAACCGGAAGCAGCACGACTGGCCGTTGGGGCGGTAGGGAACGTTCCAGGAGCGGGAACAAGCTCCTTCCACCGAGGAGGGAGCTTCCCCGTCACTCGGTCACGAAATTTAGCCCCGAGCTCGGGGTAAGCCTGCTCATACCTAGCTACAAGACTGTTCCATTCCTCGACGTAGGCCTCACCACGAGCAGGAATACCAGCGAAGAACTGCCTAACCTCGTCACCAATGACGAAATGCAGCTCGGGGTCAAAATTGTAGGCGCGTTTCATGCTAGCAACATCGGCAGCGCCAAAGGCCGCCCCGTGTGCATCAGCAGTCCCGGCGGCTTTGCTACCGACGCCAATAACTGTCTTTACGTTGATGAAGGTGGGTTTATCGGCCTTCTTTGCCGCCAAGAGAGCGTCGACAATCCCGGTGACGTCGAAGCAGCCGTCCTCGATGTCAATGACGTTCCAACCACAGGCTTGCATCTTTTCATTAACGTTTTCCGTGTTTGTGAGCTGTCTCAAGAACTTGTTAATCAACTGTTGACTGAAAAGCCAGGTTTCGCATGGTCTCTCTCACATCAACGGTACCGTCGCACGTAATTTGGTTGTTATCGTAGATTATAGTGAGGTTGTTCAACCTAAAGTGCCCAGCAAGGGAAATGGCTTCAAGCGCGACGCCCTCTTGTAGACAAGCATCGCCGACCATGCACCAGGTATGGTTGGACACAAGACCCTCAAAACCGGGCCTGTTGTAAGTCGCACCGAGGTGCTTCGTAGCCAAAGCAAGCCCAACAGAGTTAGCGACTCCCTGGCCGAGAGGCCCTGTAGTGACCTCGATACCTTCGTGTTCGATCTCGGGATGGCCCGGGCAAAGTGCGTCGTATCGGTCCGAATGATAGGATTTGAGTTGCTCAAAGGTCATGGCCTTATATCCCGTGAGATGGAGGAAGGCGTACTGGAAGAGACAAGTGTGGCCGTTGGAGAGCACAAACCGGTCGCGGTTGAAAAAGTCGGGAGAATGAGGGGCATATCGCATCACATATTTCCACAGCGCAACACCGATTGCCGCCATTCCAATCGCACCTCTACACATAATGTCTCAGTATCGCGATTCGCTCCGGATGTTCACGGTGTTACTCACCCAGGATGTCCGCCATTATACTGTTGACAGAGATCAGCGATTAACAGACGGAACGTCTTGAGAACCAGATCGTGGGAGGCTTTCTCGTCCTTGACACGTTGCCTCAAGTCCACGCATGTCGACTTCGTGACGCCGTCGGCCAGGGCAGCTTCTTCTACGGTATCACCAGGAGCCATTTCCAGATTGTGAAAATAAAGTAGGATCTGTAGTAACACGACACACAAAAAGGATGGCAGTGTAGCAAGATCAAAGGAAAAACCGAGACAAGAAGCTACTTGTCGTTGAGTGTGGAGAGATAATACATACGGGGCTCAACCATGGCCCCTCGACCAGGGGCAATCGATTGGACGAAGCATTTTGATAATTGCGTGAATTCGTTTTCTTCTGTCGGCCGGAGGACCCCGAGACCGCTTTCGCCGTTCAAGTGCATAGGTGGATTCTCCCCTTCGCACATTCGCTAGTCGTAATAATGGGAGCGCACTATTCCCATCCGAGCCTAATTACGGGAGTCTGATAAGGTTCCCAATTAGGCAAGTCTAAGCACTCGGCATTCACCAAAGTCCATCGATCAGCTCCACTCTTGGCGCCCAGCAAAAGTGCTTTCAATGAGACCGAGAACCGCTCATGCTTGCCATTTTGGCAATCGCTGGTCCAACTGGCCGGACATGATCTAGTTGACGCTTTTGAACGTAACCGACAGAGCTGCCTATTCTTATTGCAGTAGTCCTCTTCTCCTTCCAATACCCTCCATCACATTCCCATCACAATGGTAACAACCATCTCAGTCCCAGAGACGGACAGCCGCAACGGTTACCTCCCAACCAGTCATCCTAATCCTTCACTCCAAGTAACGGCCGACCATCGAATAAAGATCGTTGATGCGCCTGTTCGCAGCGCCGGTCCTGGAGAGGTTCTCCTTCACATAAAGGCGACTGGAATCTGCGGGTGAGTGTCGCTTGATCTCGAAGACGATTTCGCAGATTTGCGGCGCATCGTACTGATTTTGACAGCTCCGATATTCATTTCTGGAAGACCGGATGCATTGGATCCCTTGTTGTCGAGGGCGACTGTATTCTTGGCCATGAGGCGTCCGGGGTAGTTTTGAAATGCGGCGAGGGGGTCGAGAACTTGAAAGTTGGTAAGGACGTGCCTTTGCAGTATTGGATTCACGGTCGCTCGAAGGTTAACAGTTCAAAAAATAAGGTGACAGAGTCGCGGTAGAACCCGGCGTGCCATGCAATAACTGCTTCCTCTGCCAGGAGGGCAGGTACAACCTCTGCGAAGATGTGCAGTTTGCTGGAGTCTATCCTTATCAGGGAACTCTGCAGCGGTACAAGGTGCATCCCGCGAAGTGGCTATACAAGTACGAGACGTCTTTTATCCAATATCCTGTCACAGGACACCTTTCTAACGTTATACTCGCAGGATTCCCGACAATATTACCTTCGAGGAAGCCGCACTTCTCGAGCCCCTCAGTGTCGTTCTCCACGGTATTAAGACCACAGGACTTAGCCTTGGGAAGGGTGTTTTAGTTTGCGGAGCAGGTCCCATCGGCCTCATCGCTCTCGCTGCTGCGCGCGCTTCAGGGGCCCACCCGATCGTTATAACTGACGTTGAGCCGAAACGGCTCGCTTTCGCGAAAGATTTTGTCCCGAGCGCCATTACATATCAAGTGAACACAAAGATAGACGCTCAAAGCAACGCCCAGGAAATAAGGAAGCTGTTTGGTGCGGAGAATAACGAGTATCAGGCTCCTCCAGCTGTTCTTGAGTGTACTGGTATCGAGAGCAGTGTGTGCACCTCGGCGTACGCTGTTCGTCGAGGTGGTGTAGTTTGTGTTATCGGTGTTGGCCGGGCCATAATGAATAACCTGCCCTTTATGCACATTTCCCTAGCAGAGGTACGGGTCCACACCGATAAAACCCATCGAAATCAGAATCACGCTGACTTTTTCTAGATTGACCTCCGCTTCATAAACCGGTACCGAGACACTTGGCCTGCGGGCATCGCTTGCCTCAGTGGCGGAATCTTGGACCTCAAGAAGCTGGTGACCCATAGGTTTACCCTTGAACAGGCCGACTGTGCGATGAACTTGTGCTCTGATGTTACCAAGGGTAGCATTAAGGTGCAGATTATCGATGACGTTGACGCGGCGGTATTGGAGTAGTAAATGGGGACGTGGTACAGATACTTGCGTGAGGAGGAATTGTCTGCTGCATCTTCCTTGAAAGGAAGCGTCCGGCATATATATTCTATCTATATGGCGATGAAAGAAGGCCGGAGTTTTTGGAAATAGAGTATTCGATAAATTTACTCTAGATCAACGTCATAACTATAGAAGCTCTGTTTATTTGGATTCCTGGGCGGAGTTGAACTTGGGTCCCCTTTTCCCATAAGCCTTCCACGATAATTTTCTCGCATGGCCGGGAGGCCCTTTAGGGCGAGCTCCTAGGTGAGTAAGCAACAGATGCATTCAGGCTGTTCGTCCCAGGACGTGGAGATAGAGCCCAGCAAGGGAGCACGGTAACTGGACGGAACCAATATCAGCATATACACATCCCCAACTCGATCTTCGGGGATTGCCAGTTCTTTCTTCGGAACTGAGCAGTTTCCACCTCGGCCTGCGCAGGGGCGAGCAAGGTGAGCAAGGGGGTCACATTTTTAGGTCACCCTGGCTATTGTTACTATGCCCACAAAGTGTAAAAAAAAATGTCTATGTGAGGACCAGTCCTGAACCCAGTTTTAGAACCTATTATACTGCTACTTAGCTGTCTTTCGTTAACTAAATACCTAAGGGAACAATACCCAAATAACCATTATAAATTTCTATTTAAATTTAGGATATATATCTATCTATAAAATTTTTCTAACCTTTCTAGTGTCTCTGAAAGCTATATTTATATAAAAAGTAGGCAGTCGGTGGTCTTTTCTCATAAGCAGCCTATCATAGTCTTTTCATTAATGGAAGCAGATAACCTATATTGGAAGAGTGAGAACACTGCTGTAGAGATTGCAAAAAGAGACTTGATGTAAAGGTTGTTACGGGCTTGTCGCGCTGTATTGGCTACAACGTAGGGCCGAGAAATGTCTATTATAAAATAACTAGAGAAGGAAAAAGAGAAGAAAGGAAGGAAAGGAAAGGGGCGGATAATCGAGCTATATCGCAGTAGGGACGCCGGGGCGTCGCCGTGGTGACGATGGGCAGAGATTTTACAGGGGCAGCGCGACGCGCCAGCGGCGCGCGGTTCGGAGACCGGTCGGAACGCCATCGGGCTGGGGTTTGCTGGGTGCCGGCATCGCCGGCACTCGTATTCCGGGGTTCAACCCGTTACAAAGGTAGAGACTTAGACCAATCCAAGCTAGGGCCGACCTCTATCAAGCAATGTCACCAGTAACCTAGCCTTTCTAAGCTAATACTGTCGCTAGTTATAGTCTCTCCTAAACTTAGTAATTAAATGAATAAACCTCCTAAGGACTATTTAAATGACCCTATAAGATATAAAGTGACGCTCGCTGTAAACTATCTATACCCGTCCAGGTTGCTCTAAAGCTAATTAAACCTAAATAATTTAAATAAGCCGTAGAAACCCAGCAGGATATCCGTATTCAGCAGTCCTTGCTAATACAACTATCATGGTCTTGTCCCTAGCGACAGGTACCATGGTTGTCTGTCGACTGTCTCTCTTCGTCGACTGAGCTACCGAGACCGTAACCTTGAAGTCGAAAATTGGTTCCGTATCCCGCCTGTTAATGGTAATCTCCTCGGATGGCACATTTTCCCCATTCGCGAAGATTGCCAAGATTGGGGCAATAACCCCAGAATCTGCTTCGGTCGCCTCCATACTTCCTTTGATGCTGAGTGCCAGGATTCCGGGGACGTCGGATGTCGTTGTCTCAATTTCAACATTCAGAATCGGTCTCCTTGATTTGGGTTTGCCCAAAGCCCCGGCTTCTATGCTAATGACATCCGATTCCAAAGCAGGCGTAAAGGGCGGCTCAAAACGCATTTGAGTCTTCTTCTCATAGGCATTTGCGCACCGTAAAAGGTTTAGATCATCATAGGCGCGACCAGCAAAGGTCAGCCCTACCGGCATCTGCTTTCCAGGAATAATACCCATTGGAACCGTGACGGACGGAATTCCTAGGTGGCGGAGAGCTCTGTTTCCGTGACTATACCAGACTCCGTTCTTCCACGCGTGCTCGGCTGACTCTGGGTTCACATCTGAGTCCTCTCTTGCCACATCTCCTTGGCAGGGGAAGACGAACAAGTCACAATTGTGCTTCTTTAGATAGTCGTCGAAAAGTTCCTTGCGCATCGTCTCGAGTGCCATGAGGGCGTGCTCGAGATTCTTCGTCTTGTAAATATCGGGGGTTTCCCAAACATACCCATCGAGCTTACCCCAGTGTATGGAGTTCGACACAGGCAAGTGCTTCAGCTCAACGGGCGTGCGCATTGAATGTGGAAAGATGCTGAATTCGTCCACGGCTGACAGGCTTGACATGTTCTGATCCGCATTATTGCGCAGGAATATTTCCCAGCCGTGTGCAACAATGGGACCTCTTTCGTACCAGGGCCAATTCTCCGGCAGGCGCGCTGCTCCCTCGGGCAATAAATCGCGATTTTCATACGCCGTGACCGCCGGGAAATCGGGAACGAGAATGACTTCAGCTCCCAGGGCCTCCAGTTCCTTCCGTGCACTCTGCCAGAGTTGCACAACTTCATCGCTCGTGAAGGCCGGCGTGGCGCCGTTGGGCGTAGGCCCGCCAATGTACATTTCAGGAACTGCAATGCGCCAACCGGCAAGGGATGTGTACTTGGAGATATCTCGGAAGAATCCCGGGTTGGCGGCTGCGGTTCCCCAGGGCTCGGGCAACTTGACAAAAGGCTGATCCCTCCAGAAGTCGCCGACCGTTGAAGTGTCTTTAGCAGTAATGACTTCGGGGACCCGGAGCAGGTCATCCATCGATCTAGTGTGCGGCACGACGACATCGCACGTAGGGTACAGAGGCCAGTTTCCACGGATGGAAATCAGGCCTCTTGCCGGCGTGTAAGCAACGAGTGAGTTGTTTGACGCTGGAGATCGACCGGACGAAACCGTCTCCTCCGCCATTCCGAAAGCTGCCATTGAGGCAGCAGTTGAAACTGCAGAGCCGTTCGAGGATCCAGATGACCAGGCGGCAGAAAGATATTTCGGGTTATATGGACTTTCGGCCCGCCCGTAGACACCCCTCTGCATACCCCCGTACGCCATCGGCGGCATGTTGGTACGGCCCATGAGCACGCCGCCCTCGGCTCGAATTGCGGAGACAGTAAAGGCGTCCTCATTCGCAATCAGATGCCTGAATGCCGGAGACCCGCTAGCGACCGTCATGCCTTTGACTTTATAGCTATCCTTGACTGTGTAGGGAATCCCCTCGAGGCGGCGGACTGGCTTCCCAGCAGCTCTCCAATCGTCTGAGGCGGCAGCCTCATCGAACACATGCTCATTCAAAACGGGAATGGCGTTGAGTTCCAGTCCCTGACAGTCATATCGAGCCACCCGACGAAGGTAGAGAGCAACGAGTTCTACGCTTGTGAGGGCACCCGACGTGAGAGCTGCTTGGAGCTGGTCAATTGATGCTCCGACCACACTGAACGTGTCCATGATTGCTTTGGAGGAATATGTGCTTGATGGAGGAAATAGTTCGCCACGGAAGATAAGAATTTATTGGTAGAGAATACGGACTTGGTGTTTCCGACTATTGCCTCCATTCGGGCGAACATCTAGGACCGCAAGGACGGCAAAAGGCAAACATATAATGGGACCGTTTGGACCCTGCTCGCGGATTTCCGTGGCCTAATTTAGTTCAACGCCACTTGTAAAGCTACCCCACTTGCGGGGCAATATGCATAGCTACTGGATATGGTAAGGGTGGCCGAACTCGAGTAATGGCCCTCAAGGCGACGCTAGTGAGACAAAGCGAAGACTCGGGCCTCTGGACGGCATGGCTGGGTGGGTAGATTGTGGTATGTTGCTTGGGATGACCGTCTATATTATGCTCGCGTGAGATATTCAACTGAACCTCACTTTTGAGCTGTATCTAGAAAACCCCGAAAATCGAAAATCGATCCGACACAGAACGTCATGCCGTCCCAAGCCGTCCGCCGCATCAGTCTCCGCTGGCTTCCGGATCCGGCGTTCGAGGATACGGATACCGTGGCTCTTAACGTGGGAGGCTACTTCGTCGATCTACGCGTCACAAAGGATACTGGGGCCATTCAATGGAGCCGAGCGGGAGAGAGGATCGTTCTGAAGGAAGTGCCCCGTAAGTTCGGCTTCCAACGCCCATGTCGAGATTCGAGATTGCCCATTAACCAAGCCGGACTTGAAGCAACATTCCGCTGGACCCACATCATCGACTCTCTTGATCTTACTGTCCCCGATGATGCCCATTTTGTGAAACTACCTAATGGAGACAATCTCGAGGTCGGCACTACCCCAGCTCCGCATTTAAACAATGTCCCTACCGATTACGAAGAGGTATGGAGAGACATCACGGATAAGTCGCCCGAGGAACTTTCTTGGATTCTGGAGAGTAGCGACCGGACAACTTTCATTGGAAAGGTGGGATGCATCTTCCTCGCCATCCAAAAGACAACCGAGGCATTCTCCGCCCGGCGGGAAGATCGCCAGGCAGGCGTTTGGAAGATCACATTCAACTCCGGAATCACTGGACTTCCAAGTGCATATCAAGCAATTGAAGCTATTGAGTCTAAGAACAACAGCTGGGCCGTGGGTCAGAGTGTGACGATTGGTGGCGTCGAATTCATCTTCCGGGCAGTTAGCAAGGAGTGATCGGCACGCGTGTGCCATCTTTAGGAGCAGCGTAGTTAGATAGACATACAATATTTCTTCACACCTTCTCCTCCGAACCATTCTTGATATCTCAGGCTACAAAAATTTTATTTCCGTGCTGTAGAGCACTTCTCCTACCATCATCACTTATCTTAAGATGACGGACCACCTAATCGGGATTCAAGCACGTTATATGCTAACTTTCAACGCAGGCAACGCAAGTCGGGAATCCGCTAGCGCCGGACTCGCGCGAATATCCTACCTCCTGCTCCTGGCGTTGCGTGAGACTAGTCCGATTTGGGAGTTCGACTCCGTCACTGTTGGTTATGAGGTGGAAACATCGACGAGCTCTTTCAAGCCCATGAGAGCAGGGGCCGTTTTGTCTGTGAGAATCATATCTTCCTAGGAACCCGGCCATAAGCTGTGGGGAAATCAAAGACAACTTGAATCCTTATCGCGTTAGCCTATCTTGGGATTAGCGTTATCTCCGTGCCCAAGAAGCGTATCTACTAGTGCTATCCACCAAGCAGTAATTCGTTCGATCCCGGAGCCATGGTCCTACAACTTTGGGGAAAAAGAGCGACGCGGAAATCAGCGAGCGACGGAATTTCGCTAGCGCTTCAAGGGATCCGACATACCCCAGGTTGGTCGACGAGGGAGGATGTAGACTGGCCAATCCCCAGATTCAATCCGCCATCTCGGTACCCGGCGGGAGCAGGGTTATCGCCAGCAGCATGGCCTTCTTCCCTTTTTGGTCTTAAATGCCTGTTCCCATTTCCAGACATATCAATTGATCCTTACATCCGGCATTTCTATCGCCTCAAAGTCATCCCCGGCTGGGGTGGTTATAATCCTTCGAGTTCCTCTACCTGCACATTCCAGTCATATCGCATTCTTTGGTGCCTCGATTCTCTAGAGAAGGGAAAGAAAAGGCCTCTTCGAGACATTAGAGCAACAGGAAGATCGTTACCCACCATGCCATCCTCCCGAACATATTCCATCCAGCAAGCATCTGAAAAGATCGCACCTCCTATGCATGATGACAGCTCCAAAACTGATATAACGGAGGGGGTCGGCGAGGTCTTCCAACAGGCCGAGTACCGCGCCTTGGGATGGTAGGTTTCATTCTGCCACCCGCACCTTGTCACGAGACTAACGACTTCCTATGTGCGGAGTAGGATCCGCACCGCAATCATTCTCATGAAGCTCTGCTTTGCCACCGGTGTATTAGCTATTCCGTCGGCATTTAGCATTATCGGATATGGACCTGGAGTGATTCTTCTCGTCTGTTGGGGCGCCCTGACAACTTGTAAGTGTCCCAGCGAATCGTCTGCCCCTACCCGGATTCTGATCGTCACCAGATTATGCCTACATAATGTACGCCTTCCGAATGAGGTATCCCGGTGTCCACAATATCGCCGATGCTGCTGGTCTCGTGGGTGGCCCGATTGCCCGTGAGCTTGCCAGCGCGCTCTTTCTCCTCACTTGGATGTACGTGCCTCCCCGTCCTGATTTTCGGAACCGCAACAGAGTATTAATTCGCCAACAGTCTGGCGTCTGGTTCTGGTTTCATTGGACTCTCCCAGGGCTTTCAAGTACTATCCACCCGTCATGTTTGCACCGTTGTTTGGACCCTAGTTGCTGCCATCTGTACTATCTTGGTTGCTAGCATCCGGACCCTGGGCAAACTCGCCATCTTAACTTGGATCGGATTTGCTTCCATCTTCACAGCTGTCTTCATAGTCGTGTAAGCTTTAGCGTTCCACGTGAGATACCCCCTTATCACTGACATATACGCTCTTAGTGTCGGTGTCACCCAGGTAGACCGGCCTGCCGCCGCTCCACAGGAGGGTCCGTTCAACATGGAGGTCGTGGCTGTTGGTTCGCCGACTTTCATTCCAGGGTTTGTCGCTGCCATCAACCTCTTTGGTAAATTCTCTACTTTCATTCCGGACTATTCATCCCCAGCATGGATATTGATTCCATTTTCTAGCTGGCTACGGCTCTACCCCGACCTTCATGCCCGTGATCGCGGAGATGAAGACTCCCAAGTCCTTCACCAAAGCCCTTTTCACATCTCAGGCATTCCTAGCTTCCTGCTATGTCTCCTTCGCGCTGGTTGTCTATATGTAAGTTTAGACAACTCTGAATTTCCCAGCGAGTGATTGAAGGTCTGACCTGTATCAAGTTACTGTGGTCAATATGTTGCCAGTCCGTCGCTGGGTAGTGCTGGTGGACTCCTCGAGAAGGTTGCTTACGGCATTTCCATCCCTGGTTTCATTATGACTTCCACCTTGTGGGTTCATCTTGCGGCCAAATTTGTAAGTTCATCTTCTTCTACTCCTTCACACCCCGAGCTCTGAGCTAACAGGCCACGTAGTTGCTGGTCCGCATTCTCCGCAATTCCGAACATCTCCAGGATCACAGTCTTAGTCACTGGACAGTCTGGCTGTGCGTATTTCCTAATACCCATCCTTCAGATTTACCCGCGATTGCTAACAGAAGATATCTTCTAGGGGCTCAACTCTCAGTATTGGCGCTCTTGCGTTTATCATCGCCGCTGCTGTCCCATTCTTCAGCTACCTCATCGGTCTTATCGGCTCGCTTTGTTGCGCTCCGACTTGCGTAAGTCCCTCTAACCCCATCAAGCCCACCATCTGGAACTTCTGGCTGACCAATATTGACCTAGTTAATTATTCCTGCGTTTATGGGCCTGTACATGGACTGGGAGAAGCGTGGAACAAGCAGGGCCAAGGCTGCCATCTGCTATTTCCATATTTTTACGATCGTTCTGGGCGCATTCATCACCATTACTGGCACCTACACTACAGTCCAGAGCATTGTTGATGCCTATAAACTTGGCACCGTCGGAAAGCCTTTTACTTGTTCCTGATCTGTCAGGGATACGAGCGTAAATGCCTGGAAATGGTATTATATCTGGTGATATTCTAAAAGAAATTCGCTACGATATTCTTTTAAACCCGAGATTTGATGCCATATTTTTTTGGATGTTTTACCGGTGCCGGCAGGCTATATTTACATGTACATTCCGCATATTTTCAGATTGGATGCAACCGATTTTTCTGTTATGCTTTTAAGCCACTTTTTCTGGTGTCTACGACGGTAATAATAGTATCGCTTAATTTTTAAGTTGTCAAGTCTGGCCGCCTTGGTTCTTCAATCATACGTTGGCTTCAGGATGATTCTATTCTAAGTAAGCACTCTCGAGGCTAACAGATATCTTCGGCGCATAATCGAGGTTACACTCCGTCTGCTTCTCCGTAAAATTCATGTAATGTCCTGGATGGTTTCGAGATGTTGTGTCTCGGAAACTTTGCTTCCCAAGGGGGTTTTGCGGGCTGTCTACGATAACCATTTCTCTTCACCGTTTAGAGCCTCACATTCCGGCTTTTGATGATGTTGACTCTACTGAGGCAGGACGGCTAAGGCCTTCAGCGCTCAGATAAGATTCAGTTACTTAGTCTCGCATAGTATTTTGACAAGATCGATTACAGCTTGTTGCCAAGGTTCACGTGGATGGCCTTGGTCTGTGTGTACGCGTCGAGGGCGTACTGTCCCAACTCACGGCCTATACCGGAAGACTTGTAACCGCCGAACGGAATTCCGAAGTGGGCGTCGCCCGAGGAGTTCACAAAAACCATGCCAGACTGGAGTTTTCTTGCCAACCGGTGGCCAGTTGTGATGTTCTCCGTAAACACTGCTGCTGAGAGACCGTAGCAGCTGTCGTTGGCCTTCGCTACTACCTCGTCGAAAGTCTTGAATTTAGAGATGACAATTACGGGCCCGAATATTTCTTCTTGGACAATTTTCATGTCTTCGGTCGTCTGAAACCTCACAATTTTAGTTCTGAACGACTGACAGGGAGGAGGAGAGAAAGCGCCAGGCGGGGTTCATAAGGTTTACTTACATCCGCAAAAACGGTGGGCTCAATAAAGTACCCTGCATCGCCATGCTTGACACCGCCGTGGAGCAGACGTGCACCAGTCTGTTTGCCCTCCTCTATATATCCTAGAATCTTGTCATATTGTGCCTTCGATACCTGAGGTCCTTGCCAAGTGTCCGGGTGAAATGGGTCTCCCAGGCGGTGATGCTTCCTGGTGATGTCGACAAACATCTCCAGGAACTGGTCGTACACACCCTCTTGGACTTATATCCTAGACGTGGCGATGCAGGCCTGGCCCTGATTGTCCATAACGCCCACGTGACACCACTTGACGGCCTGGTCTAAATCAGCATCATCAAAGACGATGCTGGGGTTCTTGCCTCCACATTCAAGAGTGATATTTTTTAGATTCGACGCTGCCGACTGCATGATTGCCCTCCCAGTAGCTGTGCTTCCGGTGAACGCGATCTTGTCAACGTCCATATGCTCGGAGAGGGCCTTTCCGGAGACACTTCCAAGGCCCGGGATGATGTTAACAACGCCGGGCGGGAAACCGGCTTCAACGATGAGCTTCCCGAAGTATAGTGCAGAGAGAGGCGTCTGCTCGGCTGGTTTAAGGACCACGGTGTTTCCACAAGCACGGGCCGGGGCGACCTTCCACGCTAGCATCATAAACGGAAAGTTCCTACAACCTTAGTAGCTCTCCTTGAAGAAGAAGATAGGAACATTCGTAGGTAAACCAACTAACCAGGGGATGATCTGCCCGCAGACACCGAGGGGCTCGCGTAGGACGTATGCCAGCTTGGTCGGATTCGTCTCAATCGTGCTCCCGCTGAGCTTGTCGGCAGCTCCGGCGTAATATTTGAAAACATTAATGGAGGCTCCGATATCCAAGTTCAAGGCCGCATTAAAAGTCTACAAAGTCAATAATAAGCACGAGATTTCGAAGAATATGCACTTGCCTTGCCGTTGTCAAGCGCGTCAATGCTTGCGAGAAGCTCACGGTCCCTTTCAATCAAGCTAACGAGTTTGAGCAGGAGATTTCCACGCTCGACAGCAGGCAGCTCCGACCACTGGCCTTCGAAGGCCTTTCGCGCGGCCAATACGGCAACGTCCACATCGTCCTTCGATGCTCCTTGGAGAGTGATAATCTCCTCCTCGGTTCTAACACGAGGTTCAGCGGGGGTGACTCGGCAATTGAGAGGGATGGCACATACATACGATGGGTTGAATACCGTGAACTTATCGCCAGTTGCTGTTACATATTGATTGTCGATAAACAGGCCTATGGGCTGAGTGTATGTAAGCCCATTCGGGAAAGTAATCTCAACATGCGACGCTGCCATGGGTGCGTTTCTTGACAGATTCTCTAGCTGTAGGATTATGTGTAGAGAAACGGAAGTAAAAACAAGGTAAGTTTAAGAGGATAAGTTTCATTCCTCCATAGGCCTTTTCTTCAGACAAAGTAACGTAATGTACTTTTCGATCCTATCCCGATGAGGGGGCCGTCGGACTAAGTCACATTCGGGATTTCACCACCGCTTCCGAAATCATTATGGAAAAGGGGCAGTCTCGTTTATCTTACCGCGAGACGAAGGCAAATGCTGGTGCAGGGGGCCAGCGCTAGCGGATAACCGTTGCATACAATGACATCTTCCACGGGAATCCGCGTCGACCGGAAATCCGCGAGGGTGGAGACGTAAGTCACGAATCCGCGAGAAGAGGCTGTCCGCCACTTCCATGATAGCACGCAATGCAGCCATATTAGTTACGCTTGCTGATCCATTATCGCCGGGAATGGCCCGGTACCCTAAGGAGGTAAATAATCTTCCCTACAGATCCTTGTTTTGGTCATTCCGTAGTTCTTCAAAAATCACGCTCAATCCCGTTAAAAGATTGTCTGGATCAACTTCTAGAAGCATCAGTAGCGAGGAGCAACGACCGAGGGGTCGTGAGCGCTCCGCTTCGTCGCTAGAGGTTAGGGTTTCATCAGTGATGGTGCTTAGACCCATCCTCAGCACCGCATGGCTCATAGCCCAGCTCGTTGGAAACACGACCGGAGGGGTTTCTTCCTGTCCCCGCGAGTACAACCGCGCAAACAGCTGCTGATGCTGAACGAGCTGCAATCCAGCCTCGGCCAAGGCTCCGCACAGTATCGGCATCTTCCCTCCGGGGGTGGGCCAGAGAAGGGAAAGCAAAAAGAGAGCGAGGGAATGGCCGAACTGCCCCCATGATAAAAGCACCTCCCTAGACTCCTCACCAAGGAGGGTTCCGACTAAATCCTTCCAACGGAGGAACCATTCGTCGAGTCCGCGGCGGTAATCGAGAGCCTCAGTCGAGGCTCGACTTGCAAGTTCGTCAACACGAGGAGACTTGAGGTTGTACCTGAGAAGGGCACTATATATCTGCATAGTTTGTAACGAGATGAGATACGAAAAGATGGAAATTTTCTCTTCTAGAGAATCCGTGGCACCACTTGTAAGTTCCTAAAGTAGAGCCATGTTAGTGAAAGGCTGATCAAGATTCACAAGTGATTTACAGACCAGCCGAAGTGCATCACCAATATTTAAGAGACTAGGGCGCCCAAACGCGATAGATACTTGGCTGTCACCCAGACGTCAGCACGCACTCAAGTCAACACCATAGAAGTACTTTTCATACCTCTCTAGACAGTATAGAGTTCTTGTCAAGGTGCAAAGAATATCATGGAATTCATCAACTTCCATGGAGGGGCGGTGCGAGAGATCGAAGAAGAGCCGGATTGCGAAGCCCAGATGTCTCCATATGTCCCCAGATCCGGGGCTGAGTAGGAGGTAAATGCAAATCAACAAGGTCCTCTGAAAAAGAAAGATGTTTTCTTTCCTCGAGTAGTGTTCAGAATTTGTGCTCATAGCTGCCGTGGCTGCGCGAAAATAGAAGTCTGCTTCTGCGGCAAGAACCACCTCATTGCGTTTACAGATATGTGATCCGATAGCAAGAACAAGATAGAAGAACTCCCGGGTGTAACCTTGGGCGTCATCTCTTTCGGTTGCATAGCATTGAGAAAGAATTTCGTCTAGCTTGGCTGGTTCCAACACTGGATAAAACACATTCGCAGAGCGGGCGAATAGGCTGAAAAGGCTGGTCGCAGTGTCCAGGGACGGACGACTGACGGGGAGTACGACGGTGTTTCCAAGAGCGTAAGGAGAGAACCGAATGGCTTGATGGATGATTGTTGGGACCATGAATGTCTCTCGTCGACTTAAACATCTCCGAAGACATCCCAACGAGCTCCAAGGCCCGAATGATGCGCTGAACAAGGTATCCTTGTAGAGAGTTGATGAAGCGGGTGAAGGTTCACCGTCTCCTAGAGGAATTAAGACGAGTGGCTCAGGAGTGGCGGTTGTAGTGGTTTCGCTCAAGATATTTGGCGCGTGTTCTTTGGATATTTGTCTTATATTGTCAACAAAGGAGACAATTTTGCTGTAAAAACTGGTAAGCATTCCTAAAGAAATGGAATCTATTGTTTGTTACGAGTAGGAGATGGACGCACCTCATAGGGACGTTAGCACCAAGAACTGGGTCGAAGATCAAGCACTCCCGTGACGCTCGCAGACACTCCTTACAAGCTGGCAGCTGCTGGTGGCACTTTACTCGACGGTCACGACAGAGACTGCAGGAAGGCAGAGCTCCTAGAAGGCTCTCTAGTTCAAGATCTGCATTCGGGTTTGGTTGAAAGGAGTTTTGCGATTTCGCTGGCGTGACATGCTGATACTCATATCATATGCGCTACCGTCATGGCCAATCGGATTCCTGAGGCATGTATCTGCCAGTTCCCGAATGTAATGCGCCGTATCTGATACAGCAGGCCACCGTACGGATAGAAGGTCCTGCAACGCGCATTGTTAGTTTGAGGGATATAACGATTGGAGCATTTAAAAATACCAGAAGTTGACCTAGCACTTGAAGTGTTTCATGCCCGGGAGTGAGGATCATCGTTCGTTCCAGCTCCGTGGCGTGATTGCGAAGGGCGTAGAGCAACACCATGCCGGCTTGGAAGGCACTGTTGGCTAGTTCAAATACCATGACAAAGCCACCCGACTGGACCACCTTCATGTGTGACTTGATGAGGCGGATACAGGAACTAGCAGCAGCAATCAAGGACGATTCGGAAACTGTAATGTTTCTCGAGCATGGTCTATGCAGCAGAACCTGGCATTGATGGGCAGAAGCTTCCAGTCGGGAACGAGCTAATCCATCAGCTGCCACTTGATGAACAAGATTATCAATGAGCCCATCGGTGTCCCTGACCCAGCCATCGTAGTCCTCTGCATCGCTAGGAAGGGCCTGGTCAAAGAATTGGATACCATGAATTTGTGACTGTATAATGCGGACGCGGGTGTGAACGAGGAACTCGATTTCCTTGAAATTGTGTGATCTCTGGAGCCCAAGCCCTTCGGGATTGGAATGAGGGTCGTCGCCGTTAAAAGGGAGTTGAGTAGTGATGTGTTCATCGCTGATCGCTACAGGGCATCCAGCAGCAATGGCCACGGTCCTATCCAGTTGGTAGATCTATTTTTTTTTTCCCCAAGTTGTTAGCTAGTGACTTCTATCCGTAAGCTCACTGTCGACCCACTGTCCAAAAGATCTTCCTTCGTAACTCAGCGTGTACTGGGTTGGGTACAGTAGCCGGGTCGGGCTCCTGGTGAAGCCCCAAGCTGACAGCCATTCGCATCGCTTCACCCGTCGTATACCAGCAGTTTACGATGTACGGGAGGAGAAGGCCGAGCTCTATGAGGAGAAGAATGCACTGTAGACTTTGAATAGATGACTGCTTCAGAAGTCTAACATGTCGCATGGCATCTGCATACAGCGATTCGCTCAACGCCGCGACTTTTGCAAAGTTGTGACTGTTAGATGTAAGAGAGCTAATGGCTAGGATCATTGGTACGACAAAGTTAGGCATTGTTGCGCCCGGAGGCTCCGAAGGCTCCTCGTCGTAGAACTGATCAAAATAGTGATTGAGGTCTTCCACTAGAAAGCAGGGAAACCGGGGGAGCAGCTCGTCTTGGTAATTCTTGAAGAGGCGCCTCGCTACATGAATCGGGACCCTGTGTGCCTTGAAGTGGGTAAACTGAGAGCTGTACGCACTCCCGGCGGTTCTAGGGTGAGTGTCATAATAAATCCCGTGAACCGGGATTTTCAACGGCGGGCGCTCAGAGGGGTAAAAGAGTTTGGCCTGATGCTGTATCTTGTCGTCGGACTTAAATAAGCTCGGGGTCATGCCAGCAGTTATCGACAGGGCCGCCGTTTCCAGTACCCAGAGGTGGCTCCGGTCGGAACCACTCACGATTCTGTTGAGTGAATGACCGCTATTAGTCCCTCTAATGGCAGGTCTGCTGCATTGAAGCTCTGCCAGCCGCTGCTCCAGATGCTGGACAATGCTAGCCAAGAGCTCAGTATCCTTTCGTTTATTCTATTTTATTGTGTTCCTCGGGGATACGTACCTCCGTGGGACTTCCGTGGAGGTTTGCCGACTGATTGCCATGCAGTCTGTTCCCGCTGCAATGCAGCGGCGACATCTCGGGGTCCCTCGATCACACTGAGCCAGCTCCAGTCAGCGGCGTTCATCGACAGATAAGGTGTACGGCGTACCTTTTGCTTCAGTTTATGGCACCTTGCGCAAGCCCGGGTAGACTGATGTCTCTTTGATCCTGAATTGGTATTCATTATTTACCATCTTGCTAGAGGGTCGTGTTGCCGTTTATGCTAGAAAGAGAAGCTTTGATGTTGCTTCAGAGAAAAGAAAACTACATTTAGGGGCGAGGGGAGGTGCACACGTGATTCCCCAAGTCTTGACTAATTCGCCTTTCCAAGCTCTGATATTGGCTCTGCTCATGAATTCTCGGGATAGGTTTCGGGACCTTCCCGCTCTCAAGACAATGACTTCATTAGAAATTGCCTGATACGAACTAGTCATCAGGGGGAAATCGAATTTCATTGACAATCCTCCGGGCACGGGACCCTGGCGCTATGACAGCCGACCCCACAATCAGCACAATTGGGGGCTATTGACAGCGCACGCTGACTCGCACAGCATCGTCAAGGTAGAACATTCTCCGAAATTTTGTGATACATTGACTCGACTGGATGACTCGACCGTGGCCAGCCGAAGTGCGGGGGGCAAGGAGCATCCGGGGCAAGTGTGGGGTAGCGTGTCAGGGTCTTCTTAGATCGATGTGCCTTCGGCTACCCATTCCTCGGGACGGGATGACGATGCAATGCGATGCAATGCGACTTCAACTATCTTCTATGTAGACCTTCCATCAGCTCCCTTTGAGACAGATCATGACAGTTCATGTCTGAAACAACGAATCTCCTCGCCTCCACAACTGTTGGATCACATTCAATCCCCTTCCCCTGTCCTCCATTCCGACCTGAACCATCATGACACCCGCACCGAAGCTCACATCCCTTAAGGGCCGAGTTGCAATCGTGACGGGCGCTGGTGGTGGGCTTGGCCGGGAATACCCCATCCTACTGGCCGCCTACGGGGGCTTTGGTAGTGGTGAATGACTACGGTGGTACCCTAGATGGGCAGCGAGGGGCAGGTTCGCGTGCATAGGCCGCTGTCGAAACCAATGCGTGACTCTTGAGACTCCCAAAATTAGATTGGCGTGAGAGCAGTAAACGAGGACCTTTGAGCAAATCACTCGAAATAGAGACGTAGTTCTTCGGTGATACCCACATTGTAAAGGTACTATGGGGAATCAAAAATATTTGGGAATATCTCGAATGAAGAATCTGCAATCTCTCTGTCAAATTGTGTATTCTTCGCAACTTAACGAACACAAGCTACTTATGCTTCCAGTGCTACTACCAACATTAGGACTCCAACAGCTTCAGAGTTACTCGGGATAATGTAGCCATTTTGCAGCGAATCCTCAAGTCTACCGGAAGCCTCGCGCTATCCCTGCAGGCGCTCTTTAGCCGATTTTCGCAGGCCTCCTATTATGACTTCTCCCACGAATTCGACTTACTAGACACCGACGCCCATTACTCCGTCTTCATCCCGGCCCTTATCCCCACGAGACTCACGGGTCTCGTGATGGTATTTCTCATTATTTTCAGTCACTTGTTGGCGGTTTTCCCGGCTGCTACTTTGTTCATGAGCCAGAGACAGTTCGGACTATTTGTCGAATTTTTGGCGGGCCTATGCGCAGATGCACGAGAGCGGTTTGCAAGAGATTTTAAGCGAGGCAATAGTAGCGCCTGATCTTGAGGTAGAAACCGATTTGAAAGAAACATAGCAAGATACCGTGAAAATGCGTGTGACATATTCTCATGAGGACCGGAAGCTCGGTTTGTTGCCAGGTATGGGGTCTGCCTGACGGATGTGGGCTATATCACTGGGATAGTGTCGCCTTTCTATTATATTGATTAAATCTATTAATTACCACTACTATTTGTATCTGCCCTAGAATTGTTTCTACATTGTACTAATAGCTTTAAAGGAAGCTCCTTAGATTATTGCATTTTCGGCTTTATATGATTGTATACGCAACTATCTATAATTCGTTAGCTCTGTGACGCTGCACTATATCGGAACAAATTTAGAATGCTCCGCGGATGACTGTGAAAGACGTTTTCCAACCAGCCTACTTCTCTCGGGTCATCCCGGTACCTCCAACATAGACGATAAGATCCAACGCGTACGCACACGCTTTAACATGGTGATCGTCCTGACTTTTGTGCGGGGCAGTCAATCGAGCTCTCCAAAGCAGACCTCTCTAGAAGGCCTCGGTAGCTATAGGACTCGGTTGTTCCTCAAACAGCCCAAAGAGAAACCGCGCCGGCTCGGAGCAATCCTTTATCCCTTCTCGTCCAAACTCCCTCCCCGCTCCGACACGCTCACTACATGGATTCATCCGGCTGAAGCTTGAGCCTTTCTTTCACACCAGCGCGTACATCAGAGAGGGGTAACGATTCGCTCGCCCATTGGGACTGCAGCAATTCTATTTTCTTGTCTATACAAGGGTATTTCTTCCTGGAGAGGCGCATAGAGGTGGAAGTTGATCGGGGTGAGTTTCCCCACCAGGCGCAGGCTGCCGGAGCGGGCATCACCGAAGGGATCGTGAAGATTGACCAGTTGAATATCGGCAGAGATATATGTTCCTGCCGCTCTCATTTTTTTTTAAAAAAAAGTCTATCCCTGTACAACCTGAAACTGGAACTCAACCGCCGCCTATCCGTCTGGAGGAAGGCGACTCGGTCCCTTAGTCTCCTTGGCCCATTAAGTTCATATAGGAGATGGCACAGAAATTCAGCCGTAAATTGCTTTGCAACTGCAGAGAATGCTGGAGGCTTGTCGATAGCTTTAGTCAAGCGGTGTCGAGAAAAGCCTTCACTCCATTTTGACCACGCCCGATATTCCGCATGCCGTCCGGTCCAGACGCTTTCCACTGTGTTCTCATGGTCTTCTGGCTTCCCTGTCAAGCTCGCCTGTCATTCCTCATCGTCGCTTGCATCCGTATAACCATCACCCGAGTTAGCACTTGGCTCAACATCCCAGTAGCCCTCGCTCAGTGGAGTGGGAGATCTAAGTGACATCAACGATTCTCTCTGTAGGTCCTGCGCTGTGCTTTTGAAAATGTTCCGCCCCTGGACAACAAACTTGCTATCCTCCAAACAAGACCATCTCATCCCAGCTTCGCCGAAAGTCAGCACTCTTTTTCATAACAAATGCTCCTACAATGTGCACCCTCGCGAGTGCAATGGCTCTGGGGACCTAATGCTCAAGCATCCAGGCCGCGCCAGGCCTACAGAACGATGGACCCTTGTGTAACATCCCGACATCGGTACCGGAATGGGACGGCGAAAGTCTAGCAATTCTTCCATGGATGCTTGTGGGATAGGTCCAGAAAACCATCACTGGCTCGGGCAGCTCCAGTTGCCGAGCTCGCCGAGGGAGCGTGCTGATATATTTGATCCATCTTGGGGATTTCTCTCAGCATATCAGCCTGGTCATCTCGAATAATACAGAGGTTGTCGACCAGAGATAACCATATCCAAGAGAAGAGCTGGCGTACCCGATACTCGCCGACTGTTGGGACAACATGAGTCCATGAGTGCTTTGTCGCTCTCTGTTGTTTGCTCTGGTTGCTTGATATGGCTGGCAAGTCCCCAGGCCTCAGTATAAGATAGCTTTATCGGAAGGTCCCTTGTTCGCGGCTTCGGTTTCCACGAGGCGAATGAGAGGATCCTCTCGACCCTGAACGTCAAGCAATCGACTCGGACTGAGGCCTGCCTGCAGCGTCTCGATGGCGGCGTCTTTCATGCTTTAACACCTCCCTCTGATACGGCATGCGGCTGGAAATGCACTATCCGAATACCTGCAGTGGGTCCTTATAGACTTTGGAGGCTGTCGATGCACGTAATCATGGGCCACTCACTTTCGTCCTCTGGAAAGATCACTGAGATAGGTTAGCATCCCGTTGCGATGAGCAGACCATTTGAGATACCTTCGCCTTCCCCACACGATACAACAGCTCGACAGGCTTTAAGTACCGGAGGTCCAATGAGTAGCCATTCCCTTATACAGACTGATGCGTAGAAGTTGAAGTCGTTTCAAATATTGGCTCAAGCCTGACGCATTTCGCATGTACAGAGGGGAGGGCGTCGGATAGCTTCAAACTCCACTCCGGTTCTGTTTTGTCTACATCGATGATGAATATTTCCGGGAGTTTTCCGGGGATACGCGGTGGTTGCTCATCGCCTGCTTCTATGCCATCGACATCAAATCGGGGACATGAGTCGATTGCCCCGCCTGAAAAGTGGTGGATTGGCCGCATGGTCAATCTCGAAGATGCTTCCGAGGAATCAACCTTTCCTACCTGCCAATTTCGAGGCGCTGAGCAACACTAAAGCCGCGTCGTCCGGTAAACTTGAAGCACCAATATCATCACACTTCTGCACCAGACCATGTCCCAGCCTCTAGTTACTGCAGCAGAGCATCGGGCCAAGGCCTAGCGTGGTCATGGTGTCTCGCTGTCTAGCTTCGCTGACAGAGAGGGGGTAATCAATTCCTCAGCCAACGCGCAGAAAAGACCTCTCTTGATCGCTTTCAAATTGCGACGACTGGCTTCTGTCAGGATTCATAAGCACACTGAAATTACTATGGGAAGATACATACACCAACCTCTCAAACACCTACGACCCTGAAATCCGACACTAATCTCGAACGCAGCGCGGCGGTCTGCTCCAAGGAGACTCCATGCCCTCATGTCCTGCACATCGCCCACGGGGACCCATTCCTGAGCTATACGCTTGGTCGGTGCTTGGCCGGCGTCATGATACCTCCGTAAGACAATGACGGTAGGCTTAGATGGAAATGCTGGGTTTGCACGCTAATTGGCCTTTACCCTAGGTTCCAAGGTCTGGGATCCGGAATGGCATTCGCATCCGGATCACTGGGGACGTATCGATATTGTGAAAAATCTCTCTCCCTTGCCCTAAGCTGCGTTGCCTAGCAGTCACAATATACTACTCGACATCAGCTCGCTGCCCAGTAGTGCTAGCTTGCACTACCCCCGTGGCAATAGATTTTATGCACCAAGTAGAAACATAGGTTATGTATGCCAAGGCTAACTTATCCCAGTTCAGCGTCAAGGAATATGCCCAACAATGAAACGCCATTCGGCTCATCACGTGGTCCAAGATGCAACACGATGGGACAAAATAGGAGGGGAAATCAAGAGTCGCAGAAACAGACCAAAGGGCGAAAGCCATGGCGTCGATTCCACCAACGATCGTCCCTTGCGCTAGGGAGTGCCTGGAAACTGCGATCGTGGGTATCGGCTGCGATGTAGCGGACACGGCATGCGTGTGTACACCCGAGAAGTTCGCCACGCTATCCATTGACCGAAACCTCGTGAATTGTGTCATAAATTCATGTAGCGGTTCTGACCTCTCAGGTAAGTCCCTGTCGCGAGCAAATCGCCAGCCGGGGCACGTAGAAAGAGAGGCTAACTCCAACTTAATCCTTGTTTAGAGGCTTCGCGCGTGATACCCAATCTATGCTCGGATGCAAACGACCCTAGCGCATCGTCGACACCGGACCCTACGACATCCCAATCCATCGCCCCCGAGCCTACCATCTCTGAAACCAGCAGTACTGGGAGTTCCGCACCAGAACCCGAACACGAACCGAATCGGCCATCCGGCGGCTTATCCGCAGGAGCCAAGGGAGGAATCGCAGCGGGTGTTGTGATTGCCATTCTCATAATAATTGGTTTGGCAGTGCTTTGTTGTTGTCCGCCAGGATTTATCAAGCGATGGCAGAAACGGAAAGGCGGAGCTAGTGGGGTTCACCAGGGTCTAGCTTCCCCGCCAAAGATAGATGGCAGTAGGGCAGAGCTAGACGGGGTGCCCAAGTCCGAGCTGGAAGCGAAACCTGCCACCGGATACGGCTCCGCGATAAACCCCGCCGAATTGGGCGGGGAAGACGCTGTCAACGTAGCACCTGGGTCAATATCGCGGCTCGCGGGCAGCCCACCGACCTCTGCACCACATTCATATTCGCCTTCTGAACAACAGAACCCGACGGGTTGCTATGACGATGGTTATCCTGTGATCTCGGAGCTAAGCGCCACGCAGCAGACTGCCATGCCACCAGTCACCTCGACAACATCGCCAGAATCGGCCTCCCCACCACCTCAGACCAATACAACCAGTCCGTCAACGGACCCGGCAGCAACGGCACATCTCGCTGTGCCCACGATCGATCCAGGCTCTACCGAACTGGAACAGCTACTCCGATCCCACCAGGAGCTCGAGGCACGGCGGAAAACGCTGGAGGAACTTAGCAGAGTGCAGGAGCAACAAGCGGCATTGCAGCAGAGGATAAATGAACTTGCTGCGGCAAACAAGACATCGACTTAGCGTGGAGAGAAAAGTCGGGGTCGAGGTAGACTTAATTGTAGGCCGGTCTGGAGTAGCAATTGTAACTTAGCCACGGGGTCTAACCGATATAATAATAATTGCTATGTGAACCTGTATACCTAGCCAGCCACCTGCAGAGTTATCACAAAAGAGCTGCTGCCCTGGGACAAACGTCGAACAAGTCCAGGGTCGAAGTCCGAACGAGAACTATACAGTCAACAATGAACCCCGAATAGCCTATGTTTAATTTGATTTGAAGAACGGCACGCAGAGAATTAAACGGCCCATCACTCACGAAGGAGAGGATACAACTGTAATACATATGCGTCTTCCAAGTTCAGTTCCCCCTATACTCCTCATCTTGGATGCCTCGGGCAGTACGCAATCTACAAAAGCACGAGGACTTCACTGTGACATCAGCGCTCGCCGCAGCAGTCTCAAGCTGCTTCCTGATGATCCTGGCCTCTTGGTCGCGTTTGAGACGAACGAGACATTCGAGATATCCGTGAAGAGACCAAATATTATTGGGATGCTGAAGCACCCGAGCCAAGGTACCATCCAGTCCCAGATCCGCCTCGTATACAGCCGAGGCCTCTTCAACGCGACCCTGCTCCAAGAGAAGTGCCGAGTATGGATGGCGCGTCGGAATCATCCAGCCCCAGGGCTCCGCGTAAACTAGATTGTCTTCTCGCTGGATCGCCAGGCGAAGGTGAGAAAATGCCGATTCGTGATTTCCTCTTCTGTACTCCATCTCTCCGTCTAGCATTGCCGTCGCCACTTTTAAGATATCTGTGACCTTGTTGGGGAAAGCTAACCTCGTGTCGGGTACTCGAGAGGCTGCCCGCCTAAACAAACCGCTCTCTTCATCAGCCTTCTTGAGATTGCCAGTCGCTGCCCACGAAATAGCCTTTCCGTAATGCGTCATGGCGATGGTGACGCACCAAAGGCGACCATCATCTGGAATTGGTAGGATCTTGAGTTCCTCCCACATTCCAAAGCGGATGAGAACGTGTACCCGTACTGACTTGAAGAACTCAAGCCAGCCTGCCATGGATGGAGAATCCATTCTTAGCAGCCCCTCCGTAAGGGTGGCCTCCATCCTCGAAGTGGCTTCAAGAGCTATGCCCGCTCGACCAGCCATCATTGCTGCATATATTAGGGACTGAAAGTTGTGCATACGGTAGAAAGAGTAAAAATTTTGGGCCCCTCTCCGAGCGAGGTACTTCTCGTCGGCCATCGTCGCTCTCAGATTCGTGTTCATCGCCCTTCGGTAATCTCCTACCAGGACGTCAATATGACTGGGCATATGATGGATATGGCCTCCGTCCGGGACCAGGTCACGAAGGTAATCGGCTGCGATGATGGCCCGCTCGGGTGTCTTGGACATTTCGACGAGGTGAATGTACATATGGAGAAGGCCGGGATGACGCCGAGCCCCTGGGTGAGTCAATCCTCGCTCGAGAATATCTCGAACTTGAAGAACCGGCGTGGATAAATCCGGTTCACCTGTAGGAGCCTTGTACAGTTTCCAAGGCGCCACATTCATCAACGCGTCGGCGGTTAACGTGATGATATCGAGATCATGTTCGCCAAAGCGACGGTACACCTGCATCATGGCATCCGCATAGGCTAGCACCGATGGTTTGAACTCTTCGGGAACCCGGCTACTCGGGAATCGGTATTGAATGGCTTCAATCAAGGCTCGCTCCGATGGGCTTGCATGTTTCGCGAGCTCTTTTGCTCTTTGCGCCGCGGCGTAGCATTTTCTCGTAGTCCTCACCAGGTCCTGGGCATCAAAGATTCGCCAGCCCTTGTTATAGTTTGGCCCAGAGGCAAACGCAACTCCCCAGTACCCGATGGCGCATGTTGGGTCGTGGGCGGTGACTTGCTCGAAGCAAGACGCAGACTCGTCGTGGTTGAACGAATACGCCCATACCAACCCTCTGTTAAACCACGCCTGCGCATCCTTGCTCTTTGTGGTGATTACTCGGCCGTGAGCTCCGAGATCGAAATATTCCTCATCGGCGGGGATCGGTTCTATGGGCTCCAGGTCGTTCGTCATCTCGCCCATTAATTTGATGTGATTTTTTTTTTTTTTTGTTTCCTGGCACGGATGAAAGAACGGTTCACGGCGGTGGGCGGTACCACCTCGCGTCTATGATTTGTGAACAAGTCCTCTCCTTTCCCCGGACCGCCATTAACCTTATTTAAACTTAAGTTTAGGCATTGCGGTTACCTGCGGGAGTGTGTGGCGAGTCTGCGATCGAGTGGGTTGCTAAGGACGTGATTGGCATCTTCGACACTTAGTCAGGTTACTATTGATAAGGATGAGGAGATCATTATTGGGATTTGCATCCCGACGGGCTACCAGCCTAACTTCAAATACAATGCTCATTAAATAAAGCTAGGAGCCAAGATTAGATCAGACGAGAACTGTCTTAGTTACTTGTCCTTCGTAAGGGAAACGCGGCGATGACCATTTGAGGTAATCATTGTTGGTGGTTGCTGGTTCCAACTTGAGCTCTCTACCAAATTCTAACTCTCGACACTACGACTCTCAAGGGACAAGACCATCGTACTCCCAAAGTACGAAGGGAAGCCTGGGTCTCCCACACTTGCCAGCCCTTTTCTGGTGACATCCCAACAATGCTCCGGACTGGCACTCAGCGCCATGCTCCTACAGGCTCCAGCAGTTAATCAGGTCACAAGTGCGGTCAGAGGAGCCCAGGGGCGCCACGCCAAGCAAGCATGTATCAATAAACAGCACAGCTATCAACAGCATGTACCACCAAAGTACCGAGGTGGAATCTTATATGGGCTTATTAGGGCAGGAAAATGACCCTTGCTTTTGGGGGGTGGTGGGTCGGGATTCTCTACTATTGGTTGATAGAGATTTCATCACCTGCAGCCATGGGCAATACTTGCTCCCACTCAACTCAGATACTATTACCGTCGGAAGACGAGAATTGGCATGGTGTATGGTATCTTATCTCAGGTGGCCCTCTCGAGCCCCGCGTGGCGCCAGCCGGTACTTCGACAGAGATCTAAACTAGACATGATTGCTCACGAGGGTCATTCTTTCTGTTCCAGAACATGCAGAGATAAAACACCAGAAGTGTGATGGCTGTCACAGACACAACCGCCACAGGATAAACCCAGATATATGGCGAGATCGGAGAGCCACCCCTTTCTCCTTTCCAGTCAAACAATTCGGTCGAAAAGACACTCTGGCAAGGGAGTATTAGTGACTTATACAGCTAATCTTTATCCAGCGTGGTACATACGGTGATGAGTGTGGTTGGTAGGAAGACCACGCCCAGAAATGCCATAGATCTCATGAGCCGACTGTCTCTACAAGTCATGCTGGCGACTCGGAGGTTGACTCTGGAAATATCCAAGTTGGTCTTCGCATCGTTGCGCTCAATCTCGCTCAGTTCCTAAATGTATTTAATGTATCAGTAACATCTCTCCTACCCCGACGTAACCATTTTCTCTTACCAACTGGGTTGCCAGCTTCATGCCATCTATGATGTAGGAACACTTGCGGATATATTCATCATACTCGTCAACAAGTTCGCCCAGCCTTTCCTTGATTCTTGACCCCGTCTCCTGCAGTGCTCCCAACTTGGCATCCAACTCTGGCGAGGTTGCGGACGTATCCAGGCCAAATTTGGTATCTTGGAGCTCATCAACATGGGCAATCATTTTCAGCATTTGAGTTTTCCAATCCTCGAGACCAATCTTCAGGAAGTTCGTCTTATCCCACAAATTGAACCAATGTTCATCTTCATCAGCCGGCGCATCCGATGTCAGAGAAGCTGGCGATTCCATTGGTTCATCAAATGGTGGTGACACTGGCTTGGAAGATGGCCCGGCATAAGGACTAGGAAGGCTTTGTTTGCCTCGCCCTTTTGAGGAGAACTTTTTCAAGCTTTGTGTTAAGGCCTTCATAATGAGGTGGCGCCGACGTGTACCCCCGACATGTCCAGTCCTGGTCTCAACATCCGCTGTTTGCTCATGAGCAAGGACATTGGCCACTCGTTGGCGGTGTAGGATGCTGATGCTGTCGCGAACAAGCGGAATCACCCTTTCACGCTCCATTTCAGCGAACATGGTAGGTATAACCATCGGATGGAATGCCCTAGCGTCAAACGTCGAGAGCCGAGCGAATATGAGCTCTGGGTCTGTTAATGAATGGTTATGAACGTGGTGTTTCTCCATATTGCAGCCCATCCAAACGACGTTTGTAGTTAGCTCTTCGGGGAGCCATGTTGCGGACAGGATCATGTCCCCTGGCCAATATGCCGCGGTCCTCAAAGTGTAAACTGCACATGGGTCAGAATGATAGAGACCGGTAGGAGAATACCCCGAACGCACCAGTAGATTTTGCTGTCGAATCGTCGTTGGTCCAGTCAAATGGGAATCTCGTAAATGTACAGCTAGTGTTGCGAGTAAGCGCACGTAGCATGGACCGATGGACCATGAAGCGGCGCTTAACCTGTGTGATAATCTCCTGTGTGAAAGGGAGTACGGACAGAGAGGATGTCCTCGGTGTCATGATCAAGTTAATAGTAGACTGTGCCCCTGGTACTCCCTTGCAGCTCTCTGTGTCCTATTTTGAATAATTAGCCATGAGAAGGAACAAAGAGGAAAAAGGCCATCCGACGACTTGCGAATATATCTCACATCAAGTCGCTTATCTAGCCATTTCTGCCACTCCTTCTCGTCCCTGAAGCTCCATTTATGAGACTTGACATCCTGAAAGAAAGTCAGTAATCGACAACTACCATCACTCTTGAGAGATGGGTTATTTCAGTACTCGTTCGTCGGGGTGTGATTTGCAGAACTGAAATGCCTCGCTCGGGGACTGCTCAAATCGAAACAAGTCCCATTCTTCGTCGGTAAGTTCGGGGTCTCGGCAGCTCCAGCTCATTTCTACGGCAAGAGATGGCGAGAATAGCGCTTTAGGATCTCTTTTAGGAAATAGTATTGCTATGTCCGGGTGTTTGACATGTTATTCTAGATGGTTCCTCAAAACGTTGTGCCACGGATACCGGCTTTACTTTAATATATAATAAGATCTACACTTCTTCACACCAAGAGGACTTCCCCTTTTGTGTATTTATCCATTTTGGCAAGGTATGTGAGGCACGCGAAGGTTTGTACTAGTTGGATGGCTCTCCAAACAAAAGCCGTTCCCTCTAACCTCCCAACCCGTTCCGTGTAGCACCAGGTCATGAGGGGTCAAGACCGAAAATCACCAAAATTCGGGGCGCTGTTTGGCTTCGCGAAACGGGCACCAGGGGCAAGGCACCCTCAGTCTGCAACCCCTACCTCCGATCAGCCAGTAGATTTTAAGGAGACCTACGCAATGGTGTTCGCTATGCCAGCACATATGCATTGATCGGGCACTTATGTATTGGGACCCAAGAATAATACACTTTTCGGCCTAGATGGATGTGGGAGATTCACTTCTTTGAGGCGACCATATCCATGTTTTTCTTCTCTTTCTTGTGCCATCCTCATGCATCGCCCACCAGGCTGTAGGCTAGTAGACAAAGATAGGACTGATATTGCGAACGTCTCTCACGATTACATGCGGTATGGACAAGTATAAAAACTTCAATAGCTCTAGAAAGTCCCGTAAGTGAAATTTTCGACTTCAAATCACAACTGCATGTTTTGTTTCCGTCAATCCAATTCCTTCAACCCCAAAATGTATTCTCAACCCATCCCCATTGCCTACACTGACAAGTTGAAGCTGGAAGATCAGCTCATCAAGCTCCGTGGTTCTGGTAACTTTGAAATTGACGAGGTGTGCTGCTTAACATATGCTGGCCAAATCGTTTTCGAATCTATACTGACTGATATAATGTAGTTCAAGTCGGGTTGTTGGCACATTCGAGTGTCGAAAAGACTGACACAAGTACGAAGGCGATGTTCAATGTCTTGCCCGTTTGTTTATTACCGGTCACAGGCCACAGCGCTAACGGAGACTAGCATGAGATCGAGATAGTCAAGAGCGCAATGAGGATTCATTTCCCTCCTCACAGGTGATTCCCCCGAAGGCTGTTCGGCACTGGATGTTATAATCGAACTTTAAATAAATACATCATGACACTCATTCTAAATTCCTGTCTAGGTGACAGGTTTATGCCGGAACATGGTACTGATAAAACTGCCCGTCATATTGTTTGCAAGTATTAACCGCATCTTTGCATAACTTAAATATATCCTACTATCATCTGCCACGCCCATATTATTTCCTTCTGCTGACTCTTGACGAATAACACCCGGCAATCTGGGCCGTAGTAAGCTTGCCAGGGGCACTGATATGATACGTATTCGATCGGAGCTGTATTAGATGTTTCCAGCGTATACGTTAGCGGGTATCGATTCGGGCAGAGAGGGGAAAGGGAGGGAATCATCGCAAACCTCGACTAAATATTTATCGTGCCAGCGCCAGCTGAGGGTTTCTTCTAACTTCCTCGGGTTGATGTAGCGTCCAGCGAGGTACTGCACGGTCCAGTCTTCGCTAGCACTGCTAGACCTAGACGTCGACATTTCTTGGGATAAAGGATGAAAAATGTGGGGCCGAGCGAACTTGTGGGGACTGTTAAAGTTGTGGTGACGACAATGGGGATGAGGGATGGCGAGGGGCGAGGAAACGCCGACTTTCGGGCTAGGGGCGACAGATATATATGCAGTGTGAAAGAACAAGTACATGGCCTCTAAGCCTAGGAGGCGCAGTCAATCGGATTACCGGCGTGGCGTTTTGTATGTCTCATCATTGGGCGTCCGAAATGCCGTATTTTTCTTGTGTGTGTCAAGTATAAAAGTGAAGTCCGGAAGTCAAGGACAAGTACCTTCCGCTGAAAGTCATCTAACATTTTAGTTTGATTCGGTACTGCTTTGTGCCAAGATTGATTGTACTGAAATCTTAGAGGGCATGAGAGGGGTCTAGACCCAACGCCAAATCAATAAATTGATTCGATGCCACCGAGGCCGGCTGCATTCTGGCCCAGCCACAAGCTATTATGGAGGGTGGCCCCAGGGATGATGGCTTCGTACAAAGTGTGGTCATTCACGATTTAGGAATGGTGAATCACTACGCGCCGTGTGAACAAAATGCCTCACGCCTCAGAGCACCCTGGCACTCCTGTTGGCATGGCAAGGCTCCGAAGCCACATTTACATAGCTTCCGTGACTACTCAAAGGGACAGAACACAGCCCATTGCCGCAATGGTGGCAGCCCTGGGCGCAAATGATTTAAGCGGCACATTCCTGCCGTTCTCCGCGCATCTTCCGCCCAAGACCAGGCTCTTTGTCTAACCGAAGAAAGCAGCTACCTGGTGCCCATGGCTTCACCACGCCAGTCCGTTCGGTCACCAAGACAGGTAAGTTACAAGATGGAGGTTGGTCAGAAGATGGTAGGAACCCCCTAACCGTTATCTCTTTAGGTGAGTTTTGACATCCCTGCGCCTGCGGACGAACCGAGAACACCTCCACCGCGCCCAGAAGAAACACCGAACACTACAGAACCGTTGCACGCCGATTGTGGCAACGACATCCCGCAATCATATCCTCCAGGAGGCCATGCCGCGGAAGAGGAGCCAGAACAAATCATTACTTTAGCTCATGTCAAAAAGAAGCTATGGGATGAAATGATCCAGTGCCCCGATGATGCAAGCAACCGGTTTTTACCCCGAGGCCAGCTCAGCAAGCTCGTCACGCGAAAAGTCGTTTCCGAAGTGATTCGTTGCGAATTCTTCAATGAGCCAGAGGCCGAAGCGCAGGCTTGTGCGGATTTCGTTTGGGGTGAGGGAGGACCAACGGTTGAGAATGGAGAAATGCCGCCGAGTTCACCCCCGGGCCCGTTTCGACCGCCGCTGGCTGAGGAGATGGATGCCGACCCAGATGAGAAGACGTCCAGTCGCAAAATCTTTACGATTCTGATGTTGATATCCAAAGTCAAACTCATACGCATGTTTAAAGAGGCCGGGATACGGGACCGGGAACTTCCATTCATCCGTTGCAAGGATAAGAATACGCTGTCTACGTGGCAAGGCAGGGATTTGGCTTTCCTTACTGATAAGGAAGCCTTGAATGAATTCTATTCAAAGCAGCGGTGGATCCATATCCCGTTTATTAAGATGTTCGACCAGAACCCAAACACCGAGAAATATCGACTTCTCCATAACGACACGATCCTCCCTTTTACTGACTGGGACCCGCAAGAGCAACAAGTCGATGAGAGTGCATATGCCAAGGTCACTCGAGTCGCGATACACCCCGATCATCACCGATTCACCCATGTACGCTAATAACAATCCACCTCTTGTCCTTTTTTACTTTCTTTCTTTTTTTAGGCACTAACTCTGCAATCAGCCCAATACCAACTTTTTTGCGATCAAAGAGTTCTTCCCGGACCTGGAAGATCATCACCACGGGCATTACCGAAACGAAATCGCAGCTTTCGCTCAGACGAAAAAAGGATCACACCTGGTTGAACTTCTCGCAACGCTTAGCATCGCGGGCGGCGAAGGGAAGCAAGATCAATTATACCTCATCTTCCCTTGGGCGGATGGAGGAAGTCTCAAGCACATGTGGAAGCAGGAGCCCGAGGAATTGCTTCTAAACCACAAACTCGACAAACCCGCTCTTGTCCGCTGGGTGGCTCTTCAAATCTTCGGTATCATAACAGACCTATGCAATATTCATGAAAGGCCTTCCGATGAGAACGAAGAGCCAAATGGCATTGGAACCGAAACTGGCCATGAGAATGACAAGGGCGAAACGACCAATAAACCGTTGTTTGGTATCCATGGTGATATCAAACCGGAGAACATACTTCACTTTATCCAAGAGACGGGATTCCACCGTCTGGGCAGACTTAAACTCGGTGACTTTGGCGTAATGCAGTACCACGCGAAAGACAGGCGCACGGGGCCTCATCACACACCAGCTGGGGCGCCGTCGTACAGGGCTCCAGAGCAAGATGTGGAGTTTCGCGGAGACATGTGCAGAAGAGTTGATATCTGGGCACTTGGGTGCGTCTTCTCGGAGCTGGTAACATGGCTAATCCGGGGTACGAGGGGACTAGAGGCCTACCAAAATAAACGACTCGCAGATTATCTGGAGCGCAGGCGTACGAAAGGAGAGACTATAAAGGCCAAGGCTAATTCGAGAAGCCGCGAGGATGTGTTCTTTCTAAAGTATTACCTTCGGGATGAAGGCGGCTCACAGCCTGGCAGGTGTCCGTGGATACCAAAGTTAAGGCCTAGTGTGAAAGAGGTATGTTAAAGACTAGCCCTTGGCACTAGTTTGGATATCAAGACATACTAATAATGCCTTTCATGCGACCCGGCAGTGGATTGAGGAGCTGATCACGGATATCGGCGGTAAGGAAGCCGACTTCTTCCTCGCACATTTTTTAGAGTTCGTCAAGTCGGAGATGCTACATCCGGAAAGAGAATGCCGGGCAACCTGCCAGGAGACATTTGTGTTCCTCAAAAGGCTTATGGATCGAGATACACCAGAGTACTGGTCCTGCCCGGAGTCAAGGCGGGACTTCTCGGAATCCGTTCCAGAGCTGTCCTCTGATGAAGATCTGGACCCAGAACTTGCCTCTAGCACAAATCTAGTTCTAGAGATATCCTCTAATGGAAACCCAGACCTAGACCTCGCCTCTAACGAACACCTGAACCCAGAGCTCGCCTCCGACGAAAATCCAGCCGCAGGGCAATCCTCTGGCGAAAATCCGGCTCTGGATTCCCACAGCCGAAACACACGGTGGAATGCGGTTGCAAAGATTCTAAACAGACTTTTGGACGCAGCGAAACGTGTAGGAATGTGGCTGCTGGGATTTTCCCCACGAAGCCGGACCGAGGGATATGTTAGAGGCTCTCTCCCCACAGAACAGGGAGTGAGGATATAAATAAAGCTAAATGACAGTGATTTCACATCACGGCTTATGTAAATAGATTTGGCATAGTCCAATTAGAATATATTACCCGTCCTTGACTGAACCGCTAATCATTAGTTGCTTTCCTCCATTTCGTACGACTCTGTCCGTGAGCCCCAACGATTCCGCATGGAGGCATCGACCCCGTTCTTGATCGCATTCCACAAGTTCCCGCTTTCCCGCCGGCAATGGATCCTATGCGGTCCCACTGGCACCCACCTCGTTATTTTACCTCGGTCAACAGAAATGCCCAGTCATCATGCTCGTTGGCGAACCGTGAGTGCGGGGCGCAGCTGGGTGGTACGAGGTCGCCTGCGGTTGGACGTCAAGAACTGGCGTTTTCAAGTGAAAACGCGCAATGCAGTGCAGCTTGCCAAGTCAATGGCCCGCCCCGGAACGTCCTCTCTGCATCCGTAGCTGCAGGTAACGCTGCTAAAACCAAGAAACTACTGCACTGCGGGCCGGTGTTCGTAAGAGTCCTCGACTCCGCCCGCGTCTCCCCAAATGATCTCGGTTTGGACATATATAGGCCACGTTCCACATGTAGCAGGCCACCTCGGATTAAATCTGCCCATTTTGCAATTACATTTCGCCGTATTGTTCGACGTACTTCTTACTTTTAATGGTGCTCGTGAGGCACAGTGCAAATATGACTGAAGAACAACAGGACAATCCCGCGATCATTGAAGTCGATTCAGCAGTGCGTTCAACTTTCGTGATATCCACCCTAATAGTCCGAAACTTCGCTTACAGGATCGATTTATTAATAGGAGTCAGTCGACGACGAAGCTGTCTTCGACGAGCGAGTGTGCGTTAAATTTTCTTCCCCTGGGATTGTCCGTTATATTGTTGCAATATTCATCGAAAGGTATCCCTCCGATTAGGTCATCGTACACAGAATCCTTAGCAACCAGCGTCTTAAATTATCCAACCGAACATGGCCGTCGATATCATGCATACCAACCGGGCAGTAAGTACACGTATATTCCGATCAACTCTTCGCTGGGTCGTTTTTAATGAAAGGGATGACCAGAATACTTTATGCCAAATGACAATGTACGTTTGCCCGTTGCTGGGTCTCTTACTGAAGAGCTGACGATCATCCCTGCTCCGCGTCGGCATCTCAAAGCAAGAGTTGGTTCGCCTAGACTTGATGCACTTGATCATGGTGCGACTTATAGGAGACAAACTCTTCTTGGCTCCAATCGAAGAAGACAAAGTGCATCGTGCGCTAGATATCGGCACCGGGACTGGAATATGTATGAGAAGCCTCCCTCTGATAACGTGCAACGTAATTGCTCCGTATTCACTGACTTTTGTGGCTTGTGTTAGGGGCTATGGAGTTTGGCGAGATGTTCCCTGGGACCGAGGTAATAATCCTTCATCGGATAACAGCTCGACCTATTAATCTAATCTCAAATTCAGGTGCTTGGAAACGACTTCAGTCCCATTCAGCCCACATGGTATGAAATCTGGACTTCCTTGCCTGGTGAGACGGGCTGATATGTTGACACTCGCTGCAAGGGTACCTCCAAACGTTAAATTTGAGGTGGATGATGTCGAAGGCGATTGGGTGTATGCTCACCCATTTGACTACATTTTCTGCCGATACATGACAGGCTCTATCGCGGACTGGCCCAAGCTTGTGAGTAATATCTATGAGTAAGTTACATCTCACTCCATCATATGTGTCTGGGGCAAGGCGTGATGTTGACATTAGTTTGGTAGCAACCTAAATCCTGGGGGATGGGCAGAATTCCAAGATTATGATATGCAGTACTACTCTGACGATGGCACTCTAACCGACCAACACAACACCAGCAATTGGATCGGCATGCTTCTCGATGCCGCTCGGAAAATCGGCCGCGAGCCGTGCCCCGGACCAAAGCTCCTCGAGCGGGTCAAAGGCGCCGGGTTCACAAAGGTTACTGAGAGAGTGTTCAAGATGCCCATTGGGTCCTGGCCGAAAGATCCTAGGCTCAAGGAGCTGGGACTGATAAATGCATCTCAGGTGATTGATGGGTTGGAGGCATTCTCAATGAGATTGATGTGTGATGTTCAGGGATGGAGTGAAAGCGAGGTGCAGGTGCTTTTGGCTAAGGTCAGGAAAGAGCTGAAGGGCACGGTGTTCCATGCGTACGTCAACTTGTAAGTGGATCTCTTTGAAATCCCATCTATATCCAGTGGAGTAGGCATGGAGACAACTGACGAAGCACAGCCACGTCGTCTATGGACAAAAGCCATCAGAATAGCCTCTGGAAGGGCAAAAATCGCGATTCGTGCCGGCGCGTTAACATGAATATCACGTCCTGTATAGCGTGAGATATTCTCTCAACATTTAATGTCTCCAGGTATGGGACAGTTGTACTGTTCTAAACTTGAGTCATTCATGGTTGAGTAGCTAGGGTTGTTAAATACAGGGAACGATTTCCCCCCAAGCGAGAATTTTGTACCTCGGGTGGCGAGTTGCAAGGCGCCATCTTAGAGTCTTGCCTACTTCCGAAAGCTCTCGGGATGATCTTGGCAAGTACCGGCTTGAGAGTAGGAAGACACGCGGCGAGGATGGCAGTGCACACCTCAAGAAAGGACCAATATGCCGCATCCACGTTATCCCAGTTTGGGTCTTCTGCTTCGGCTGCATTCTTCAGGGTCCGGATACGAAGGATGGAAATGATACATGTACTGCGTCAACCGAATGTCAGGACTCGGGCCAACGAGAACAGCCAAATTGCACCCCTCCGCTTTCAACGAAAACGACATGACTTACATGAAGCCAAGACCGAAAATCAGTGACAAAATATACTTTTGCCTCCTCGGTAGTTGCAATGAATTGATTACCGGCAATGGCATAGTAAAGATGGCAAAGTCGGATACCAGGTTGAAGCCGGCCATGCCGTACCAAACCGTGAGCGAATCAAGACACCTCCCTTTGATAGAGTGGTCCCAGAAGGCTGCAACCGGGACACAGACGAAGGTGAGAAGGAAGCACAGTGTAATTGTCCATACCGAGAGGAGGACCACTCCAAATGCCGTTATTCGTTGCATAACAACACAAGCAAATATCCTCCTGTACTGGAGTAGGATTGATATCTTGACGAGACACATGGCGACGTTGTAAACGACGATAGAAGCGTAAAATGCCTAAGGAGATGAACGATTGTAAGTATAAGGCTTATCAAAGCCACTAAGAAAACCAGGATTGTAAGAGCAGGTCCTGATACGAACTTGCCTTCATATAGGGGATATAGAGGTCATGGGGCTGAACCCACGTGTGTCGCCCAAGTCCGTATTTGCATTCTGCACATTTGAGTTAGGTGAGAGGACGGATACCGGACTGGAACAATAGGCTACACACCTAAGCCAATGGCTATCGCCGCCCCAATCGTGAGCACCTGTGCGGCCACCATGAAGGCATCATCAGCGCCAAAGGCGCAAAGCAGGTGCTGCCGCGCATATGTCCGCAAGGCAACGACCGCAGTCGTCAATGTCGAGAAGATAGAGAGAATGGCAGAGATCTCGGCGACTCTGGACTCCCCATCTAAGGAGCGGTTAACTAGTCGCGTCATTTTCTTCACTAGTACCCTTCGGTGATGTTGGGATAAAGATAGCTCAGTGCTCAACCGATTCCATCAGGCGGGAGAGATCTTGCGTCATATATGGGCCGCGGGCTGCTGGTTTGGGATCCCTAGTCCTCTCAGTCTCCCTTCACATCGGAGCTCGACCGCCAATCTCTTTGTAATATTCCATAGATCGGGTAAGTGATTGACAGCCGCGAACGAAATGTGGAAGGTCCCCCGCTCAGATCGATCGTTGACAGCCGCACTAGCATTAGCGCACCGGAGAGAGGAAGATCGACAGCGAGAACAAGGGGGAAACCTCGACTCACCGATCATAGTCTCGTCAGCACCCCGGATCCTCGAGTGGCATTATTTCCACCTGCGCCAACCTTAAACGTGCCGCAACATCCGGCCTGGCTCGCGAGTAATCACGTTAGGATCGGGGGTTCTTCGATAGTATCGATCTCGACCTTCTTGTAGTAGCAATCACGCGGATCATCGCCGACTCGACGATCATGGCTTTCAGCTCAACCCACAGCGAAAAGCCGCGTTCGCGCTAGTGGAAATAGTGTCGTTGCAAGCACCACCCGAAAGTTATTAATCCGAACTACTAGAGGAAAATTGACAACGGAAGCTGATCTTAATATCAACTGCAGGCGTCTTCTGAGCCATCCTCTTTAGCGATCCAGATCGATGTGATTAATAGGCAGACCCCAGTCTCCGGACTTGCCTTTCGAAGATTAGTTGGTTAACACTGTAACGCATTATTACTTTCAAGATGTTTACATTGTAATAACAAGCGTGTCGGTCAAAAGTGCCCTTCATCAAGACCATTCGACCATGCACTCTCGACCGCGCGCGCAGGACCCTGCCGCATCTCCAAGCTGAACCCCAAAAATTTCATTTCGCGCGAATTTTCCGCTTTCGCAACCCGCCCAAGCCGCCCAAGCCCTGATCCATCGACAAATTAAATCGATGAGATGCGTCAAATCGTGACCCGCTTCAACTTCCATGGCCCACGCCCGTTCTTGACCCTTCCTAGGACTCCACTCCCCAACAGCAGTAAGCGGTAAGATGGCCGAGCGGTCTAAGGCGCCAGGTTAAGGTTACCTTAACAAGTAAATTCCTGGTCCAGGAAACTGGGCGTGAGTTCGAATCTCACTCTTATCATCTTTTTTTTCTTCACATTTTCTGCCCTATCGTTTGTTCTGTTGCCTCTTCTGATTTCCATTTTGGATGTCTTCCTCTTCTTTGTTCTTCTTTCTCTCCTCCCCTCAGCCCCCCTTTGGCAGTGCTGGCCGCTAGGAACCTCTGTAGGAGTCCCAGAGCCCATGAAGTCCATTTTGATACCAAATGAGATTATAGCCCTCGATTCCGGCACCATTTTCTTTCTTTTCCTTTCTTTTTTTATTTTTATTTTTTATTTTATTTTTAACCTTCATAACGAGCGGACACTAGCCCTTGGTGGTCACTTCCTACAGTGCACTAGAATTAATCGATGGTTGCAGGTTGTCAACTATCAGATAAGCAACCCTAGCGATGCAAATGCGGGCGAGAAGTGCGGTGCGCTAAATTACGTCCGCGTTGTGGAAGGTTCTGTTAAGAAAGGACAGGGAGCGGTAAGGTGGGAGACCTTGGTGGAGAGGAGCTGTTGTTGTGGGGTTCTTCTGGAAGGTGAAGGGAAGAGAAATGCACTCGAGTAATACGTGGCTAACAGTCGTCTGACACTGCCCAGCAGTTTAAAACGCACCAGGACCGCGGCGGAAGGAGTGATAGGGTCTAATATCTCCAGATAAAATTGCCGCGAATGCTTAGTCTCCTCAGACACTGTCATGTAAGTCCTTCATGCTGGTCTTTGTGATAATGTTCGAAGAACGCTTGCTGACACCACTACGAGTACACTTCTTCGAGTTTGACTATTTTAAGAGCGGCCACGTGATCCTGTTCTTCTTTGCTGTTTTTCACCGCCTTCTGCGACATTGCCAAGATTCAGTTGCCTGGCGCCATGGCGACCAGATCGTGACAGAATAATTGTTCTGGGCCCCGTGTCTAAAACTACTCCACTACTAGCAGGGTCTTAGGCCTCGTCAGTAGGGTAGCTTTGAGCTAAGTAGTTCCCGCGCCGGATGCAACGCTAATGCATCCGGCCGTTGTCGCTTGCCATCCACGCTCAGTCTGGCCGCGCTCACAGGATCAAAAAGGAAGGGAAAGGAAAAAGGTAGTGGTGCACAAAACCCCAGACCAATCGAAGAGATGGGATCCGCATTCGCCAAGTTCCCGAGCGGAGACAGCTACGAGTATGACAAGTGACGAAGCTACGTGATACGCTCAGGATCCTTGTCTGTATGCCCATATTCCTGAAAAATCATGAGCGGACCCCCTCATTTAAGGTAGGATGTTCGCTAATCTGTCGTGGGCATATTCCATTTTAAACCCCTCATGGCGCCCCGCTGCGCCTGACTTTCATGTTCCCTTTGAATTCCTTGCACCCCATCGCGTCGACAGTCCCCTCCCCACAATCTTCCCGCCAAGATGACTGACGCCCAACCCCCCAAATCTCCCAAAGCTGGGAAGACGCCCTCTCCCCAGCCCCCATCGTCACCTATTAGTCCTCGGTTGGGGAATATTGATGCACCAATCGAAGCTGTAAGTGTGCCCTAGAAAGGTCTGCCGACGGACTCTCGATATTAGTGCGAAAGCACTCTCTGCCATTTGCCCCTTTCCCCCATCTTCATTGCGTGGATAATCATCTAATGGTGAGACTATTCCATTGGCGATAGGATACTGCGGATGCGGACTCAGTCTACGCCTCATCGTAAGCGAACTAACGACCCGATTATCTCTGTTCGCTCCACCTGAACTCTGCTCTAATCCCGACCTTACGCGCAGCGTGGTCACAGACACGACATCGCTCCGATCGTCCATCCTTGCCTACAAGTGGGAGCACGGCCGACGTTATCATGCCTACCAGGACGGCGCATATTGGTAAAGACGCACCCACGGAACGATTAAACTATACAAGACACGGGCGACAGGTGGCTGACATCCTTGATCCGCCTTTGCTTTAGGGGGCCTAATGACGAGAAGCAGCAAGAGGCGGAAGATTTGTCGTGAGTGTCCATCAAGACTCATCGCAGTGTTGACATGCCGCTGATTGTGGCCCGCTGGGCGCACCGCCTAGGCACGAGATGTTCAAAATTATACTCAACGGTCTTACTCTAGCGCCTATAAGTGATGATGTCCAGGTCCGTTGTGGGCCTCTACTTACTATTTTAAGGAATGCTTGGCTGACGATTGAGACAGAATGTTCTCGACGTTGGCTGTGGCACAGGGGCGTGGGCAATGTAAGAAATCTTTTACAACTTGTTTGCGACACCAATGAGTACCATATACCTAACGAGTATTAGTGAATTCGCCGACGCCCATCCATCCTCTCAAGTTATCGGTGTGGATCTCTCGCCGATTCAACCCTCGTTCGTCCCGCCCAACTGCAAGTTCGAGGTCGATGATGTCATCAAAGACTTCACCTATCCCGACAATTACTTCGACTACATCCACATCCGATCCATGACAGGATGCATTCCTGACTGGGTCCAATTTCACCGCAAGGCCCTCAAGTACGTTAACCCCTCCTAGCCCACTCTCTACTGTATACAGGGTGGTATCCCGACGCTGATGTTGAAAAAAAAAGGCACCTCAAGCCCGGCGGCTGGACGGAGCACATCGAAAATTCCGGTGTCGTGAGATCGGACGATGGAACACTCGGCCCAGCCATGGCACAATGGTGGGGTATTTTCGACAAGATCGGCAAAGCGACGGGGAAAACCTTTGGCATCGCCGAAACGCTTCCTGATGTTCTCAAAGAAGCCGGCTACACCAACATAGTGGAACGCCGAATCAAGATTCCTATCGGGACTTGGCCCAAGAATCCCGATCTCAAGCATTGGGGAGCGTGGAATCGCCAGTTTATCTTACAAGGAGTCGAAGGCTTTTCGATCCGTGGACTGACGGACTGTTTGGGCGTAAGCTTATACTATTCCAACCTCTCCCTTCCCCGCCCAGAGATTGACAGTTCGTTTCGTGAGCTGAGGCTAACTGATGATATAATGACAGTGGACGTATGAAGAAGCTCAGTTATACCTCGTCAGCCTCCGGAAGGAATTAACAGACCCTAAGATTCACGCTTACTTGGAACTGTAAGGAAGCCCCGAATCACTAGCTAATGAATAGTCAGCTAACTTGCTTGGATTACAGAGCCTTTTATGCTGGACAGAAGCCCGAGGCCGCCGAGGAATCCACAGCTGCGTAAACAGTATTTAGAAGCTACTATAATGGTGTAACGAGTTGATATTGTGACGGTGTACAAGGTGATTACAGTGAGAGGGCGAACCTCAGTTCAGTGGTCAGGGGATATAAGAGGTATTGGGAGCTGAAGGTACATCAATCCTGCTTAAATTAATAATTCTGTTCCTGGTCAGAGGTGAATAATTATGGCGCGCATTGTTTCAACGCACAGTTCCAGTCTGCGAACGCATTGACGTTGGTCCATCGGAGAGAGCTGTAATGTGGTATTGCATTTGTGGTTACGCTTACAGAGCGGCCACGAAAGTCTTCATCGCTTCTAACTTTAAGTTTGAACTCGGGAGGAACTTTCGCAAACACAACACGACTACATGATGCGGCTTATTTTATGTGACATCAAAATGGCTAGCATATTTCCCCACAATTCTCTCTCCAAAAAAAAAGACGAGAATCTAGACCCCACGATGCGATCGGTCGGGCTGGTGGGTTGAGGCGTGTTGTAGCTGCTTTGGAAGACCTGCCTTGGAAGCCTCTAAATTGACCGAAAGTCTCCGCAAGTCCCCATTCGACCTGCCGAAAAGTCTCCGCTAAACCAGTTGATTTCTCTCGTTTCATGGGGGATGCATTACAGAGAGAACAAATGCAGTAGGGTCTCCTCTCCCTTTCTTTTGCTACTCTCTACCACCAGTCGTTACTCTCTTTCGAGCTGCTATCGACATATTATCCTCTAAACCTCGAAGGGCTGCGATGATTGCCACAATATTGACGCCATGGAAGCTTATAGCTACTTCCGTTTTCTACTTTTTCTACACCATCTTTAAACTCCTCGTGACGGGCGACTTTAAGACATTATTCTCATACGATTCCTTCAATGATGCATGGTTTGGCAACTTCTGGTCCTACCACGGGCCCAACATGAAAAAGCGCTCAATGCCTAGGGTGCTCCCCTTACTCCAAGGCCGGGTTCGCCACGGCCAGATTTACGACGAAGTGCGATGCGCGCCATTAAGCGGCACCGTCTTGGAGGTTGGAGCCGGCAGTGGCATGTGGGCGGACGTTTTGGCGACTGTTACCGAGGGCGTCAAGGGACCGCTGAAGATTTACGGCGTCGAACCGAATCCGTACTCGGCCGCGGCGCTCAGGAAACGCACGAGGGATGTAGGGTTGGATGGAGTCTATGAAGTGCTACCCGTTGGTATTGAGAAATTGGGTGATCCGACGGCGACTGGAGTTCGGGTAGCTCCAGGAAGCGTCGACTGCGTCGTCACGATTCAATGCCTCTGCAGCATCCCTGAGCCGGAGAAGAACGCCCGCCTGTTGTACAACTACCTGAAGAAAGGGGGAAGATGGTATGTTTACGAGCATATCAAGGTCGACGATAACCTCGCCGCCATCTCTTGGTTCCAAGGTAAGCGGAAATGGAAGAGACTATTCACAGTCGGTGCGTTTTCCTGACGGGAGCCAATAGCTTTAACCAACAAAATATGGACAAAGGTCATGGGCACTTGTAGCTTATGCTGCCCCACGGATAAGATGTTGGCGAAGATTGGTGATTGGGAAGAGTTTGATCTGGCGCTGCCGGCAGGTCAACCACTCTATGAACCAGCCCCTCGAGTCATGGGAGTCCTCACGAAGTAGCGCCAACGCAGCAAGGGGTTGGTTCTCTGCCGGTGTTCGATTGCTGGGTGCGAGTGGGCATTTTGCAGGGCGTTTCGGAGAAGGGGTCTCCAGAGCCTAGACTGGCGCATCCAAATACAGATGTGCTCAATTAGAGCCAAATACATATAAGACAGATAGATTCACCAAATGCAAAATTCTCGTGGGCGTAGTCGAGGACTCGAGGATGAACTTAGCCTCTTCTTGTTCTTGTTCTTCTTCTATTTTCTTTTGTTTTCTCTTTTTCTTTTTCTTTTTTCGAGCTAGAGGTCTCATGTGTATAGCACCGAATTAAGACCGCGCCTTCGTGAAGCTCACAATAATATGTGATTCTGATGCATTCAGCGGGATGCAAGTAAGCTGACCGGATCAGTCATAGTCACAACGGAGAGGGGTGGGTAGGTTACAAAGAGGGAGGTGGTCTGACAGATGAGCGAATGAAAGAAAGGTCACTTCCAACTTGCATATCGGGGCCGCCGCGGGCTCACGAGGACGCGATGCAGCCAGGGGCCAAAGAATGGAGCGGCTGAATGCAACAAGCATGACAAGTCGACTCCCGTCTTACGAATTTTCCCAATCCGGCTCCTGCAACGAGCAGCACCGAAACGCCCGGTATATCATGCATTTTAAGCCTAGTTTCTTAGTTACCATTTCGGGGTAGACGAACGACAGGCGAGTTCATGTTGTCGGCGATCATGAACTCTTCGCGCGAGCGAAGCTTCAGACAACTACCAATTCGGGTTTGGTGAACGAGGCATCGGAAGACGCCCTATCGGAACGCGAACTCGTGAGTTTCACCGCCACGATAAGCGTAGATGGCTTCTCATTACCTGGCCGAAAGTAGGTCTACAATTTCTTGGGGAACAACTGGAGAGAATATTACGGGCATGTCTAAACATCAAGATATCCATTAAGGATATCTCGAGTATAAAACGACCAAGAATTCCCCCGTCAACATCTCCTATTCTTCTCATCCTCATCCTCATCATCAATCTCATCACAAGAGCTCCTGTCAACTATCACAACTACTTCTAGACTTCTTTCTCAGCCATCCAAGACAAACCCAAGCCAACAATTCCTCAAGTTTCCCTGACTTAAACATCCTCCAAAATGACCAAGCGCACCGCCCAAGTTGTCATTCGCAACAACACTTCCAACCCCATCGTCGCTGTGGGAGTCGTCCACAAGTACAGCGACGACTACAGGCATGAAGGAAACTGGGGCATCGTCATGCCAGGACAGGTCACCGAGGAGAAGATGGATGTTGAATACAACACCGGCTTCTTGACCACCGGCCGGGATTGGTGGACCGTCACCTGGTATAGCCCGGACATGAAGAAGTATTACTACTCGGCCCCCGAAAACTTCCGCGATATCTTCGACGCGGTTGAATCCGTCGCTCCCGATGTCATCATCTCGGCCGCCATTGCTCTTTCTGCCCTTGCTACGGGTGGAGCTGCCACTGTTCCTGCAGCTGCCGCCGCTGCCGCCGTTTCGAAGGCCACGACCAACCAATTGCTCAACTCCGAGGGTACCAGCGGCTTCAAGCAGCACATTTTGAGGGAGGAGGATGAAGAGGAGATCACCGAAATTGTCATCAATGACGATGGGTCCATTGTCTTCAAGTCCAAGTCTGGGAACTCCGAGACTGGATATAATAGCAAGGATGTCAATGTTTAGAGGGATTGTCGTGGTAGATCCGCCATCAACCATCAATTATCTTCTGGTTTGATAGGTTCTGATCGCTTGAATGTTTCTTCTTTGTCGAGGCCTAACCTCGTCTGTCTTAGTTGGCTAGTAAGGAACCGTAAGGGAAAATGCTGCCGTCTGTTGTTACCTTCGTTGTTACCTTCGTTGTTAAAGTTTCAGATCATACAGTCTTTTTTGAAATGATAAACAATCAATTTTGATAACACAGACTCCCCAAACGGATTTAGTCTCTTGATTAGCCTTCGCTGTCCCGCAGGTAAACTGTGCTAACTAGAGGATTGATTAGGCGCCGATAGTCTTTCCTCCTCTACAGTCAAGCCTAAGCTACGTAGATGATCTCTAGGGTAGAATCCGCAAGCGGGCTAGGTCTTTTCGAGGTTAGGTTCCACTGATGACTAGAAGTAGAGAGACTATAGAAACTGAATCCTACATAGCGGGATCAAGTTCGTTAAATATGCGTGGCCTGTGGCCAGGGAGGGAACAATTATTTCGTAGACGGGATTTCATTGTCCATTGGCACCGTATTCCTGAAAACCACAACACCTACACTCCCTTCTGGTCATGTTATTCTTTCACTAGATATCTTACATGTACTATATAACCTTCGATATGGATCACAACCCAGACACAGTTAGTGTAAATTCTTTGACGCCAGTGTTACTGGGTTTAGTCTCACGCACGACTAACAACCAAACTTGGAAGACTCGCCAGAATGGGTGTCTCAGCCGAGTATGAATAGTTGGGTGAGATCATGTTACCATGTTACAGGACGGGGTTGCTGATAAGACGATATGCGTTCCAGAAGCCTTATCTGAGGATCGCTCCAAGCGAACAGTCACTAATATCTCACGTGATGCAGAACTTATCAGCAGGATGCATCCATCTTAGCGACATCGACTGGTGCGGCGAGAGAAGATAAGGTAGCCATTCGCCTTCGGCATTCAACACCAACCGGATGTGATTGAAAGAGGTTGCGCTAGAGAGCATTGCCCAACAATGCCGATACCAAGTATTGACTTTTCACGTTAGTTGAAACATATATTTACTTCCAACGCCCAGATCGTACTAAATATGACCTAGCAATGGTAGATGGGGATGTGGCGAGAAGACAGAACCTCGTACGCGAGATCCGGGACGCGTGCGAGACCTACGGCTTCTTCGAGCTCACCGGCCATAGTATTCCCCAATCACTCCTCGATGAGGTGATTGAGCAAAGTAAGCGATTCTTCTCTCTTCCCGCCGAGACCAAGGAGAAGTATGACAAGGGTACGTAACACCTACCAATGGCCACCCATCATAGAAATACACCTTAACCTAGGTATTCACAGGTCTCAACAATTTCAATCGGGGATACGAGCGTCTACGGAGCCAAAATTTCGAAAAGAAGACCGAAGGCGACCTGAAGGAAGGATACTATTTCGGCTTGGATCTTCCCCTCGATCACCCTCAAGTTGTCGCTCGAAAGTTCAATCTCGGACCGAACGTATATCCCAAAGAGGTTCACGATGCTGCTCAATTCAGACGAATCATTGATGAATATTTCACCTCTATGCTAAAGCTATCCGAGACCATTTTTCGCATTTTATGCGAGACGCTTGAGGTTGACAATAGCTGGGTCTCGGAGTTTGTCGACACGCCCATCGCCATTCTTAGGCTTCTGCATTACCCCCCACAAGCCCCGGATGCTTCAGAGTGGGAAAGAGGTATCGGAGCACATACGGACTTCGGTGCTATCACCATTCTTCTTCAGGATATGGTTGGAGGCCTTCAGGTCTGGGACCGCGCGGAGGCTCAATGGACTGATGTGAAACCAACCCCGGGCGCTTTCGTCGTGAATCTTGGAAACTTGATGATGAGGTGGACAAACGACAGATACCTATCGAATTTGCATCGCGTTATTAACAAATCTGGGGAGGATAGATATAGCATCCCCTTTTTCTTCTCGGGAAATCCCGACTTTCTGGTCAAGTGCTTTTCCAACTGCCAGGACGGTGAAGGAAAGATGAAGTATCCCCCAGTCACTGTTGGCGAATGGATCTCGGCAAGGTATGCAGATACGTACGGGACCTCGGGAGAAAAGGCCGCGGGCGAGTTGTCCGCTGAGGCAGCGGCGGCTTCCTCGTAGACTACTTTGGGGACTGGTCACAAGACAATGTCATATAGAAACCATTCCATTCTGCTTTGACTACACTTAGTATGCTGATGTACAGTTCAGTGAAAATTATCACACTTTGAGCTAGAAAATTACCCCTTCTGGCCCTTCATACGCGTCGATGGGTTCAGCGTCCCCACTCCCCGAAGCAGGGCTGTCGAGGATAGTTTCACTATTGGGGACCTGACGATGTGGATGAGGAACCATCTTGTACACGAAAGAAAGTGCAACTGCCAATGCAATAGTGTCCTAATTGAGATGAAAAATACGTTCGAGCGCGATGCCGATAGAGAGATTGGAATTGATGTGGTGGCTGATTCGGTGAAGGAAAAGACCCATGCATCCAACTTTGACAGCCGCGGGACTCCCAGCTGCCCTACTTATTCAAATAACTAAAGGACTCGAAACCTTAAGCAGCACGTGGTATAGCTACATCCCGTACTCGCTGTGGGGATCCCGCCCTCATCCTTGATTTTAAAACGTACCAGCTGCCTAGGCTCATCTACTCTGGAGAGAACATAGGAGTCCTGGGGCAGAATAACACTCACTTCTGTCACATATCCACATGCCCCCATCTGATCGTTTTCTTCTATTCCTCAGATTCACGTGACATCCGTTGTAAAGACTGATCGGTCTTTGCTCGGCCACTGTCTAAATCGGCTGAACCTTCTCCTGCGTCCCGTCACACCTCGCCCGCTTTGACTCAGGAGCTGAAACAAGGGATGCCTCAGCTCATCAACGTAGGGATGTAATGCAGCGCCCTCTACTAAGTACTCCTGCTTAAGGGCCAGATAATAAGATGAATTGGAGTCGATCCGCTAAAGGCTTATTTGCGTTTGTACAACCCGGAGAATTCATGACATGACACACAGCGTGGACGGACACACAAAGATCGTCCCAATGTTAATCAGACTATTAGAAACTAGTAAGGACGGATATCAATCGCTACGCTACGCTGAAAACACTCTGTATCTTACAATCAAACCATCGAAAATAAAAACTGTCACGCGTATACATCCCTCCTTGGTGTCCAGGGCAAATTAGCCCTAGAAATCGGCGTGATCGGACTCGTCTTGATCGGGCTCCCATCAGAATCGTAAACAGATTCTGCTGTAGCGACAACTTTCAGGTCAATCACAGGCCACACTTTCTCATCCGTGGTTGGCACGTCAGAGACGCCGGGCTCCCACTTCTCAACACCGACCGCGTTGTACGCGAGGCGTTGCAGCTGCAAAACACCGTCAAAGACCCAGGTAAGCGTCCTTTCCTCCCCCCTGCCCAACATGCGGCGGAGTAATGCGACAACGGGCTCGATGAAGGCACCGACAACAATGATCATGAGGCCAATGGATAGGATAAGGACAATGGCGAGGAAGTTGAAGTTGCGAACGCCCTCCGCGTTGCGAATGCGTTGGTTCTTGCACGAGGTAAGCCACGGCTCGTCGGTGATGGTGCTGAAATAGGGCTGAAGCGTCTCGTCCTTCTGCAGCGTCGAGAACTGCACGGCGTCGGATTGGAGCATGTACAGCGCCATGGCGAACCACCGCCTCACCTCCCGACGCCACTGGTCGACGGGCAGAATGTCGTACTGCTCGCCGTACAGCACGGTTTTCCCTGCCATGACGATGTCGCCCGGCGCGTAGTTGACGACCTGCCCGATGTCCTGGCGCAGTAGGTTGATGGCCACACGCAGTGCCGTGCCCGTTTGGCGTTCGTTCAGGGAGAGGCTGTCCATGTTGGCGAAGGGGTCGTCGGCAGGAGTGAATTTCTTGCAGCTGTTGACGGAGGGCAGGTTGGGGTTGCAGAGCTCGTGCGTTTCGATGCAGGTGAGGACTTTGACGGGGTTGCCCGTTGGATCGACCCCGAATATGGGGTCGTTTGTAGGTACGACGTTGGTGACATTGTTGGTCATGATGAAGAAGATGGAGGCCGTGTTGTTGGCATCGGTGGGAGGGCCTATGATAGTGCTATTGGCCACCCACACATCATCGCCGATGGCAAAGGAAGCGGAATCATAACTGGATGGCCTGGGGACATTGTTAACGTTTCTATGGCTGCGTAGAGTATGCAATATGCATGTTTTGAACGTATTTCGGGACTTTATACTTACGCGATCTGGTAGTTGGTCATTGGACGCAGAGCGTCAGAGTAGAAGAAGGTCGCTTGAGTTTCGGGAGTGCCCGTGAACCGACCGTACATGAAGTCCAGCCCGTCCGGCCGGGGTATGATACGATTATTCTGCATGGGAGAGCATCGGACGGACCGCTTGTAGACAATGGAATCTTCGGGCTTCGAGTTAATGCCGAGGTGCGTGTTGGAATTTACCGTCGCAACCATCTGCACCGGAACGTTATTACTCGAGATGCACAAGCCCGGGTCGATAAACGGACAACTATCGTCTTCCTGCTGGATTTCGATGGTGGGCACGGGAAAAGTTGAACACTCGGGCGCGCTGGTATCGGCGCCTTCAGAGTAGCAGAGTCGTTCGTACATCATGGCGGCCTCGAGGCGGCTCTTGAGGTAGATGTACTCCGCTTGATCGGGCCTCAATCGCTGATCTTCAACATCCGGGAAATAAAAGCTGCACGAATCGGTTTTGACAAGAAACTGCGCCCCGGCCGTGGACCAAGTAAGGGAGATGAAGAGCTGGGCGAACGTCGAAGCGACGAAGAAGACGAAGACGATGGTGAAGACGAAAAACAGCCGTTTGGCGACCGGGGCGACGCCGAGGCGAGCGCGCCACGCCTTGGCGACTTGGAATATTAATTGCAGGGCCTGGACGAGACCGGTGCTATTGCGCAGAATGGCTTGTATTTGGTGATGCATGCCGTCGTGCGTGTCGCCGCTGGAGCGGGACTGGTGCATGATGAATCGCACAATGTTCCACCCGCTCAAGGTAGTGATGCCCGCAAATATGACGAGGAAAGAAGCGAGAATACCAGCCTGTGTCTCCTCCATAGTCAACGTGAGGCGCCCTCCGTCGGCATAATTCTTCCATAAGCCGATAAAGGGCCGTGGCGGAGTCGGATTGAATGACATGGTGATGCTGTCTTTGTGTTCGAATGGGGGGCCAACAAAGGCTTCACAAGAAAGATCGCGAAGGATCGTGGATTTGCGAGCAAACAAAACAAGAAATCACGGAGCTTCATCCTGGCATCCGCGACCGCAGTTCTAATACTCCTCTTCTTCTTATGATACGAAACAAAAGCCCCCGAGTGCGCCTAGATCGCACTGCGCATCCGTTGCGTGCCTGCCATTGTGCGGGACTTGCCGCATTGCGATCCCCAGACACCATCAGCCTTAATTGAAAGTTCGCGCATATTTGGGGTCCTGTAACCAGTTTCATCTGCCAGGGCCGTGCTGACGCAGGGGGAGGATCCCCTGAAGTTTAGCTGAGGTTTAGAATGGGGAGCACATCCCGCTTCTCGCGTCATTTGGCTTTCCCGTCTCTTCTCAAACACCGTCAAACACTTGGGTCAAATGCTCTCCAGCTTTTAATTGGCTCCAGCCATCTTGTCTGGGCAAAGCCACACTCGATTCCAGGGTTGACCGAACCCCATCACAATGTGATGGGATAGCCCCGTGGATGTCAATGCGAGTAGAGCATTGAAGAGATGAAGGATATCCTCGTTGGTGAGGGGTGATGTCTGGATCAACGAGAAAATGCCCATTCAAGCATTTGCCGATTGGGGGGCGCATCGAGGGTAAACTTGGGCGAGTCCCCCACGGTTTCAATTCACGGACCACTCATCACCCCTGCAGCAACCTGATGTCCTCCTGCGCATGAAGGCGTTTCCATCACTTCATGAAGGCTCACGCTGCAAGTTTGGCGTGCCTGCCGGGTAACTCCAAGGAGATCCCCAAAGTTCAGACTAACCCCTGCAAGCGGGCCACCCTCCCTAAACCGGTCGCTTCTGCTTTGAAAGATCATGATGCACGATTTACCGAGATATATCGCATATCCGAATATAAACTAGAGATTGCATATTTATCCGTAAAAAAGGAAACTGCCGATTAGGGGGTTGACGGATTGGCAGATGATGACTAATCAGAGTTACAAGTCACCTGACGCGAGAATGACAGCAAAAAAATAAAAAAATAAAAATAAAAATAAAAGAAAAAAAAAATAAAAAAGAAGAGCAGTGCAAATGTCCAGAGCCGGTTTCGAACCAATAGCCGCTCTAAGTTACCCACCTTGCCTCAAAATATCTCCAGGTTCGAGATACCACAACCTCAACAGAGCACCCTGGAAAGAGATACGTTGCAGTCTAGTAAAATATGGATACTCTAGTGAGAGGAAAAAGAGAAAAAAAAAATCCCCACTTCTCCCTCCCCAATTTTAAATTTCCTTTTCCCATGTCCCAGATTCCTCCACGACTCATAGTTCGACCAGACCGGGTTCCACGCCGGCGCCTTGCGGAAGTAGTTTAGCAGTGCGTCATCGCCCGACTACTTGAGCTTCCATGAGTCGTTGAGAATCTAGAACTAAATCTCATATATAACACATACATGCAAACTGCGGCTCTCAAAAGCCGGAAAGTGCGATCCGAACGAACTTCCACTTCCACGACTCGACCTTGTAAAGTTTGTTACCTTTACTCATCTTATTTCACGAAATACTCCTAAGAAATGAATAGAGTTGACTATAGTAAGGCACTGGAAACCACTTGGTGGAGCTGATAAGCATGAGAAATCAGGCTACGTCCAGTTGGCGATACTTTGTCCTTCAAGATACCGTCTGTGGCGCAGAGCCATTCTTTCGGGAGAGGACCTTATTACCGTACACTCTGTATAAGTTATCTTCTAATAATAGGGCTATTTACGAGGTATTACTTCCGCTTGTGGTAAACATGAGTCTAGAAATAGCTACGAAATATTTCGGAAACACAAACACCAATCAAGCTTGCCTCCACTCGTAATTCCGGATCTGCAGTCAACCGGTCCCAACCAAGCCCGCTGAGCTGTATCGTCTGATGAACTCCTGGAGCTTGTCGAAGCTACACTCGGTCAAAAGGCTCTTGCTGCGCCCAGCTTCGTGGCCCATAGGAATGGAGTCGGTGAAGAGGAAAGCACTGATTGAGCAACGGGTCAATCGATGTGTGGATACTGTGGGTAGGAACACGACAGCTTGGAATCTTGCCTAGGCCCGTACAACCTGCACGAAAAAAATCCTTCCGTTGTCAAATTTCCTATTCTGAGAGACGCTGGAAATTGCAGCGGGACTATAATTATGTTTTGCACATGTCGCTCCTTTCTATTTTCTATCCCTTCGCGATTGCTCTGTCATTGATTGAGAAGGAAGGAATTTGCCGCGGCAGGTTGGCTGACCGAACTAATTTGGGCTTCAGCGTCTTCATCAAATGCGAGGCGGTGCTGGGTAATGACTGGGATATATGAGTTCGAATTTTGCCGCCCGGCCTTGGCAGCAACTGGAAAGTTGTGATCCGGATGGGTCTTTCTGTTTCGAAGTGGACGTATAGAAACATTGATCAATTCTTAAGAACTGCTTTAACCTCGCCTTATTGGTCTCTAAACAGAGAAATCCCGTGAGCAGAAACAAAAGCGGACCTATCGCCAGCCCCTTTCTTCATGTTGAGAAACATCTGTTCGTCTTCGCATCTCGAAGGAACCGTTGAAATTGACCAAAGTGTGTGTTGTTGAGACCCGATTGGCTGAAAACATCCCAGAGCAACGGATGCCACGTCGATCCGAGTGGTCAGATCTGGGGTGCCTGATGCTAAAATTAGGAACATACGTGCGCAGCTCAATCTAAAATCCACGGAGCTGCAGCCACTCCGACAGCACTGCCCTGCTCAAGCCCGGCTTTTCCCAAGAGGGTCATGGAAACAGAGCTGTTTCCGCGCTTGATGGCGGCAGCTGCTGTGCTGCGGCACCAAACAATCTAGGAAACGAGCTTCTTTCTGCAAGAGCTCGCCTGCGAGTGAGATCTCTTGGCTGAGCTGACCCACATTGCTTCGCGGCTTGGATCTATGATTAGAAGCTTCGGGTATCGATTTGTTTGGAAACAAATCCAGCCTCGGTCTCGCTGCACACCATCTCTGGCAAACCTACATAAAGGGATCGATGCACTCCTCAAACTTCGATCATAATCCAGATCTTCACACCATCGCAAAACATCATTAATAGATAAAAAGTAGTGCAACATCAACGGCATTATTCTCCTTGACATACTCGAAACCATCAAAAAAACATCACAAGTCTCCTCATATCCAACCAAACCTCCTCAAATCAAAATGAAGTGCTCCATCTTCTCCGCCGCCCTCATCCTCGCCGCTTCCACCGCCTCTGCCCTCTACGTTCCACCTAAGGAGGCCCCTCGCAACGTTAGCTCCGGCTCCGATCTGACTCCAGACGAGGTCATCGATGCCCCCATCTCGAAAGCCGAGTTCACCCGCCTGTACGAAATCGTGGAGGAACTTATCCAAAACGAGGACTACGTCGGGTTATCTGCCCTTCATTTCCTTACTGGAAACGCCCTGGAGGACTTTGAATCAAATGGCGAGAAGCCTCAGCCCTCCGCTGATGCTGCCCCCGAGGTCGTCGCCAAGCGGGGGAATATCCGCAATGTCAACCAGCAGTTCAGCGGCTTCTCCAGGTTCTTCAGCGGCCGACCTTAGGGGAGCCGACTTTTCTCTCTCCATTTTCTCCGTCCATTGGACTGGGCTCCTTGCCCCGGTTACGAGATCCACGATGCATTCAGCATTCAGCATTCATTCATCGGAGTTTGTGATTTTGCTTTTCAGGTGCATCGGCATAGGACAACGCATGGTCCGAAATACGCATAGATTCTTAGACGTTTCGGCTTTGGGGAGTCACAAGCATTCACTGCTTCGTGTATTAAATATTTTTCTTTTCTTTCTGATAGATATTTTGGCATGATCCTGTATTTACAATCAACGCAGCATAGCTGCAGAATTTTAAATCGAATTTTTCTCCATCTAACTTTTCGCTTCGGGCCAAATAAGAACACCACCAGGCAGAACTTGGGTGAATTCTATTCTTGCGGCGCATCCGTAAAGGCGAATCCTTCTAGAAGCAATCGACGGCATAATATGTCTGCTGGGTACCTGAAACTTGGGTGGCTGGTGCTCCAAAGCATGAGGATAGGAAATAGCATAGGCGTCTTCTGTTGGCCAACTGCCCAACTCTTCTGGCAACGTCGATTGTTTCGCTCTTGGCTGCTTTCTTTTTCAGTTGGGTTCTGACGATGCGTGCACCCTGCCATTTCCCTCTACCACACATCGGGCATTCATAGCGGGTCATGGCCGTTTCGAGGCGCAGAATACCCTTCATCCAACTCTGGACACGCATTTCGGTGTTTCCCCGGTTCACTACCTTTTATTATTAAAGCTATGTAATGGCGTATAGCTCAATGCACGTTGCTTCGGCAAGTTCTCCCATGCAACTTTCGAGAACCCTCCTTTCGTCCTTCCATCCCGGGCGACGTTGAAAATGATAACCAGTCCAACAAGCCCCCACTCTGAGCGGCCACTGGTTCCAGACACAGCTCTGAGCACCAACTGATGGTAGCAACCCGGCACAAAAACTATTCGGTCCCCCTGCCTAGCCTCGCCAGCTTTGACAAATGCAGGCTCTTCAATGCCACTTCTGGCATAATGCAAAACCGACGTGCTATGATCTTGCAGGTACTTCTTCCCTCCATCGAGTGCCGTGGCTAGAAATATTTTCAACTCTCGAAGCGCCCTTGGAATTTCGGACCCCGGAATTGTAGTGTCAGTTAATACTCCGGACACTATTTTCGTAACTAGCGCCTTCACTTCGGCGGGAAGGACAAACATCTTGTCAGAGACATAATGCCAGGTGGTGGAATGCACGACGTTGGGCGCTATTCCCAGGACTTCGCTGACCCCGCCTAAGTCGAAGGCCAGGAGCATGAGAGTCTTGCCGTCGTCGAGGAATCGAAATGAGTCGGAGGCTAGATGGTCTCTTCTCCCTGTTGCAAACTTGTATGCCTCGCTCTCAACCTTGCTCTGCCAGTCCGGAACCCACGACGGCATGTCCGGGCACATTCCGCATGTTGCAGCATCGAGAAAAGGCCAGGCTTTGCGTGTCCCTGGCGAGGTATGTTGCTACGGCTCGGAAGGAAACCCCAGTATATTGATATGCTCCTCTGACTGCCCCGAGGGCCTGTTTCACCTCGTCGTGGCTGGTCAATACGTACTCCGGCCGATTAAAAGTCCAGTACGTTGCAGCGCAGTCGAAAAAGGCACCCCAACCACCAAGCAAGCCGCCAAAGATAAGCCTAAGGAGGACAGAGCCCAGGGTGTTTCCGTACTTATACTTCGCCCATTCATCAACTATGAACGCGATGGACGTCTGTACCGGCTCGCTACTCATAACCTCAATGACGTTGGCAATCTCGCTCCTGCCTTTCTGAGCACCTCCAACCACCCCCAGGATAGCGTATAAGCGGTCTATTTTGTCCCGACACTCAAAATACCCCAACGTCCTTCGCAAAACATGTAAAAGACGATGCGAATACGACCGATCGTGAAAAGAACAGTTTAATTCGTCCTCACTGTCCGGGGAAAGGTAGCGTAGAAGATATGCCAATCCGAGTTTCGACAGTTGGGTCAATTTATGGGTGACACCGTTGTCATAAAATGGTGAGTAGCGAAATTCTTGAAACGTCAAGGCGAATCTCCGACTCCACTGAAATCTTTCGTGGAGATCCGTTGTGGCCTTGGCTCCCTTCAAGGCGCGGGCTTGGGCTTCCTGAAATCCTATGAAGTTGCAAACATGGCGACCGCACTGCAATTTGATCGACCCAGTCGCCAGTGCTGCTTCCTGGAGGACCCAGAGCCGTTGCCAGTATCCCCTTGTGGAAAGAGCAAGAAGCCCGGGCATCACCTCTTCCATGTGCTGCTCCAGTGACCGGCGCCGCAAGAAGCCGGGGATTGCGACGCGGAATCCACCGACAACCTGCATATAGTCGAATGCCCCCGAGATGTCATTCTCGTGCTGGCAGGGACCGGCTCCTGATCCTAAGGAGTCTTGACATGGCGCATAGTCGCCAATGCCGTGGTAGTCACCGAGCCATATCAGAACTGCCGTGGCGTTGGCGTACACAAAATCCATGCGACGGACCTGCACTCCCTTCTCGGCGTCGTCCTCCTGATTAATGCATAGTGCGTCAATCCACAATATTCGTCGACGTTTCTCGAGCCGGAGGTAGCGCAGGGCTAGTTCTAGATTTGGTGTCACAAGGATCGTCTCCCAAGTCAATGTCCCTTCACCGATGGAGTTCTGCGTTCGCCCGGACAAGAGAGGCAGATTGTAAACCAGTAACCATGGTTTTGTCTTTGCAGCTTCCGCTACTAGGCGCGCTGTCTTTTCGCAGGCGATACCCGAAATGTGGCCATACGATAAGCATAAAAATGCCATTAACCAATGTCGGGGGATAATTCCAAGGATCCAGGTTGGCGATTCGAGGGAAAATGGCGGCGCGATTTGACAGAAGAAGAGTGCAAGACCGGCCCAAAGTGTCACGCGTAATGCAGTAGCATGTTGTTGAGCGATCAGTCCAAATACACCGAGGGGTTTCTGCAAGATCCAGGCAAACCTGCCATTCGGCGGCTCATCTCCTTTGCTTGTCAGTTTCCGGGCTGGAGGGTCAAACCGCGCAACTCGGAGTGTTGACTTCGCCAGTGACCCATCGCCCCATTGGTATGAAAGGGCCTCGTATCGAGTCTTTACTTCGAATGCCCGCGTTTCTAGCACGCACTGGATTTCGTCCCCGAACTGGCCCGGGAGCAGATGAACAACGCGAAATTCGCTGGCCGAGATCGGTTTATATGGTGACATTTGGAAGGATCATAGGGATTCTTCTGGTTCATCAGTTTGCCTTTGACTCTTGTGCTCATCGGAGGCTTTAAAGTTGAGAATGAGGGGTGGATCGCTCAGATCTGTTTCGGCGCTGTGACATCAAAGAATCTTCACGACCTGTCCATTTTTCCACTTCGCAGGATGGTGGTGCCAGTGCCCTGCCTGATACTGGCTGGCTTGGTTGACCAACCTCTCCGCCAAGGGCCAGCGCCACCGCACAATTCTGCTAAAACGGAAAGGTGATTCCTTGCGACGCCTGCAAAAAGTGTAAGACGCAACTCGGGCGCTCATGGTAAAAATAGCTGAGTGGTAAGAATCGTCTTGGATGTTTGATGGTCTTAGTATTGACTATTGACGCACCGAGCTATACAGCTACCTACTTGTCAATGTTTACAGTAGACGTGAAAAGGATTACCGAACATTGATTTACAATATTTTTTCCTGAAAACTCTGGTGGAAACTTGGAGGCACTTTACAGCGGTGCAACAAAGTCTAGCACCCTACGAGACTTGGCTACCCATTCCCAGGTGGAAGTCGGATCCATCTAGGCCTGAGGAAAGGTATCACATTTCATACCTATATTGGGGACGTGTACACGCCCAACTTCATGGTTGGAATTTCATCGATACTCGTGTGCGTGCCTTTGCAGGTCATGCTGTTTGCCGCAACTTCACAAAATAGCCAGCGCATTTGGGGGAGATCCAACAAGACCAGGCACATTCAGTGGGCTAGACGACAGCATAAAGGCGTACCTCCCAGCCTCCTTGCAATAGTCTCCCAGGTCCTTGAGATTCCAATACTCTCCGATCGGCATACCAAATAGGCTGAGGAGGTATGGGTGTAAAACTACACATTGGTTCGGATGTCGTCAGCGTAAGCGCCTTGATTAAAATTCACGATGCCCGTAATTCTTACCAAGATCCTCGAGGCTCGCTACTGTTCCATCTTCCTTTAAGGGTGGGAAGGCCTCGAAAGCTGGAGTATCCGTCGCGGCCGCTGCAAAGTGTTTATTCCAGAACCATCGAGCCGTATCCTCGGACCCATGGATGCCAACTAGACCAACAGCCAACTTTGAGAAGACCTCACCGGGGTGTTGGCTCAGAAGAGCGTCAGCAAACCCGGTTCTGATTAGGAGGATATCGCCCGTCTTGAACTCGACCCCTTGGTGCTTCGCGACGTCTTCGATGTCCTGAACGGTAATTCTGTAGCCATTCAAAGGGTCATAGTCGATTCCCTTTGCTGCCGCATACTCCTTGTAATCGATCAAAACGCCTCGGCCGACTAAACCCCCACGGGAGTGCCAATGGTCGAGGGTGGGCAGGATGTTTTCGGACGTGGAGTTGACCGAAAGAAGCTCCTTCGTCGGTTTGAATCCGTTGTAGGCGAGACCGGATGGTTGGTGCTGCCAGTGGACTAGCGAGTCCCATTGCGTGCAGCACTGGGTGTTGAAAGACACTTCATCGTCGAAGCCATGGCCAGCCGACAATCCAGCTTCCTGCAAGGTCATGATGTTATGTTCTGGTTTTTTCCTGCCGGGCATCGGGACGGACTCCAGCAAGTTGATAGGCAAGCTAAACCGGGACTGGTCAATTTCCTTTCCTTTTCTCTGTTTCTTTTTACATTTGTGCACATACTTGAGTGAGATGGAAACTCCATCCTTCACCTCGGCAGCGGCACCCCTTACAACTTCGGGCGTCAAGAGATTTAGGGTGCCAAGGAGGTCTTTCTTCCCATCTTTGTCAAACAAACCCCAAGCGCAGCCCTTTGGCATGCCCTCAACCGGAGGTAGATCATCGAAATCGGGGAGGGCCTGCGAGCTCGCCATGGTGCAGGTATGTGAATGAGAGGACCCGACAATTTGATACCGGATTTGGCTCACTTTCGGGTTAAAACCCCCGCAGAACACGCAGGCAAGCACTGAAACTCTGGGTAATGCAGTCGAAGCGGATACATTAATAGCGAGTTGTTACGGTGATGCGACCACGCGGGGCCAGGCAACACTTTATTAACCGTGGCTACGTTGCCTAAGAAAGGAGAGAGAAACACGAACACGAGGGCGTGTTTGTGCACGCAGATGCTACCTCTCCAACGCATCTTATGTCGACATATTAAGCTTTTGATTTACCCTTACAAGGTGCAGCTTATTCATAATGCATGCTTACTTGAAAATTTAATCAACATTCATGCAGGCGATGATCTTCCTCAAGCGAGGTTGCATTTGATGCAAGTTTGCCCCTCTGAAGATGAACGTGCGGGGGAGAGCGGAAAACGACGAGAACGACGATCCATTCTGTTGACATGACAGCGGCCAACAATCGATCCCCACTCTCACTCGCAATATTGCCGCACAAAATAAACCGTCAGGGGTGTGGGGGGAACTGCAGAGGATCTGGTGTAGAGTGTTTATTGGTGCCTAACAAGATTTTGCTGGTTCCTGTCGAGCGAACAGAGCTTTTGGGCACCAGCAAATGGGCAGTCCGCTGGTAGACCGCATCTCTTCCGCTGTTCCTAGAGATGGACCCTTGCCAGCATTGCGCTGATTTTACCCCCTCGGCGTCGTATATTCTTATAGAAAACGTTTCAGTGTCGGATTTGTATAAGTCGGCAGAGAATGGCTGCTCGACATGTCGGGTCTTGATTCAACTCATTACTCCTTTCGTTCCCTCGCGACGCGACCCCGCGACACTCTCATATAGACTTCACGCATACACGCCGATAGGGCAGGAAGATTGGAATTTCAGGGTGGATTTGTTGGGTGTGGATGGCGAGGAAATATCCCTTGAAGCTTACATCACGGGCGGTACGTTTACCATGAAGTGGCAGGAACAGAGAAAGTTGGCGTTCGTTGCTCACATTTTTGTCTTTTATTTTCATGGCCTATTTGCTTCCTTTTACTGACAGATAGTGCTAGATGGCCGATGCCCGTGGAAAATATTCCCAGTGCAGAAACATCTCCCGCCTACCACACAATCAGACGAGAGCTTTCACTGGATCCTCACACAACTCCGAGAATGCACCACAAACCACAGAAAATGCCACGCTCACTCTGCCGACTTTCTTCCTACAAGACTCGTTGACGTTAACGTAAGTCCCGACGCTGTCGCTGTCCGCGAGACCTCGGCCCAACCTCTAGAGCCCTACCTAGCTCTCAGCCACTGCTGGGGTCCGCCTGGAGACATGACAATACGTCTAACTCGACGCGAATACCCTACCATGACCCATCGTATACAGCTGTCCTCTTTGCCCCCGACATTCCGCGACGCAGTTGTTGCCACCCGCGCCCTATCCATACGATGGATCTGGATCGATTCCCTCTGCATCGTCCAAGACGATAGCCAAGACTGGGAGCGTGAAGCCGTGCTCATGGGAAAAGTGTACCAGAACGCCGCCCTCACTCTCGCCGGCGCCTCATCCAAGAGCTGCATCGAGGGGCTCTTTAAGACTGTGCAAACCGTGCGCATTACAGAGACTGGGCGACCTGGAGATCAACCTATCGAAGTTTTCGCCCGTCTCTACGCGGACAAGTTATCGACTGAGTTCCCACTGCTACAGCGCGGCTGGGTTCTTCAAGAGACGCTGCTAGCCCGTCGCACCGTGTACTTTGGCCGCCGTGAGCTGCTGTGGGAATGCCGCCACGCCGCCACGAAGATGTCGAGTCCCGATCCCTTCGCTCAGCACCGCTTCCTCGACTGGACGTACCCCCTCGAGTCAAAATTCTTGCCAGGCATGCCGATTACAGATGTGCCTTATACCTGGCGGAAGATTGCCACTGTCTCCTCTAGCCTTGCCCTGACCTTCCCGCGTGACCTCTTCCCGTCGCTGGCTGGTATCGCGCAAATTTTCGGCACCTTAAGGCCCCCGCGATACTATGCGGGGCTATGGGAGGACTCTCTCATCATAGACCTGACGTGGAAGACATACTCGAGCGAAAACGAATCCTACTGCGGAAGGAGGCTCGTATCCTGGCGGGCGCCGACTTGGTCCTGGGGTTCCGTGCAGGACTGCCAAATCCACTGGGAGGCCGACATCACGGAGGCCGCTTCCCACGATCTAGATGTGCATGCTACACTCGTGCGGTTTCCAGGACACTCATGGGCATCTGCGACCGTGGAGGATGCGTCTCTGACACTGCGGGGAATACTCGTAAAGGGGTCGACGGAGGACTTGGAAGACCCTGAGATGGTGGGCTTCTTCCATCCAGACTCGGAGAATCTGCCATTCTTGAATCTCATAGATTTGGTTTCGGAGCCAGACGCTGTTTACTTTGCGAGGATGGTTAGTCGGCGGGGTCAGAGGTTTGTTTCGCTCGTGTTGCAGTGTTTGGATGAGCGGTTGCAGGTGTACGAGAGGATTGGGGTTATATCTGCTCTACTGCCCGAGTCCAGAGGAGATTATGGGTACGATTCGAGCAGTTCCGGTGATAGTGATAAGAACGAGGGTAGTGTGGCGCAGAGGAGGCCGAGCATTCTCTGGTGGTACGGAAGTAGGGATGTACGGGCCGAGGAGAGGGTGTTTACGCTGGTTTAATCGTGCAATATGTTTATTTACTCTCAACTTTGAGGGCGGATCTCATAGAGCTCTCGGTGATTACAATATGATCATTTTCCTTATTATAGGTAGCTTCTAACAGCTATACAAATTTTTCATTCTAAGGAAGCCACACTTCAGAGTCACTTACTCCGGCGACGTTCGACTACTTTCCCAATCCTTTCCCAAAGCCTGACCAGGGTGGTGTGGGTGACTCGGGGCTAGCCGGAGTCATTGGAGGGCAATCGACTCCATTGCCCAATGAAGGAGAGTGTCAAGCACCCCAATGCCACATTTCCATGCACCTTACGAAGTACACCCGCCCACATATTTAACATTTTCTTCATACCCTTGCCCTTTAATTACACTTGACTTTGGGGAAGAAGGATGAGGCGCAGGTTCATGGCGCATGCTGACTTGAATGTTGATGTGCAGGCGATGATCTAGTTCGTCCTTCAGTAAGCGAGATTGCATTTGATGTAGTAGTGCAGCTTGGCAAGCCTCTGAATATGCAGGAGCCATGACGGCGATCCACAATCTCGCAATATCGCCGCACTTTTGAACTAAGTTTGGTTGAGCAAGGATGCGGGGGAATTATGAAGGATCAACGGGCAGTCCGCGAGCAGATCTGCATCTCTCCCGCTGTCTCGATCCACATGCCCATCTCGGCCAAGTTCATTCGTTGGCAATATCATGCATGAATACGCGTATCCATCGACAATTGATTCGACCATACTGGTTTCCAACCCGCGTTCTCCCGGTGCCGATTTGATGTACTCGGTGTCACTGTCATCTGGATCCTGAATCCTGATTAGGGTTCGAGTCTAGAATGTCGTTCGCGTTTTGGGTGGGCCTCCACGAAGCTCAGCATTTGATATCGAATGGGTAACCGCATCAAATGAACCAAGCCGACACTAGCTAGCGCATTAATTCTCGGAAATTTTATGAACATTGGCTCTGCTCGGAGCTTCAGGAACCCCTCCAACCCCCCTAGTCTGGCAAACGGCTCGGTCCGGTGTTAGCTGCTAGAAGACGCAAGGGAGGGGCACAGTGACCGTCTGGTTTTAAATTCGTTCATCGTACTGCTGTACTATCTATGTTGTCGCGAGATCTTGCCACCTTCCCTCACCGAATCAACTAGATGTTGTCGCGCAAGCTCATTTTCCTTGATAAAAACGTATCTCACCACGCTTCAAGCCGTGATTTGTAAAGCGTCTCTTACCTTGGCAAGGATTACGGAGCCGAGCAACTGAGGCCCAAAGGCAGTCAAGTCCTTATGAAAAGGATTCACACCAGAAGGCAAGGGGAAGGAACCACCAAACTGTAGAATCCGAGATGGTCACGATCGGGCTGCAAGAGAAAAGACAACGCAAAGGGGGTCCCACAGAGGACTTGTGGTGGTGAAATGAAGTAATCCCGTGATGACAATAAACACTGCCTGGAGTTGCCTCCCCCATTCAGGTCCCGTATGAAGGCTCGCACGACAGCTAGACGATGAGGACCATGTCTGAGATCCACTGGGCTTACCCCGATATTTGATCTATGTCGTTTATTGGAGGAGATATAACCTTTTTGACAGAAGCTTACCGAAAGCACGGGGGATGTGGATTCTAATTTAGACCAGGAGAAAAAATCGGTAAAGCGGCAGAATGAACAGTCCGGGTGGAACGACGCCACCCGATCCTCTCCTCGGCAGCTTTCCGTTGGCTAAGATCCCCTCGCTTAAACAGCATTGCAACCGGGATGTACTAAGCTCTTAGGTCGCGTCCCTTGCACCCTCGTACTCGTATTGGCTGTTAACATAAAGTAGTCGGAGCGTCGATCGTCGCCCAAGCCCGATCCACAGCTCCGAACCGGAACACAGTGCCACCTGTCCTTGGTACATTCGCTTGGGCAGTGGATGCAACTTTTACAGTTTTAGATTTTCTATAAATAAAACGTCAGCTTCGGTTTTAAAGCCTTCGAGCTCTTCTCTGTGATCTCGATAAGGTTCAGCCATAGCTTGTGCGACACAAACAATACAGGATTAAAATATTAAGAAATTCTGGAATATTGAAAATGGCGGCGCCTGCTGTTGATTTCGTCGCCCTCACGCAAAAGTATGCCGAAGAAAAGGACAAGCGTCTACATCCCGAAGGCATTTCGCAGTACGTACAGCTCGCCGACTCCGAGAAATGGAGCAAGCTGTCGAGGGACCCGTGGGTTGATCACGCCGCTCTCAATGCTTCTCCCGACACGCTCAAGGACGGCGACGAAATAAAAGTCTTGATTCTCGGTGCAGGGTACGGTGGCCTCTTGTACGCGGTCCGTCTTATCCAGGCCGGATTCGCGGCTGATGATATCCGCCTCGTCGATGTCGCTGGTGGTTTCGGTGGGACCTGGTATTGGAATCGATACCCCGGGCTCATGTGCGACGTGGAGAGCTACATCTACATGCCCTTGCTGGAGGAGACTGGTTACATGCCCCAGCACAAGTATTCGTACGGATACGAACTGAAAGAGCACGCTGATCGTATTGCGGAAAAATGGAATGTGAAGGCGTCGTTCCGCACTGCGGCGGTATCGTCTACTTGGGACGACGAGGCCAGGCGCTGGGTCACGAAGCTGAGAGAGGACCGTGGACCTGAAGGCACAATCGACCTGACGGTTCGTTCTCAATTCGTCATCAACGCCAATGGGGTTCTCAACCATCCCAAGATGCCGAATGGTCTCGAGAACTTCGACGGGAAAGCCTTCCATACGGCTCGGTGGGACTTCGACGTCACCGGCGGGAACCCAACAGACTGGACTCTTGACAAGTTGCAGAATAAGAGGGTCGGCATCATCGGAACCGGCGCTACGGCCATCCAGGTCGTCCCGCAACTGGCCAAGTGGGCGAAAGAGCTCTATGTCTTCCAGCGCACACCATCTTCCGTAGGTGCTCGCGACCAGCGCCCGACCGATCCCGAGGAGTGGAAGTCCAAGATTGCCAACAAGCCTGGTTGGCAAAGGGAGCGCTCTCGGAACTTCAACCAGTTCCTCACGGCTGAACGCCAAGGGGAAAACCTCGTTAACGACGGCTGGACCAAGGCCCTCGCTTACCACACCCTCATTGGCACTCCGCACGAAAAACCCATAATGATGGAAGATATTCCCAACCACATTGGCAAAATGGTGGCCCTCGACTTTGGGTACAGTGATGGCACGCGCCAGCGCGTCGAGGCTATCGTAAAGGACAAACAAACCGCTGAGCGTCTGAAGGCGTGGTATCCCGTATGGTGCAAGCGGCCTGCTTTTCACGATGATTACCTGCGTACATTTAACCTACCGAACGTTCACCTAGTCGACACCGAAGGAAAAGGTGTTACCGGTGCCACGGAATCCAGTCTTCTGGTCGGCGAGAAAGAATACCCGATCGACGTTTTGGTCTTGAGTACGGGCTATCGCACTCCACTGGCCGACAACGGCGAACCTGGAGCCCACTCTAACATGAAGTTTACCGGCCGCAACGGCAGGACCCTCCTAGACAAATGGGTTTCCCAGGGCGCCACCACCCTCCACGGGGTGCTCACAAATGGATTCCCGAACCTATTTCTCACGGGCCCCGCACAGACGGGTGCCACCGCCAACTTTGCATGGGTACAAGATGTCCTCTCTCAGCATATCGCCTACATTGTTTCCAAGGCGTCGGAGAGTGGCGCAAACAACGCCGTGATTGAGGCGACCGTGGAGGGTGAGGAAGCCTGGGCGATGCAGATCATGGCTTATGCGGGGCTTGTTGCGCCTATTGGGATCTGTACACCGAGTTATCTCAATAATGAAGGCGGTTTGCCCTCGGATATGGCGGAGAGAATGAAGATTATGAGGGGTGCGGCGTATGCCCAGGGAATGAATGCGTACGAAGACGTTCTCATCAAGTGGAGAGAAGATGGGGATCTGAAAGGACTTGTGATTTCGTAGAAGTTATGGTTGTCCGTTTCTAAATATTTATTGAGAGTTATGTATGTATGGAGCTGCATTTTTGACTTCCGATATGTTCTACCCCTCCCCGTCACCTGTGACCTTTCGTTTTGTGAGCCGCAAGTATGCTCGCGTCGGCCGAAGAACGCAGCTCGGACAAGCCTTCAAAGCCAAGATGGCGAAAGAGGCGAAAATGGGGCTTGTGGCGGCTGAAGAAAACGCAACAGCATTTACACGTTTTCAAATGACGGTGTTGCTTGTGTTCTTTTCTAGCTCTTCGCCCCAAATGTTGATATCCCACTTAGGGTTAACTTGAAAGAAGCTTTATGTCAGTACCGAATCGTATACCAAACCGCACGTTTTGATGCTGTAAAAACCACAGTTAGAATTAGGCACTTACAAGTGTTGGGGATGTTGTATCGACGAGGAGTTTCGCCTATCTTGTTGATGATGGCAATGTCTTCATCCGCAAGTTTGACTTCTTCGAAGTTTGACTTGATGCGAGAAGCAGTGACGGATTTAGGAATGACGGAGTGTCCCCCAACCTGTGCCCATGCGAGACTGCGATGGCAAATGAGACTTAGTTCTGTGTTCGCCAACAACTGATTGGACGAGGCCAAATTGTTGTGACTTACAGAACTTGCGCCGGGGTTGCGCCGATCTTCTCTGCGATTTGCTTGATAACCGCGTGCTCGAGTAGGAGAGGCTCGCCAATAGTATTGTTGCCGAAGGCCTGCACGACCTCAGGTCAGCAACCAGAAATTTAGGGGAAGCAGTTCCTCAGTAGTATGATGGGGAACGACCCACAGAGTATGCGGTGAGGTGAATATTCTTTCCCTTCGCGTACTTGACGAGCGGATCTTGGGGGAGCAGTGGGTGGCGCTCGACTTGGTTCACCGCCGGAACGACCTCGGTAGAGTCGATGATAGCCTGCAGATGCTCGGGGGCAAAGTTGGAAACTCCGATAGAGCGGACTTTGGACTTTGGAAGGTTGACAAGCGCTATAAAGATGATGTCGGTGAGATCCCATGTTCCCAGTGGTTGTTGGAGACTACTAACCTTTCCAAGTATCCACAATCGACACGCCGCGGTCGATTACGACCTCATTACTTCCTTCGGCGGTTAAGGGAAATAATTTATCGTCACTGGTCTTCGAAAATGCGACGGGCCAGTGAATGAGGTAGAGCTATCACGATAAAATGAGCATGCTGATAATGAGAATGGAGGGTGGAATCCTACGTCAAGATAGTCGAGCTCTAGCTCACGGAGAGTTTGATCCAGAGCTGCTTCCACGTGCTCAGGACGATGAGAGCTTTCAACTCTTCAGTATTAAATGCACTTTGAGAGAAAATGTAAATCGGATCGGAGAAGCCTTACTTGTTCCATAGTTTCGATGTCTGAGGGGCGAAGCTGTCAGGAATGAGCTTTATCCTGGAAGAGGGGACTGTACTTACAATGAAGATGTCCTGTCGTTTAAGGCCAGGGATTTCTGCGAATGCCTTTTTCAATCCCTTGGCAACGTCTGTTTGGTTTTCGTAGCTAATTACAGTCAGCCCTGAGGTGTCTAGGGGATCAACGGATTGACTGACACCTTTGCCAGATCCTGGGTTGAACTGTTAGCACACAGGTAGCTCTCGAGATTTTCCTGCTAGTAAACTTACCAAGTGACGATATCCAGCTTTGAGAGCCTCATATACTCCAACGGATACTTCGCCCGGCGCGGACTGCCAGGTGCCGTAACCGAGGGTGCTTACGCCTATGGTGTCAGTGAGGAGGAGAAGGTGGGAAAGCTCCCAAGACCATCATCTTTGGAAAGTATCTTACGGAATCTCGTGGCCCGAGTTAAGAGTAACCTTCGTGCCGAACGACATTGCAACGTCGAGCTCTAGTTGACTGTTTTTCCTTTTTTTCTCTTTTTTTTTCTTGTCCGTCCTTAGAAGGTGTTGGTGTGTTGATACGTAGGTTCCTCCAATGCGAGGGCAGCTCTGCCTTTTAGGCCATACTTCGGAAATCACGCTCACGGTAAAGCGGTTATCTGGAAAGTGAGATCAATAGAGACCCGGATGGCGCCATGCCTTTTAGACCGTATGGACTAGCCGGCTCAATCACATCAAGCAACTTGAGTTACAGTCTAGCCCATTAAGGTAGTTTCTCGCCGACGAACCAAGCCAGTTCTTTCACCATCTCGAATCGGGTGGGTCAGAGTGGCACATGGCACTTGGGAAAATTTAGCGCTGCGTTAGTTGGTCCATCCGTTGACAAGCATTACCAGGGCCCGTCGCCATCGAGGAAAATGAAAGGGAAGTCTGAATGATATTCGCACCCGTATCGACCCCAGCTAGATTCGATCTCCCTTGCAAATGTATCACGCGCCTTCAAGTCCTGTCGGCTGTGGAATGATTGTGGCGTGTCGTCATTCGCAGTGCTCTTTCCTACGATACGAACATTTCTACTCATAGAAGAGGACAGCCAGTGCGGCCAAGGGTAAACAGAACTGACAGATGTGGTGATGCGCCGCGCCTTGGGTCCCCATCCCACTCTCTTGGTTAGTATCCGGGGAAACATGGCCCATGCATAACCTTAAAACTCAGGATTAAGCCATATTACGCACTAAATCCTCTTGGCTCGCGGCTTTTGTCACGGCGGGAATTACCATTTCAAGGGAATGTGGCTAGGACCAGGAGTGCAACCCGAGCACTCGGGTTGCCAAGAAGAAAGTCGGCAAAGGGGTCGTCTTTCCATGAAAGAGGGTCTGGTGTTCTATAGTTCGCCGAGAAGATTCCACATTCGGTTGCCTTATTGCTATGTTTAGGTCCTGGGTTACACTGGTATACGGGTCGATCGGAGGTGGCAAGTTGGATTACTATGGATGCTGAGTTTGACACTGCGTGTATAAGTATGCGATTCATCAAGGATTCGCTCTCTCTCACACCCAGGAAGTACGTTTACGCTCTATCACTTGAGGAGATCAACGCCATGTTTTGAGAGATCAAGATGCTCGCATATCCTAGTAAGTGTTCCAGACGGCATCTTCCCCCTTTAAAGGCTCGGGACCTTCGAGGCTGATGACTTTTAGTTGTGCTACTAGCAGGAGGGGCGCTTGTCGTGGCCTTGACCTATCCTGTTATCTATTACTTCCTCGACCCGAAAGGTCTTCGAAAATACCCAATCCCTTCGGTAGCAGCGATTACGCCACTATGGCAGATGTACCACAACTGGTATGGTGAGAAATACATTGCGGTCGACAAGGCACACAAACGAGTCGGCAAAGTAGTTCGGCTGGGACCAAATCATGTCTCGTTCTCATCACCGCAAGCCTTCAAGGATATCTATGGCCATGGAACAACTGTCAGGAAGGACATTTTCTATGACAACCAAGCGGCTGGAAACCCAAACATGGCCGATGCCACGGATAAAGAGGTACACAGGAACAAGAGGAGGAATCTAGCGCACGTCTTCTCCCCCGGGAAGATTACTGAAATGGAGCCCCGAGTGATGCAAGTCGTGCGCAAATTACTTCGAGCCGTCGAGATGAAGTCTCGGGGACTGCGCATTGCAGACACCGACCGCTTTCCAGTCAAAGACGGAGTTTTCGACCTCCGCCCTTGGCTGAACATGTTCTCTTACGATGCCATTACCAATGTTTTCTGGTCACAGACGTACGGCTTTCTTGACCGTGGAGATGACGATTGCCCTGCTGAGCGCAGCGATGGTACCATCACCACAGTCCATGCCATGCACACCTTCCATACAGGCGCGGCTCACAGCGTTCTGGTCGGCCACCTCTCACCGTTCTGGTATGACCTTGTGCGCAATAAAATACTGGGTTGGACCGACCGCACCAAGTGTGGCAACACTTTCACAGACATGGCCCGGTACCTCGCTCATAGGCGCCTCGAGAGTCCTCCCCCAGAACCTGATCTCTTCTCGAACCTTCCCACAAGCCCAACTGAGAAGAGAGAAACCCCTATGTCAGACCGGGAAATCATTGCAGAGAGCTCAGTCATGCTCAACGCCGGAAATGATACGACGCAAACTTCCTTGACCAATATCATGTTCTACCTCGCGGGCCACCCAGCAGCACAGAAAAAGTTGCGTTCCATCCTCCGCGAGAGTTTGGACCCAGAGCAGATCCCAGTAGCGCCTTATGAGACTCTTCGCCATATTTCCTATCTGCGCGCCGTCATAGATGAGTCCTTCCGCATGCAGGCGCCGCTTGGTACGGGCCTACCGCGGTTGACGACCAAGCCGATAGTGATAGACGGCGAGTCGATTCCTGCCGGGGTGACGGTGTCAGCACAAACGTGGAGTCTCCATCGTCGGGAAGACCTCTTCCGCCATGCCAATGAATGGATTCCGGAGCGGTGGCTGCCATATTGGGAGGAGTCGACAGAAACAGAGCGCCAAAACCTGAAGGAATACGTGCTTCCGTTTAGTCTGGGGCCGAGGGCGTGCATCGGACGAAACTTGGCATACATGGAGATAAGTATCTGCATTGCTGCGTTGGTTCTGGCGTTCGAGTGGGAACTGCCGGAGAAAGGGCAAGTTTTGAGGCATCATGAACGATTCAACTGCAATCCCATCGAACTGCCAATACGGGCAAAGTATCTACTATGAAGAGCCGCGGCCGGAGAAGCGGTTCCAAGGAACGTGACGTTAGCAAGGGATCGATGTTATTAGTGTTATTAGCCAAGATTGCTTAAGATAGGACAAAAAAAAGAGTTATCATTGTTACATGTCCAAATTTCCGAGCCCAGAAATTCCTCTCCTGTAAGTACGACGAGCAGCCGATCTTGGCTCTCCCTATTCCTTCGCATCAATTGGCTGTACCCAGGAGCTACTCTGTCCGCTCCATATTCTCCAGAGCCGATCACAACATGTTTGATTTGGCCAGGCAGTCTCCTTCATGAAGTCCTGAAGAAAATCGATCAATCTAGTTTGCTCTTCATATCGAGAAAAGAACTGTCCGCACCAGGAGACCAAGTGAGTGCCGTTGATGGAGACCCCAGCATGGTCGCTCGACAATGTGATGGCGCATAGCAATCTGCATTGCGACAGCACTTTCGACTGCAAAGTTGGATTAGAATAGACTTCCAAGCCATTGCGGGTTCGAAGAGTTCAGTCCTGGCTCGACACTCACCTCCATATACCGCGTTATTTCGATTAAATTCATGTCTTTGGGCATCTTATACAAGACCACGAGAACCTTCGCTGCGTAATAGTACTGCCACGCAACAGCTAAGATCTCCGTTAGAATTTAGTTACGCGTTTAGGGCCAAGGGGGGGTTTAGGAACCGAACCATGCCAGGGACTTATGTACTTGATTGTACGAAACGGGTCGTTTTCCGCCTGGTACTCGCTCCATGGCTGAAAAGTCTCAGGGATACTTTCTTGCCACCCCTCTAATAATTTCTCCAGCTCCTCAAGTAGTTCATTTCTTAGTGTTGGTTCCAGTCCTGGATCCCAGCAAGCTGAGCATGTCCTCGCCAGCAGCGCGGTGACACGGTTTGTCCACACCACGTCAGGAGCCGGAGCGGTTCCAACATCGTCCGCAACTAGGGCCATGTCAAACTTACATGGCTCTTCGTTGAGGAATGCGGCACGAAGCTTTTGTCTCATGTACAGCCAGAAGGCAGCAACGCCTAGGGAGGGTCGTGCTTCGGTTTCTGCTTTGCTTATGAGAAGAGACGATGCTCCAGCAAGATGGCAACGTGCGTCATCTTTGACCTCGGAAAACTGCTCTGCCATGCGCAAAATGACAACAGTAGCAAGGAGGATCTCACGGCGAGCCTCATCGCAGGTACTGCTGGTGGGTAATTGTGGAATCAGGGTCGAAATTGCCGTATCTTCGTACACATCTCCCTGAGCCTTGTCGAGTTCACCTCTGCGAGTGAGCACGCGCGATGCGCATGTTAGGCATGCGTAACAAAGCGCTTTGTTTCTCAATGCCATCTGTGGCACCCTCTCGCCGAAGTAACGACTTGGCGAAGCAATATCAAGCTGGCAGATGGAGTTTTAGCGGCAGCTTCCGAATGGGGGAAAATATTAGTTACCGTACCCAATACCCTACGTGCGTGATGTAGAAGCTGAAAACCCTCTCATCTGTACTATCAGAGATAACCCGGCGGAAGCCTGTATCGGCATATGAGTCTGGCGTTGAGGGATCGGAAGCAGGCTGTCTGTGGAGCGGTGGTAGTGGAGTGGAATTGTGAAGTTCGACCCAATTGTTTACGCAAGGTGAACGGTTGCTGTCAGGACTAACAGCGGCAACGGTGCTACTCTCGACTCTTAGCCCGCAAGGGTTTGAAGGGAGTGAGTCTAGTGCTGCGCTGCTACTAGTACAGCCCGACGGCGAAAAGTAGCCTCCGTCGTCATACTCCGGCGTTCTTGCCGGCCCCGGCTCTGGTGAGACACCGCCATGATCTTCTGACATCGAGTTATCGTTAGTTCTAGGAATGGCATTGTTAGGAAAAACTAGGCCTGGCATTTTGTGCCCACCAAGTTGTTGTTGGTTGACACTCGGAGTTATGGAGTTGTGGGCAGCTCCTGTATTCTTCCAAGGACCCAGATCTTCACCAGAACTGTCAACCGACAGTGTGCTATGCCTGAACCTCAAGGTCGGCGGTCGGTAGTCGCAGCTGAGAGGGTATCGGGATCGTCGGCAGCTGGAGCACTTCGGCTTGGCACGGTCACCTGTCGTCGTCAGTCCACTATTAACAGAGGGGCTCTTTTCGTTCGCCTGAGGGCAAGCCATACAGCGCAAATGCCGTTCACGGCAGGGTGTGCTAAACGAGACACAAGTCAGCCTGTTCCAGCCAATCCATGAAGACGGATGGCCCTATCGACTTACCACCCGGGTTTACGAGCCTTCTTTGTGGATAAGTCCGTTGTCGACATGGTTCCGACCATTCGAATCCTGGGGGCGGGTCTAGGTCCCAAGGGGCTGGTCGTGTTGTGGGTCTGAAGTGTGAAATTCCGGGGACGAAATGAAGTTGGATCTCGAAAGGTTAAGAACTCGCCGAGCTGATAACGATCCAGAAATGAATAACCACTACAAGACGCATGGAGATGCGGGGGAAGGGTTTTAAGGCTCAGGTGGGACCAGGAGATTGGTTCATACTTCGCGTTTGGGACCTTTGACTTGGTTCTGGCACTACTTTTTTGGTCAATTCCCCATCATCTAACTTCTATTGATCTCCTGCCGAGGCCAGGACCCCTCTTCTCTCCACTCCAATACCAGCCAAGGTGCTTAATCAAGTCTAGTTTAGGTTTCTAGTGCGAATTAGATCGTCTCGCTAATCACAAACTCTTCGCGCACCGAAGGTAGATGGATGGGCGGGCCCGATCTCGACCTGTGATTATTGTCACGCGCGGGCATGGCGACGATTCAGGGATGGACCAATTCTCCATAATTGGACTAGAAATTTGAGCCATGCCAGAGCTTCACAAACTAGGAAACCTTTCAACTTCACCCCGCAAAAAAAGATCTGGGGAAAATAGTGTGCTGCCGGGTCCCGACCGGATCCTTTCCGGATCCGGTAAATCTCGGCGAGATCTTGAAGGTCCCCGCATGCTTTCCCCAGCGATACCCGCATGAAGCATGGAGGGGTTTATTCCCTTTTGTTGGAACTGGTAGACGTCCGTGCCTAGACTCTAGAACGACGGAGCTATCAGGAGCCCTAAAAAAATCCGCAACATCTTCACCGGCTCGGAGCTATATATTGTCGTGCATGGAATGTCTCGATGGACATCAACAGCATCTCTCGTCTCTCATACCGTACCTCGATACGGATCATTGTTTCCTAAAACCATCTTTTCTACCTTCGCCTGCTGGTAGCCATGTCCGAAAAACTTCAGAGCGAGCTCGTTGAATCGAACTCGGACCAGGCCTCGGGCCGAGTCGAGTCAGCTCCCAAAACGAGCGTCGCAAATGTGGATGTCAACGCGCCTCGCGCGAGATACGCCTTTGGATACCAAGGCAAAACCTTGATGAGAACCATTTCGACTTGTGGTGCCATTGGCTTCCTCCTGTTCGGTTATGATCAGGGTGTCCTCGGGGTAGGTATCTCCTCTCCCTAAAATCGAGACTCTGCTTAACAGTGTTTTTGACTCGCATCACAGGGCATCAACACCTCTCAAGACTTCCTTGACCAGATGGATAACCCATCAAACAGCTTGCTTGGGACGATCAATGCAATCTACGAGTAGGTTGCGACCGTCATATGCTAGTAAGGCTTTGGGTCTCTTCTAATTCGCCTTTCTGTCAAACAGAATCGGTTGCTTTGTCGGAGCCATCAACGTCTTCCTCGTTGGCGAGAAGCTTGGTCGGCGAAAGTGTCTTTACATCGGAGCCGTACTCATGGCCATCGGTGCCATTATCCAGGCTACATCTTTCCATGTCCCTCAGATGATTGTTGGCCGAATTGTTTGGTGAGTTTTATCACACTTACCTCTCACCATCTAACACTTTCAATGTTGCCTAATAACCCTCTATTGCAGTGGATGGGGTAACGGCTTCAACACAGCAACGACACCGCTCTGGGTAAGCGAGCTTAGTCCCGCCAAGTCCCGCGGACGTCTAGTGGCCGTAGAGGGTAGCCTGATCGCCTTCGGCATTGTAATTGCTTGCTACTTCAACATTGGCATGTATTATGCCAACGGGCCGGTCGTCTGGAGAACGCCAATCGCAGCCCAGCTTATCTTCATTATTGCCCAAGTTGCCCTTGTGGTGATCCTGCCAGAGTCCCCTCGATGGCTATCCAAGCGTGAGTTAAGACTTAGAAAACACAAAGGAGAAAAACGGGGTTGACGCAGAGGCTGATTTCATGATTACAACAGATGGCCGCCACCAGGAAGCTATCGATATTCTAGCCCAACTTAAGGGTCCTAATACGCCGCTTGACGACCCTGCTGTTTTGAGCAAGAAAGCGGAAATTGACCAGGTCTTGTCGGTTGAGCAGGCGGACGGTCCGATGAGGGTTAAGGAGTATATCAGCAGTGGGCCTCTCAAGATCCGTCGGCGGTACCTTCTAGCTATCGGTATGCCACTCCCTTTCCTCGCGTTCGTTTCGATTGAGCTGACCATGTGAATGTGGTACAGGCGTCCAGGTTATGCAGCAGCTTAGCGGAATTAACCTCTTGGTAAGTATATATTATGCCTTGTAAACTCAAGCCCCAAAATCTTCTGACATGTCTTCGTAAGGTCTACTATTTCCCTCACATCCTCACTTCCGACCTTGGTCAAAGCCACGCTACCGCCCTTCAACTCGCCGCCGGGCTCGCAGCCACGTATTGGGTGTTCAGCCTAATCCCTTGGTTCTGGCTAGATAGAATAAGCCGCCGTATGCCTCTCATCGGCGGAGCCATTGTCTGCTCTTTCTGCTTTTTAATCGTGCGTGTGCTGGCTATTTTCCCTTTCCGACTCCATCACTTCTGCTTACACTACTCTCTCTGCAGGCCGCCATCCTCCAAAGCAGCCCTACCGACGGGCGTATCAAGGCGTCACTGGCCTTTTTCTTCCTCTTCGAAGCGGTCTTCGCGATTGGATGGCTCCCAGTTCCCTGGCTCTATCCAGCGGAGATCATGCCTCTACGCCACCGTACTCAGAGCGCTGCAATCGCCACTGCCGCAGATTGGATTTTTAACTACATGATCGTGCAAATCACGCCGATCATGATCGGAAACATCCGCTGGAAGTCGTATCTTGTCTTCTTTGTTTTGAACTTCTGCCATGGCATTATTGTTTTCCTGTTCTACCACGAGACTTCAGGACGCTCGCTCGAGGAGATGGACTCGATGTTTCTTGGCGATAATGACCGAGTGTTTGTTGTTGACAAGAAGGGCAAGCTCCTTCCTGGTTTCCGCGGACGCTACGATGGCAAAGACGAGTATGATGTTGCCGAGGTTGGCCAGAAGAATTAGGTGTGATCAATAAGGAAAAGGCGGCATTAGCATAGCATCGGCCGCATTCTATCCAACTTACGCCCTGAGTGAGGCTTCTCCGGGGCCTTGAGGGCTGTCCTTGAGGGCTCTATTCTTCTCATCTAACTGCAATAATAATAATAGTTCTTCATTCACCATTCTCGTGTATTACTATGCATTACTCTTATCATTCACCCTCTGTCTTCGACCTAGAAGCACGACGTAAGCGTCTCTCCAGCCTCGAGGCAGAGTGCCAACGAGTACATGGACCATGAGGATTGTCCAGGGAGGAATATGTACGAAGACGTAATAATAATCAAGGAAAGGGAGATCTGAAGGGGCTTGTATTTTCTCCGCAGTTTAGACTTTTCTTTTTTCCCTTTCAACTTATTTATATCGAGGGCTTTCTCTTTCGATATGTTTAACGCGTAACATTTGCGAGGCCACAATGACGCAGACGTCAGCCAAAGAATACGGCTGAGGCAATTCGCAGAGTCAGGACGGCCAAAGAGGCAAAAGTGGAGTTTGTGGCAGTGGAAGAATAAGCAATTCGGGGGCTTTTTGACCCCGATCGTACTCGATAAGCTAAAAGCTTGGCCAAAAAAGTAGCCCGTTTGGGAAAAGATTTGGCAGATCGACCTTGTGGATTGCTTCAGCCCTCGCCATGACCGAACATGACCACTTTGAAATCCGCGCCCCAATTCTGATTCATGATATAAAGAGACAGAATCGACAGGGAGATGGAAAAGCTGAAAGTTGATTCTGCTTTTACCAAGGAACTCCTGGAAGATACTACTCTACCCTTAGATTTTTTGCATTGCAACTTTTATATCTCCCATGACCAGTTCAATGTCGTTCCCAGCCCCTACAATACGTCTTGCCATCGAGAAGGCTGGAAAGGATAATTTGGTTATAACCCAACAATCCGGCGCCCTTGGCGGCGACGTTTTGTTATACTCGATTCATCAATCAGACGCAAAGCCACACGTCACTATAACTCGAGCCAACGATCTCAGAGATGTAGTCGGAACCATCTCATTCCACTCGCTCTCCTCCAAAATCGAAACCACACTTCGCGGCGAGCCTATCCAACTCAAGCGGAAGGACCTTTTCGCAGACGCTCACTCCTTCCGTCATCACTCGGTAGGGGAGATGCATTGGAAAGAGTCCAGCTTTCTCGGCAGCGGCGTAATCCTCAGGGATTCTCAGAAGCGCAACATCTGCAGGTATCGTAAACGACACGGATTCGAGATGCTCGTACCGATTCCTGATCAGAATTTTATGGACCTTGTGGTCGTGACGGGGTTTGCCGCCGCTGAATACCGCCGGAGGTCGAATAAGGACTGGGACGAGGTGTTGAAGGAGACGATTAAAGACATTGCCGGTGTTTGAGAATAGAAAAGCATGAACCTCAGGTCCTGGTGGTTAGCGGCTTCCACCAGTCTACCCTCCATCCACTCCTGGGTTGGGTTTCCAAGAATGCCCAAGATGTTATCGGATTACCAAGTGCGAATGAACATTTATATTACATAGTAGATTATAATGCAATTTCATTCAAATATTATGGACCTACATCCCTGACGCAAAGAGCACAGTGAGATGCATCCGCCAAACGCGAATGAAACAAGAATATCTACCACTAGGTTTTGTAAGGATTCGTGCCGTCAACTTTCAAGTTACTATCGGTTACTACGCTCCTCTTCGACACCCAATCAACCAGCCGCGTCCCAGTGAACTATTAACAGCTGCATACTGGATAGTTCTCGATCCTATATCTCACGAGTGTCGGTATCGGATTTATTAACCAGGCGGCCAGGCAGCATAAGGAGTCCACTTAAGGTAGGTATCTATGGGAACGTCGTGATTTTGCCAAACGTGTCCGCCATGCCCCAGATTCCCGTCCTCAAGCAGCTGAGCTGAACAATCTGCGAATGATCCACAAACAAGTTGACGTGGGCCCCAAACTCCCGGATATACCAGTTAAAAACCGGCGGGTCAGCTGCCTCGAACATGACCTTTTCCGGCGGCAAGTCCCTCAATATCTGTTGAATGACGTCCGTTCGCCAGCTTTTCACGTTCTCAGTGATGCCTTCGCTCTCGATCATGATACGCTCTACGCCGGCATCGATGAAGCGCTTTCCCATTTGGATAATCTTGGCTGGGTCTGATGTCCCGAAGCTCTCGAGCTCTTCGGCGGAAGTGTCTCCTCCAGCGCCGAACTGGATTCCACACTCAGGCTTGGCGATTAAGCCGGCGTTATGGACTCTGTCAACAACACGGAGCCAATCATCGGGCGGGATCGAAAGAAACCCCGACGAAACTTCAATGACGTCGAAGCCTACTTCTTTGCATTTTTGAAGGTACCTGTCCACTGCCGAATGAGCATCAGATTGCGTGAGGACGTGCTCAATCCATCCGCCCTATTTGAAATTCAGTAAGCGTCTGCCAAAGGTAAACGCCTTGTTATGACTACTCACGGTAGACACATAGGCATTATTCGTATGACAAAGGTCTATCATCTCTCGCAGTCGGTCCTCGGGGAAGAGTGAGAATGATCCGCCGGCAAATTTGACCCCATCAACGTGATACCCCATGCTACAAATCCGTTAGCGATTCACATATTTAAACCACAGCTCACGGGGACTTACGTCTCAAAGACATCCTCTAGGTGGCGCTTGCCCATAGCGGAATAATAAGGGCCTCGAATTTCAGTAACACCAACTTTTCTGGGCTTCAGTGGGCGGACATTGTGTCGGATGAATCCGAAACCATTTGGATCCTCGATCATGATTGTCGGGTCTTGTTCTGGCGCTTTCTTTCCCGACGTACATGACATTTGACGGAAACATGATGCTGTTGCCCTCCTAATAACTGGGACAGGTTTCGGCCCGAACAGAGGGAACCGCGCCATAGAATTTCGGATCGACAACATTTTTTGTATTTCGTCAATGTTGATGTCTTCCGCAAAGGAAAGGTTGAGGGTAAGATGAACATTAACTGATGTGAGAGACACCTACATGTTATATATCAATACTTCCTCCGATCTCGCCGAACGGCAAAGTTGGATGATATCTCAAGTCATGTTGATGTCATGTTGCCACCTCATCCCAGTGAGATGTCTGCGCCAACTTTTGAGCAACCAATAGAAAACCATTGACAATATTCCTTTTTTCTTTTCTATACCGAATACGATAATGCTGGTGTCATAGCCTCTATCGGGCTGTATGTACATGAATGATGGAATATAAAACAAAATGAATGGAGAAGAATCATGAAGAGGAAGAAGAATGAGTTTCCGCAAATTTCGCCAGCCACCAGCCATTAGAGCAATGCGATGGACTCGTCCAGGGTAAACGAAACGGGGGATCCACTGAGCGTTGTCCAAATGATCAGTGGTTCCTCTCCGACCTTGTCGTCTCGAGACTCGCCGTCCTCCGTTCTGGCTGCGCCGGGGAATGTCACGGGGATCGGAACATCGCATGTGTTGTCGTTGGCGGTAACCGTTACTCCGACGATGCTGGTGCCGTCGTCGGAGTAGTTATACGCCAAGTTAGGGTTGCATTGGCTATGGAGTTGAGTCAATAAGATTCGGGGGTTTCCTTCGAATGGAGTGGATAACGTACTCTAGTGCCATACGATCTAGAAATAGCTGGGCGATGTCGTCATGCTTCAATGTGCGGATAGGCCAGTTTGTCCTACGTTGAAAGGTCAACATTTTCCCGATGGCCTTTTGAGTGGAATAACAAACTGGGTCACTTACAGCCGCGTCAGCTCCTGAGTAATAGACTCGACCCAGATCTGGAGCAGCGAGAAGGTACCAGTTTCGGAGCCGATGGTAACTTCTTCCACATCGCTTTGGTGCATATTGGCTTGATGGAACATGTATCTGTGAACGGTTAGTCTCTGGTCTTTCATCGAGCAGGCCTCCACAGGAGTCGTCTTTCACATACGGGTCCTGCTGCAATCCCAATAGGTAGCGGACGTTGGTCCTAACTTCGTTTGCAAGGAGATCATCGAAAGTAACGTCCTCGCTGATGGTAGTCGTATGGATCCACTGGAGGACGGTGCACTCTGGCGACGCGCAGTTGTAGTAGATGTTTGTAGCTTGGTCCATTAGTCAAAATATCCAATCCAGAACTCGTTCCGATGAAAAGAAGAAATTCCACTTACCCCATCGAGGAACAATAACTAGGCCAGGGTACCCATTATCCTCCTCGTTGGAGATCTTGGGCCAGAATGGGCTCTCCTGTGCGTATTTGTTAGCCACGAGAGGTTTGGCTGGCAGAGAACGTGCAATGTCAATTACCGAATTTCGAAGAACCGGTCGGGTGTTGTCACCAACAACATGCACGATTCCATTATCAAGCCACGCCTGAATAACGTCCGCGTTGTGTAGACCGGTAATAGCAGGCGGTACGATGCCGGAACCCGAGAACATCGGAGCAGCAGAAATCCCCACTTGATTGAGCCAGTCTCTGTTGAAGGCAATCTCGCGCCATGCATCGTCGTACGTTGCATTGTTCAGCTCCAGGTGGGTAAACGTGTGCGAGACGTGAGAAAAGACGTCGCGGTTTCTCGGGACCATAAACCAAGACGCAAGTGGGTCGATCTCGCAGCACTCGAGGGCCCAGGGGTAATCCAGCAAGTCTGGAGGCCAGAGACTGGTGCCAGTGCCGGGAGGCTTCATGAATTCCAGATCGGTATCGGGGGGAGATTCGTAGTCCACTGCATCTTTGGGATCACAAATCTCCCAGCCATAATCTGTGTCGGTAGCAGTGATGATATCGCCGTTACCATTATGGCACATTTCGATGAAATAGTTGGACCCCGGGGGGAGGCGTGTGTTGAGCTCAGCCTGCCACTTCTTGTGCGCATCCAGATCATCCGTGATGATTCGGAACTCCGGTCCCTCGCCTTGGGGGGTGTAAAGCGGAGTTTCCAGATGGACATCGTCCACTTGAGTGTTGAGGTGTATCTTCCGCTTTCCAACAACTGATACAAAAGTCAGCCTGAGTCGCGATAAGAGAAGTGCGGTAAAGGAAAACATCTTACAGAGGCCTCGCGTTATCCAGTGAATGTACGCATGCTGCAAATAATTCGACACCAGCGCCCAGTCGGTTGCCCATCCTATGAAAAAAACCATTTGCTCGCGGTTCCCAATGCGGTTGATAATGGCCGCAGTGCCGGGCTCCTCGAAGAATTGCCCAGCAGGGCCAAACTCTGCGATCTGCCAGGCAATGGACTCATCAGTAATAACTGCCGGGTAGTGCCAGATGGCCTCGGTGCTCAAATCCTCTTCACTAAAATATGATGTTAACAACTGGCGAGAGATGCCCCGGGCATTCCCACTTACGTCTTAAGATTCGCTGTGGGGAATCCAGTAGCATTTGTGAGGCTAATATACTGCTCTACACCGTCTTCGCAGCAGCCTGAGCCTGCAGGGTGTTGTGCTCTAGTACCTATTTTCACCTAGTTAGCAGCTTCCACATAAAAGAGCCTCCTCCCTCTAGGACTATGTCCACTTACCAAATTCAGCGCTCGGGAAAGAGTCCAGCCTCACCATCCGAACACTAAAGAGCTCCTGGTAATCATACAGCGCCTTCCATTGTTCGTCCGTAAGAGCACTCCGCCAATGATCTTCATAGTCGTAGCCAACTTCACTCAAAATAATGAAGCCGCCATACTTGCCCTCCGTTTCCGAAATTGTTAACTCTGGCAGCTCTATTCCCTCCACAGGCACTAGAACGACCTCATACGGGATTCCGTAACCCCGGAGGCCATATGATCCCGACGTAGCCGCGGCCTCGTCTCGAGCGAATATTAAAATCGTGCTGGAGGCGCTAAGGGCAGCATCTGCTAGCGTTGCATAGAGGGTGAGCAGTGCCCCCACTGTGGGAAGAGATCTGAAATACATTGCGATTAAAATGATAGATGGAGATGCGGTCGAGCCAGAAGGTGTATAGGGGTGATGCAGATGATGTAGTGACCAGGTTTATAAGAATCAGACTCCCCAAGTCGTACAGAAACGCGATCCCAATCCCAGCCTCGGAAATAGAAATCTATTCGCTCTTTAGTAACATCCTGTCAAGACAGATGACCAACCAAGATATACTAGGTGAACAAGGAAAAATGAGGGCACGACGGTGTGGCAACTGAGCGAATTTACTCGGCAGGCCAGTTCCGGGTGGGAGGAGCATGCAGGTGCAAGGAACAAAAGGACCAGGAACGGGCAGCTAGATAGGACCTGTAGGTAAAAGGGGGGAAGGGTCACAAGCAGTCAGGTACAGGGAAAAGAAGGGGAAAAAAGGGAAAGAAATCAAAAAGAAAAAGGAATGGAAGAGGTGCTAGAAGCACTTCCAGTGGCAGGAAACCCTCAAAGAAATTGCTCGATGTCGAATCTCTTGGCGTTCGTCCACTTCTTCCAGGGCGTGGAAGGCCTGGACCGCCGACTCTAGATCGGCCAAGACGGCTCTTAAAATTTGACGAGAGCAAGATTCGAGATGCGTAGGCCCATCGCAATTCGGTCGTCTAAACGCACGAGGGTCATATGAACACCGCTTCAAATCTCCGGGTGCTGTTGTATCACACGAGAAGCAAGTCTAGACGTGAACCGAGTCCATAAGCCCCGAGTCTAAAGAAAATGAATCCCCAGCCAAAGCCCACGCATTCAGAAAGCAAAGGAGGAATTGGCGAGGGGGGATTGGAATCTTGGAGCGTTGGTGAGAAGAATACGACGGACTGCAGCTCCCGCCTAAAGGGCATCCCGCATCGGGCAAACTACTGGTCTTACCGGGAGAATGATTGTTAATTGAGCTCACAGGGCAAATTAATTAACAAGCCGAACTGCCTGTGGCCAATCTCACGAGTCATTCGTATATAATGGGGATTTCATTTATAAGTGATATTATCAGCGAGAATTTTGCTAGGGAAGACGGCAGGGACGGTCGCCGACTCGCCGCCAATCTTGTCGCACATGGACATCGTTGCATTGATGCAATTACGTTGATGGGCGATCCTCTGGAACGGGTTAAAGAGAAAGAGATCGATTCGGATTAATTGAATGGCCCGTCCGAATTCCGGAACCTTGTACTGTTTCCGTTGCTGTCCCCGCCGTCTGGGATTGGGTGAAGACGTGGACGCCTCCATCATGAACATTAGTCTCCCATTAGACATACGTGGCCCCCCACAGTTCCCAGTGGCTAAACGGATTGACAAGACTGTTTCTAGAACATTTGTTCTTTGGGCACCTTTTGTCCTGCGCCCTTGGAGACGGGTGAATTGCGACCGTGGAACACGGTATCGTTCCGAGTTCCGAGTCACCAGTGCCGGTCTCCGATCGTGGCGTCCTAGACCCTGTTTGATGCTTTCAAGAACGGCTGTCACGGCATCGAAGCAAGATTTCCTAGTTTTCCTTCATGATGGATGTGAAATGATGCCTAATTTTGAAGCCAACTTTAGTTTCGTAAGGCGATGCCGTCTCAGAGATCATGAGAAAAAGGCACTGAATGCGGACGCCTCCGCTAATTATTCACGCTTGCTGCCCAAAGCCCTCGCAGTACACCCCTTTCTCGGCTCCTATCCCACATTGGCCATCGTGGATCCGTCCTCCTCGTTCGTGTCGTGAATAGTGATGGAGGCGAATATGGGGTATATCCCCCCGAGACCAAGCACTTCATAACATTCTCCTCGGGTGTGACATAAACGAGAGTAAAAATAACAAGAGCGAAACTAGACATCAACTGTGCCGAGCGTCAACTGGATAACTTCCATGTCCCATTTACACGACGTGCTAGTATCGAAAACGAGGCTCATTTTTTTTTTTTTTTTCACTAATAATTTGATGATTCCCTTCCTCGATATTTCGATAAAACTGGTTGCAAGTCGTGATGATGGTTTTCATTTCTCGAGAATCCCCTTCTCGCATTCCATGTCGCCAATTATTCTCCAGTCCTATCCAGGATTTCAGATTCCAATCAAGAGGTCTCTTTCACCACTCTCGCTTCTATTTGTGTCACGGATCTTCGATCTTTGATACTGCCATGGACATTACCCACCATCTCTACCACCCTTGACAGACGCTTCACCCCTGCTCAGGGGAGGGATCTCGCTAGGCGACGTCCTTGAGGATGTTGATATCACTGGGGAGTTGGGCTTCCCCGGAAAGCGAAATGAGTTTTGGCTTTACCTCTGTGCCCAGCGCCAGCAATCGCCGAAGCCGAAGACCTAGTATCGTCAGGTTTCTCCTCCCTTGTAATGTTGGGGACGACTTTCACCATAGAAACATCAACGGAAAACCGCACGTTCAGGAGGCGTATCGTACGTGTCGATGCAACAAAACTGCTCTGATATGTTTATTCCTTGATTCTTTGGCGTTCGGACTCCTGGAAAGTGAGAGGTATGCAAGGCTGACCTCGCCGGACTACCACATATTAACAGAAGATTCAGTTTCCTGTAGTCAGGGGCCAGTCGTTCTGATTGTCGTGTACAATAGCGCATGTGTCGCTCCCTAATGTGGATGTTCGGGCGGCCGCTCTCTCCCTAACTGCCGTGCGATCGCCACCATATTTTCGATCTTAGATATTTAGTCCTGGGACATGCGGACAATGGTAAGACTCACTGACTTGCATATCGGCCATATCCAGTCACAACTTGCAAAGACTGGTAGTGTCGCACGGGACGAGTCTAGTTCCACGCTGATGAGACTATTGGATCTGGGCAGCGAGCGGTTTGTTGCTTTGGAGGCGATCGAACAGGATCAGTACAATAAAATCGAAGAGAACATTCACTCAATCATTTGACAGGGAGAATCATTCTGAGACCCGACAAGAGAGAGAGAGCCCGGATGGGCTTGCTACATAAGCATTTGGGCTTGCGTCCATTGGGTAACGGGGAAGTCGCTTCAGGCAATATTGGTTCCACTCACAGACACGCGCCATCACCAGCCGGAAACATTTGAGAGATCCGTAACGTAGATGCCTCGGAAGGCGTAAGGATATGGGAATGTGACTTCTCAGGATAGCATGGAAGGGGAGATCGCGCGACGAGCGGTTTTCCCCTCGTCAGGGGCCTTGGCAGGCAAGGAAATTAATTCATCACGACCAATTAATTCGGCAGATTAATGTGGGATGAGGCATATCGTAGAACTTCTAGAAGCCCATCACCAGCTATGTCTTATCTCGCTGCAGGTACATTGCAACCACTACCGATCCGGTGTGTTAGAGGCACATTGCCGGGTCCGAATTGCCTTTCCCTTGTCTACGGGAATGAGAAAGTCCCAAATCCGATCTCTTCACTATGGCGAATTGTGAGCTTTTGGGTCTTGAGAAGGCTGGTTATAGGGGGTGGGAATAACAGGCATCTCGGACCGGAGTGAGATGCATGAGGCCAATGGGTCTCAGTGAGCTGTCTCGAATTTTTCCGATTATTATAGTATGGTGGAAATATTATGGCACACGTACTCACCGGAGCTTCAAGCTCAAGGCAGTCTCGGCACAGCTCGCCATTTCAATCACTCCCGGACGAAGAAGAATTCATGGTGGGCGAGAAATCCAAGCCCTATCTTCGGTCAGGAGGTGTTGCGCGTATGCTGGAGATTCTTGACTTCTTGTCACATAAATGCTGGTCTGCTTTCTGTGCCAAGTATGTATGCAGATAGTATATACATGGACATGCTCCTCGGACCTGTGAAAAATGATCTATCAAACTTTTCAAATACAAAGAAATATGAGGCATCTGCAATGCCTGCCCTATTGTGCTGCCACCGTCTCTGGGAAGAAGGAGACGAACTCGATCAAAGAGTCCCACCATTCGGGCCATTCATTATACAATCCGCCAGTCTGGTCCGTAACGAACACTCCCCCTAGACCGGCATCGAGTATCTCCTCGACTAATTCGCCGAGGCCATCGACGGTGCCTTGGTATGTATGCACTATGGCGGCAGACTTGGCTCGGTTCTGCGGCGACAGGTCCCCGTATGTGGTGTCGAGGAAATCGACCCAATTCTTCTCGGCGTCCTCAAACGCAACGATGAGGTCCGCCTGGTCGTAAAAGGCATCGTCAACTACGACACCCGGGTTAAAGATGACTTTTGCATTCCTCTGCAGTTCGTCGGCCCAGGCTTGCCGGACGTGGGAGGAGATATTGTGCATCAATTCGATATACTCTAGTTCAGCGGGGACCTCATCAAAGAAGATGCCGTCGAGAGAAATTTCGGCGTTTGCCAATGTTGAGAACTCGTCCTCCCAGTTGCTGTAGATGTCGATGTCATTCTCGATAAGGTCTGTGTTGCGGTCGCCATAGCAGCAACAGACGTAGCCGATGAGATGGACATTCGGGCAAGAGTGGAAATCTTTGAGGGCTTCGACGTAATTGGAGTCGGGTAAGCTGTTAGGGCCAGGGCCGTTGCTGGGGTTGACAATGACGGTGAAATCGATGGCAGGATGGCTTTGAGCAACAGATAATAAGGGCGCCCAAGATCCGTCTGTGGGGTAAATGTACAGAGGGAGGAGTATCGAAACCATCGTGAGGTCCGCGATGGTAGTCCCTGGGGAATCAGGGGATGAAGGATGATGAGAGGTTGTGTGGATTGGGATAAGGAGAATGCTAAGGCTGTGAATGAGGAGAGAAGCTACGGCGGCGTCTCATTTTAGACAACACTCGATTTTGCATGCCTTGTATCAGATCGCGATCTCCACAGAAACGCTTTAAGAAATGTTAAAGAATGTGATGGGGAAGAGATTGAGGTTAATGGCACACTCGTTCTCTTGCAGCTTCCCAGTTCATTGGGCTACCAATAGGAAAATTAATTACTCAATAAATTCGACTTCCATCTACTCCCACGAGGGAGAGCCACTGGTAGGGAGAGGGGAAATGGGAAGGGGAAAGGAGTGAACTGTGTTGAGAGAGTCTATTTGAGGCTCTGCCTGCAGATCGAGAGCTATTTCAGGAGACGTTTCTTTAGCCGTTTTCCGAGCATAGAAGGCGATAGATCAGACGTAACTCTGGTGGGTGGCCAAGCTGTCAAGACAGATGCGGGTCGGCACGACATGCCATATGTCTCCCTTTGCCATTCCTGTAGACTTGTTTTCTCACCCGAGTTGCGCGTTCTCATAGTAGCCCCGTGGGCCCACTGTCGGTAGTTCTTTGTTGTGATGAAATGTACTAGGCACGTTTTCAAGAAGAGGAAAGGCACTGCTTGGAGACGCATCTCCCGTCTCCAGGAGTTAGAATTTTATTCTTTTTCCCTAATAATTCTTCACATCCACCCCAAGTGAGATGGGCTAATGGACATCGGTTCGCCTGATATAGAATTCCTTTATCCGTTTTTCCCTCCCATTTTCCTTGTTTTGATTTTCTCCAACAGCACCGCCTACGATTCTGACATGACATACTCTACCCTGAGAAGCCAACGCGTCATCGAAGGAGGAGCATGGATGACTATAAGACAGACGGGAAACGGACCAAAACCATCTATAAGACCACCCCGCGGAAAAACTGGCGAATTACGTGGCGGTGGATCCCAGGACTTTGGAGACGACCTTGCTCTGACATCCGACAGCGACAGCCAAGGCAGAGACCCCAGGTTGTCCAGGACTCCCCTGTCTCGTTCCGTTCAAGCCGTTGGGGGATCTTCAAAACTTCTTTGCCCGGCAGTTTAGCCAGGGCGATCTTTAATCAACATCAGATCCAGACGGGGCATCTGCTACAGGAAGTTCAGTGTATTTCACACTCGCCCAGCTGGAGTTTTGGATATTAAAGCCTCAGGTTTGAGGAATGCCTGAAAGGAGACACTTTCTCTCGCCATTTCCAGCTGCTGTTTTGTCATTGCTGCGAGCCAGTGGACACGCGTCCTGTAATATGCTGAAGATGAAAATCCGGTGCTTCAGCCGAAGGTTGTCGGGTAATAGGGCTCTTCTAGGCCACGGGTTTCCGTGGCTAATTCGAGCTGTCCTATTCCGTGAAATGACACAATCCAGGTTGTTCCTAGGCCCTGAGTTAAAGCTTTCGTGCACGTATATAAGTGTGCGCCGGACTTAACGTCGCCGAAATTTATCCCGCACTGGGATTGTTCCCTCGCACTCTCTAAGTATTAAGTCGATGAGATTCTGCGTAAGGACAGCTATATAAGATTTCTTACCGCCAAGTGAGGCTAGTCGCGACACTTGGAGCATCTTTTTGTTCTCATATAGCTCAGCTGTAAGCGAGTCAAGAATATGACATTCTGCCTCCAATTTCATCTCCCATATAAGTGATTGTAAAGCTTCAAAGTCCTCGCTACGAGAGAGCGAGTGAAGAGGGTTCAAACCGCGTGCAATTCTAATCGACAGTCGGTTTCCCACATAATAGCGGCCAGATAGAAACGCGCCCTTTCTGAGGGAGGTTGCGTCGCTAGTTTCGTATCACGGGACAGGGTAGGCATCCGTGCCGGCACACGAGTTAATCGTAATGATTTAAGTTCCTCAGACAATAAGTTGACGCAGATACACTCTGAAATTCACTCCTATGCTACTCCTAATGACACATTCGTGCTCTGCTGCCTTCATCGACGACTCCATCACACTTAAGCCCAAAGCATCAAACTCGTAATAACGACGATAACCCCAACCACCAATCCTGACGGAAGACCCAACCGAGAAGATGCACCCTCTTCCCTGCACTGCCAACTCGCCGCCTCATCGACATTCCCCTTGCCATCGTATACAGCCTGTTGAGGGAATGGACATACAGGTCGCTGTCGCAAAACGCCCGTGCTAGAATCATTGGCCGTATTCCACGTAGTCGCAATGACAGAGTCCACTGGCGTGTCCTTTTCGACCCAGTCAACTAAGGCAAGAAGGATATCATGGTGAGCATCCTTAAAACCCGGAACTGACCAAGTATCGTTCCCCATGACAGAAGCTTGGAAGGCAGCTGCAAAGTGCCAAGGAGCGCTGACGGCCGAAGATGCGCAATGCTGCATTCCGGGAACGGGGAAGTAGCGGAAGAAGTCGGTAGGTGGACCACCCATGGCATCAGTTACTCTGTCGTAGTAGAGAGCCGAAGCACGCGTGGGAACAAGTCCGTCGGCCATGCCGTGATAGAGGAGAATCTTCCCGCCTCTCCCCTTGAAATCGGACAAGTCGTACTTGGCGGCTCGCGACTGGCCCGGGTCCTTCTTGACGGTGTCTTCGAGAACGGAAAAGTTGTAATCTTGCCATTGCCATTCCGGATCGTCGTAAACAAAGTAACGCTGGAAGCCATAACCAAATGCCGACGGCTTGTCTGACCCGATGACAGTCGACCACTGAATCTCCGACCCCGGTTCGTATCCAGTCCAGACGAACTCTCCAGTCGGGGAGCGATAGTCCTCGTAGAGTTTGTTCATGGTCTCGATTTGGGGTTCAGTAAGGCATTTGTCCTTGACGATGTCGGGTCGATCGCAAGACAGCGCCGTTAAGTCCACCTTACAATCCCCGGGCGCACTGATAATGTTGTCCTGAACGCCATCCAGACCGTCGCATTGCCTCAAGGCCTCCGCTGCAACAACCTCCAACATATCTTTCTCCACATGTCTTGGATCTTCGACAGGCAGATTATATAGCCCAACCTGTGTGACGTACGAGTTCATCAACGTCGGATCCCAGGCCGGTGCACCAATCAATGCACCGTCGAAGCTATCCGGGAACTGCTGAAGCTCGCGAAGGCCTTGGCGCCCTCCGGTGGAACAGCCACTGTAATATGAGTGGTCAGCTTCCTTCTCGTAATAAGCTCCGACGAGCTTCTTAGCCAGAACAACACTGCCGTGCAAGGCTCGCCATCCCCAATCGATCCGCATCTCCTCGTTTCCCAGGGCCCAGGCCAAGTCGGTAGAGTTCGAGTTGTGGCCGGTGTCAGTGGAAACAGTAGCAAATCCATGGTGCGTGCCTGGTGTTATCAGCCTATTAGAGAAAGTCCCCCAGATCCCTGTCCGAGAAGATCAGTCATACCTGGTGCCATGTCAAGCCAGTTTATACCGCCAGCAAACCCGCCATTTCCGACAGCCAACAGTCGTGAATTCCATTCTGTAGGAAGTAATAGCCCAAAGCGATAGAAGGATCTGGACGACGATGTGACGTGGACAGTGACGGCACACAACTCTGGGAGGCCGGCTGGATTGTTCGGATACCCCAAGTTCGATTCTCCCTCACCGTACGGATCACCATTCGACACGATATCTACCTTCTCGATCGATGAGTTGGAATCGAGGGTCGACTGGAATGTAGATATTTTACACTTATCACTGATCTCTAAGCCATGAGCGGCCGGGAGCAACAGTGAGGCGACGATCGGGATGAACGGATGCACCATTTTCGTGACTGCTTATTGAAAATGTTACTATTCTCAGAAATCCGTGGAGCATCACCGGGACGCGACCCCATTTTATAAATTAAAACATCTTCTATTTCCGTCCCTCGGTTCTCGGCTAAGAACCAAGAAAAGCAACACTGCCTCCCATGCAAGGACGGGAGGGGGCCAGCTCAGCTTATCCTCCGCCTTACATCCGGCGGAAACGAGGATCCCCCGCAGGTCTTTTCGGCTTCATGATCGCGAGTGCTGTGGTAGGATTACTAGGATTCGGTTGGATCCGAGGGGTCCTAGCACTTTATGCTACGGTGCCACATGGACAATGTGTAGCTGCGCATGAATGTGAAAGTGGAAGGCAGAAGACGCAGGCCCCGGTGGGCAGTTACGTCTGGGAAATGGCATCACGGTTTCCCCTGGAAGCCTACCTCGTAAATTACTCCGTACCAGGGTCTCAATTTCAATCCTAATCATATATGGGATAGGTTACCAAAAATCTCCTATAGCTTATACAACCGTACTTCCTGCCCATTCGCTTCCCGCAACAGACGCTTGTTCACCAAACCATAGTAAATCCTCAGCGCAACTGCCGTGACAGCTACGACTAGCATCATGGCAGCATTCGTCCAGTGACCCGAAGGATACCCTTTCACCTTTTCCGAATCCTTGTAGATCCAAATTCCTCCAATCTGGCCAAACCCAGCACCAAGACTGACATTGATGGCTATGGCGAGACCGATCGAGGCCGTACTGACGACATTGGAGGTCAGCCACCCCAGAAGCGGAGGGATGGTAGAAAACGCCCCCGTAAGTGCGAGGATTAAACAGCCGTAACGGCTGCGATAGGCCGTGGCTGGCAGAACTGCCGAGACGATGTAGCCGAGGGCTCCAACTATGGCCATGCCAGCAATGTGCAAGCCGCGGGCGTTAAAGTAATCGGCAGACCAAGCAACGATGATTTGGATGACTGGTGACAGAATGGGGAATCAGCATATCCAGCTCTAATCCATGCGACTGGGAGTACTCAGAGAAAATACTTACCGTAGCCGACACACCAAGGAGGTACCGTCATGAGCTGGGCCTGGAGATCAACGTAACCGAGGCCAGTCGTGATGGAGGGCGTAAAGTACGACATGGAAGCAAAGGGAATCGAGACAGCAAAGTAAGCGACATAATGCCCATACAGCCTCCAGTCCATCAAGGTGGACTTTGCATCAGCCCAAGTCATTGTTTTTTCGGCGCTGTTGCTGCCCTCGGTCTCCAGACGGGCGACGGCGATGTCCTTTTCCTTCTGCGACAACCAGGACACACTTTCGGGGAAGTCTGGAAGGAAGAACCAAACTAGGATCGCGGAGATGACGGAAGGGATACCCTCGAGGAGGAAGAGCCAACGCCAGGCGGAAAGGCCCTTGGCTTGGTTCATGTGGCCGATACCGTAGGCGATGGCTCCCCCAAAGGCACCGGCCAAGGTCGCGCTCGCGAGAATAAGAGCGACGCGAAGACTCCGCTCGTTATGCTTGTACCAGAACGTCAGGTAATATACCAGACCGGGGAAAAGACCGGCCTCTGCGACGCCGAGGAACCATCGCACGGCTAAGATTTGCGAAAATGTATGACAGGCGGCCAGGCACATGGTGCACGCGCCCCAGGTAAACATGAGGATGGCGATCCATCGCGACGGTCGCAATTTCTTGAGCAGGATATTGGAGGGGACCTCGAAGAGGCCGTAGGCGATGAGGAAGATGAGCAGTGTGTAGACGAATTGATCGCTGCGCATGCCGGTCTCGGTGAGCAGGTCATTTCCGGTGGTGTAATTCAAGATCTTGGCATTTCCGATGTTTGCGCGGTCGAGGAAACATAGGAAATAAATGGCGGCGGACAGCGGGAGGATGCGGAGATCTTGTCGCCAGACGAGGGCTCGCTCCTCTTTGGAGAGGCGGGATTGAATCGCGATCGTCGAGGGCTACGTGCAGACACGGGAGCAAACCCGTCAGCAAAAATGGTACATTCTGTCTGGGGATAAATAACCTCCTACCGTCTCGATCTTCTCGACCTTCTCGAGGTCGTCCTTTGTGCTCATGGTGGGCGAGTTCAATCTGGTCGACTGCTCACTGAGTCACTGAGCAGGAAAACCGAATTCTGACTCTACAATTGCCGTTTTGCTGTTGCGAACTTGGATGATCAGTGTTCAAATATCTATGTGCGGGACCAAGGCTACTCTATATTCTAAGCAGTATTACTACCAGTAGAAAACATCATCTCATCGAATAAAAATATTCGAGCTACAGGCAATTGAGAATGCTAGAACGAATGACTCGTCATTTGGCGGACTCATGCCGGTTTCGCTTCCCGTAAAACATCCAAGTTCATCCAAATTCTCCGCCATTCGTCGACCCATCTCCATTCGTCCCCACACCGTTACCCCGGAATCAGCGTGCCAGGAAGCACGGAATTGGTCAGACTGGTGTCTTCAATGACGGGGATGGGCTGTCAAAGGTCCCCGGCATATTCACCGTGTCCTAACAGGTCTAGTGATCGGCACTTGCGGGGCGTCGCATTGCAGATTGGGAATGGGAGGGGAAGGGAAGCGTCAAACAGGCCTGAGGGGTAGAATAGACGACATTATATCCTTCGACATCTTACTCCGCTTCTTCTTCGTATCGGGGTTAGTATGTGCTGTACTTCGTATTATTTGGAGATGGCGGAGAACTGCGGGGCAAGTGAAGTACGAAGTACGAAGTAATAGCTGGTTTCGCTAAGGACTTGCTTGTCCTGTCATGGTGCAACGCTGTCGGAAGAATGTCTTCCACCGGAAGCGATTCGGAGGTCATCAAATGCGACATTCATTTGGTTTGCATAGGCTGTCATTCGCAGGAACTTTAATCCCCCAGACTCCAAGATCCTACGCGCACTGACGCGCCGAGAAGCGGTCAGGGTCAGAGGCGTCAAAGAGAAAGGGCGGTTTGGCGATGCACAGAAACACGAACCCTCAGTCCTTGCGTTAACTGGTTTGGTGAGCTGAATCCTTCGTATCAAAGCCAAACCTCTCTGCATCCCGCTGCGTCGGGACATCCCCTTCTCCTTCTCCACCCCCTTCGGATGCTTGTTGTTCCACAGAGTTTGGCCTGCTTGTCTTTGTAAATATGGCATGGTCGTGGCGTTGTGTATGGGGCTTTTCATTTAGTTGATTCGGGCAGCTTATCGGGAATGACCCAGCCATCCACGTCCATTGTCCACCCAGGAGAGTCGAGCGAATTAGACTGGCGGCAACCCCGAAATATTTTACGGGTACTTCTCTGAGCCACAATTGAACAAAACGACCCCAGCTTTCCCTAGATCGGCTCCTTTGCACCTGCAGAACATCCTAACCAGGTTGGGTCTAACGGAGCTGCCTCAGGTCTCGAACGCTGGCTCGGCAGCTTTATTTATTGATTAACTCGAGAAGTTGCCCTAACCTACTCGTGTCATCTTCCTCGTTGCGGCGATGAAGGGGAGAGTCTTTGTGGGCCTGCGAAGCATTGTCTCTCCGGTCTGTCGATTGCTTTAGGAACTGACTTCTACTCCAACCCTTCGCTCGTTTCCAGAGCTGATATGAATTGTTCCATTGACGATAATTTCATAATCACATCCAACTTCATCATCTCGTAATAGCCGACAAGTATCTTAGGGCTGTAGGTAAAGAAAATGCCTTGACCGTGAGAATTTCCTCAGTGCTCGCAAAAATCATAGCAGTAACGGAGCCACTCGTCACGATTCTTATTCTCCAGCACCGACCTTTCCGCCATCAACGCTTCCCGATGCTTCAACGCCTCTTCTCTCGTCATCGGCCACTCGTCATCCGGCTCGAGTTCCGGATTGGCCGTAGCGCCGCCCTCGCCCCATTCGGCCTGCTGCGGCGGCACGTTCGCCGTGCTGATGATAGGGACAAAGGGGTCGACGAGCCAGAGAGCTATGAAACGGCGGTGGCCCGGCTTCGTGGGGTCCACAAGCTCAAACGGAGTAACGCAGTGTTGAAATACGTTTGGGAAGGCGAGCAGCCGTCCTTCCCTAGTTTCCACGCTGCCGTAGTTCTGCAACGCGGGTGCCTTTTCATGGGCGCCGAAACTAGTCCCGTACACCTCCTCCATCCAAGAGTATGCGTCCTGCCCGACGTTGCCGAAGAGATCTTCCGGTTCGTGATCCGTGGCCATTCGAAACCTTAGGCGGCTTGGGGTGACATTTTCGGTGCTCAAGTAGTAGAGAGCAGTCCCAACAATATGTTCATTGAGCTGGCCCTCGAGATGCCAGTTCCCTCCGGGGAAGTATGGCTTCTCCGGCGTCAGCTCGATGCTAGCCATTTTAACAATTATTTGTAGTCCGGTGTCTCTAAATTGTTCTCTTAAAGTGTCCTCTGGATCGATGCTATAGTCGATGGGCTGATACTCAAGAGGGTCTGGGTGTTTGGGTTTGCGGAACAACTTGAAGAGCCTCAGTTCAATATACTCCTCTCTCGTGCGCTCGTACTCCCGCCGATCAAAGTGGTCGTCCTTCTCCGGATCATACACAATACCTTCGGGTGTGTTGTCGATCCAGTTATCGTCGTTTTCGTCGCTTCAAACGATGTCAGTCGGATGAGGTCACGAATTCACCGACGAAGGGGACAATTGGAGAAGCTCACTCGGGATTCTCAGGTTTAGAAAACCTCGGTTCCGACCTTTCAAATCCATCAGAATACGATTGTGTACCATCGCATTGCGCAAGACAATAGTCCCAAGCTGGGAGAGCCTTTTCGATGAGCTTCTCAACTGTTCGATATATCTCAGGATATCTCTCGGGATGAAGGTTATTAATGTAGCTCGTAAACTTGACGCTTCCGTCGTCTTCGAAGGCGACGTTGGACGGGAGCCACTGGTAGGTTTTACTCCAAAACCATGTGTCGTCCCGGTACCGGGACAAGTACGGGTTGGGATGCAGTCGCGGTTCCCAGACCTCGCCTTTCCCGAGCCACTTTTCGACGGCATCATCAACTTGCACGAGTGGCTTCCGTACGATTCCGCTTCGGCCCCAAACTAGCGGATACATGGACGGGTGTACTAAATCTTGGACCATTTCGTCGGTGCCGGGATGCCAATCTGGGGCGTGAGCCTGGTCGGTTTTGAGCCTGCCGAAGGCGTGAATGAGCTCCTTCTGAAGTTCCTCCCCGACGATCGTATCCGACTTGACCACAGAGGCGGAGGCGTCCAGAGTTGGAACTAGTCCTGTCTCCTTCGTCAAGTGGGCTTTCTGGCGGAGCTCCTTGATACACTGCATATTACACGCTGTCAACAAGGCAATCTAGGTCATGCAACTGGAATGAATCTTGAAGAAAGAGGAAAAAACAAAAGAAAGAAAGAAAGACCATGCATTCTGGCCAAACACTCACGTAGATCATCATTTCTTTGGTAATAAAGCCCTCTGAAGACTCTGGGCCCAGGAGATCTTCTTCGACTCTTCCGGACGTCCTATAACCAATTATTTCACACCATAAAGGCTCGACTGGTATCTCGAGGGCTTCTTCAACCCATCTATCGGCAATTCTATCGTCAAACACTTTTCGGTGCCAATCCGCTTTGTCTGTGAGATAGTCCATAATAATCATCATGGCGACCTCACGGGCGAAGAGTAACTCTGACTGCCCGCTCCAATTGTTCGGACCCATGGCTCGCGGGTATTGTTCCTCTTGTCCTTCCGGCAGGTAATATAAACTCCGACCAAGGCCGGGGTAGCTGTACGGAGGAGCGGCCTCTGTCCCCGCTCTTTCCACGCGATCATCCTGTGAAGCGGGATTGGGAGGTATGTAGGGATGCTTGACACGCATTTTGGGCGAGCAGAAGCTAAGATATGCGGCTGGTTGGCGAGAAATTAAAAGACAATCGCTTTCGAGGGTGGGTCATGAGTCGTGAGTCGTGAGCAGGCCGTCAACAAAAGAGTAACAGAGAGGGTCCTGTAAAAAAATTTGAGCTATTTTGTGAGGCTGAAAATTCAATGGAAAAAGTCCGTTAATTAAAAACTGTCTGAACCCCGATTCGTCTTGATACCAGTCGTGGCATATGCAGGGTCTAGTGCTGGCTATATCTGGACTGTCTTGGCGATAGCGAATGTTCCATTCTCGCGGCAAGCCAAGCCTACATCTTCATAACGATTGACATCGACGGATGTCAACAGAACCATATCTTTCAGCATCTTCCGATGATAATACAGGGATATGATCTTACCCAGCGGACCATAGATTTTTGGCACGAAGCATGCAGGTATCCAGAGGTTCAGCGTAGTAATAATGACAACCATCTATTACTTCGTAGCTCATGTGGAGTTAACGGCTGCCAGCATCGAAGATTTCGATCCGCAGTGAGTCCATATGGATCATATTCACAATCATTCTCAACCATCTTTTGATATTCCGCTTTGAAAATGTTGTTATTTTCCGAGAAATATTTTCCGTCCTTGGGTTCAAATGCAGCCTGTGGACGTCTTATTCCGCCATAGCCGGGGCCTCTTCCTAGAAACGTTGATCGCATCACTATATTTGGTCGTAAACCTCGAGCCCAGTTTCGCCCGCCTTCTCCGTCGCACACGGATAGAACCTGCCCAGTGGGTTGCCTGTCGGTGAACACGAACGTTGTCAACAGGGACATTGACCTCAGATATTCTTCGGGACTATCAAAATATCTTTACGTTCTGAACGGCATTTTCTCGTTTTGACAGGCAATGAAGACATCGTGTTCTCTATCATTCATTCTCGTCTAACGCTATTGGCAAGAAGATGGCTTTATTCGCTGCAGCGCTGGGGTTATAACTTTTGATAAGACGCGGTCCTGTCGCTGAAATGTGACCGACCACTTCAAATCCGTGAACGCTTTCTCCGTAGTGCCGGTCACTTCACATCGCCGAGGCCGGCACGCGCATAGATGGCCTGCAACAAGTGCCCAGGCTCGGGCTTAAACGACTTCTTGCATCCCGGACACACTGCCTGGCGGATGCTGCCAGTAAAGGCAGAGAGAGGCGAGCTCTTGCCGCAGAGGGGACAGCGTGCCTCGAAACCGAAGATTCCTTTATGCTCATTGGCAAAGTCTCGCACCGCTTTGTCTTTAAATGTGTCATATGCACGCGTCTCCCCTGCGGTAAGGTCATTTTCAAACCAATACACGTCGTAGAATCTCACACGGTCTCTATCGTCAGACGTGCATCCTACCTCCAGGACGTCCTGGCCTTCGACGCTAAAGGACCCGTTATCGCCCCACTCGTTGCCCCATGAGTTGAGGAAAGTAAGAGAGTTGGGAGCGCAGCCGGTTAGAACGACGGCATGACCCTCGCCGGCATCTCCTGCGCGATGCGGGGCCATGATTTCGCTGGTAAGCAGCAATTTGCGAGTATCGGCCGTTTTGTGAAAGTGCTTGCAAAACTGAGTCCACCCGGTGACAGAGAGACGGAAGGTAGTTAACACGGGACGCCGCCGGAGGACGGCATCCCGAGCCCCTTGCTCGTTAACTTCTTGAAAACGAAGCGGGCGGTACCATGTGGTAGCAGCCTCGAGGACCTCCACGGTATTGCGTCCATAAGGCCCCGGCGGATATTCGGACAGGATTCGTTTTCGGATCTCTTCTACACTGGGAGTCCCTCCTTCTCTGTTGGTAATTCGGGAGAGAGCCATATGCACGACCGCGGCGGTGGCATGCGCATAGCAAGAACCCTCGTTCTTCTTTTGCTCGGAGGGATTACTGCGTGCCCCCAAGTGTTCCTTGTTGATAATCTTATCGAGGTCCACACGCCCGACCACGTCCAGCAGTACGTCTGCGGACCCAAAACGAGCAGAGAGTAGTATAGAGCAGAAGTCGTGAAGTGCCGATGAGCTAGAAACAGCCGCATAGAGTGAGCAGGTTCCGGATGAGGGTACCTGCCAACCCATAGACGCGAGTACGGGTATGGGATGCGTACTGGCCGCAGTTTGGGTTGCCAAAGAAAAGAGTGTGCGCCGTCCATGGCCCCATGACTGCTCTGGTCTATCATAGAGTTGTCGGTGAAAGGCCGCTTTGTTAGCTGTGAGATATACCGCGGCAACAGTGATATTTTCGTCGCGTAGGTCAGGGATAATCTGCCTCGGGTCGCCGTCAGTAGATCCGCCATCCGATATGAGCAAGAAAACACGCTCTTTTTCGCTACTGTGTTGCTTAAACGCCGGCAATGATCGAGTCAGGGCGTCGAGCATCGGTGTCATGCCGTACATGTATTCGCGGAGTGTATCCAGAAGTGTATCACCATTTCGTTGCTCGTCGCCACCAGCACTAGTGGTAGAGTTGCCTTGCAGCCGTTCCAATAGATCGACTACATCAGAAACCGGATGTGTCGCAAATTCGGTAAAATCTGATAGCCACTCCCTGCAGATACGACGCTTCATATCCATAGCTCGAGAGGAGTCTACTGCTTTATCCTCAACGACGTCTCCAAATATCTTGCCCCCAATGCCGCCAAAGGGAACCCCTAGGGCAAGCGCGGCAGGGAGAGATCCTGTAGCTAACCCAACTCCCGCAACTACGGCAGAAAGTATGACTGATTTGCCGGTACCTTTCCCAGTTTTAAAATCCTGAATAGTCTGAGCGTCTGGGATAGCATCGACGAACTCGTCAATTCGCGTCTGATTCCCTCGCACATGCGCATAGACAATACGCGCCTCATTATCCGTCAGCTTTTTGACGATATATTCCGTGATATGAGCAAGGTTGTTTTCATTCGCGATGCCAATGAGAAGGTCATGACCGCTTTTGTCATTTTCGTAATCATCGAACAGGGCCTTAACGACACCGCATAGGTCAATCACCGGCGGGTACCCGGCGTCAGTATTGAGACCGAAGGCTCCGACGAACATGCGAGAGTTAGGGTGGCGATTCTTCTCCGTTTGGGCAAACTTGAGGGCCGCGGATAGAACGGCTCGAAGGCGTTCGTTTGCATCGCCATCGGACTGGTTGACCTCGAGTGCCGTACGCATCGAACCGGATACGTCAAGAAGGCAGCCGATCACGGCCTCGCGGGTGGCAGTCTCGTCAGGCATTGCGAGGGCGGATGTAGACATGGATTGAGTTCTTTTGACTTGGAGGGCAGGAATCCCTCTCGATCCGGGCGAGAAGGCGGGGATTTCTAAAATAGAGCGGCGGCATTACACAAACTTGGGAAGATGAGGGGAAGCCAGCCAGAGCGCCCTGGTTGGCTGGAACACGCACTCTGGCCTTGTGGCGAGACCTCAGTGGTAGACGGAGTGGATGTACGTATTCATTTCCATAGATACGGCGAATCCCATATGATCATGGTCATCAGTAGCTCCTGCATCAGCCCAACCTTTTCCGCATGCCCATCCCGGGGTTGGATTACCATTAGACTTTCGGTGCAGCGTCGCGAGGAAGTAGGTAAAGGCAAGCCGGGGGGCAATGAGCTTGTGCCGTATACTCTTCGTCTTTCCTTACCAATGCCCTTGCTAACCGTTAGACCATCTACAATGGCTATTGCAGCCATTAGCATGGTGAACCCGGCCATAGATACCGAGCTTAGAGTGGTTTCCAGGAACTCCTTACCGCGGTGACCGAGAATCGGGCCGTTGTTGCCTCTTCCCGGGATAGTCGCGTCGCAGGAAGAGATCTAGCTACGCACTTTGAACTCTAGATCAAGAGAGATAAATCAACGAGTCTGGAAGCGAGTTAAGTATAGTTAAACAAAAGGTGTGTGTGTGTGTCTATTTTGTAAAACATAAGAAAAAAAGACAACAAAAAAGAATGCGGTGAGTCGGGATTGAACCGACGACCTTCAGATAGACTGAACCGAAGTTTTCCTTCAGTCTGACGCTCTCCCAACTGAGCTATCCCCGCTTTGGATGATTTCCTGCCTCTCTCTAGTTTAGTGATGTGCTAGCTAGCGGAACGGCGCCTAGAAATGGGACCCGCACGAGAATGGAGCAGTGGTAAGGAATAAATGAATGGCCTCTCTTGCATGAAGGACTATGTTTCTAAATTGTATGTCAGTGGGATCTTCTTCGGTGGGATGAGTCCTTCGGCACCAATGCTGCGCGCCAGACAAATAAGAGATATTGTAGATGTCGCGCAACGAAATACCCAATATCGCCGTATACCGAGCCGTAGGGTGTAGAGCGGCGCAGTTAAGATGTTAGCTCCATGGAACCCGGCTGTATTCCGAGCAACCACCAGAACGCAAGAGGAGACTCGGCTCAAAATCCACCATGCTAGAAGGCTCTCTGTTAATGAGGTGCCCTTGACTGGGGAAACTTGTCTGATTTATTAGTAGGGACATCAGGAGCGAGGAGAAGAGAAAAGATCACAAGTTCGCCCATTCAAACACCGCCCGCGAAACTGGATGCGACAAGCTAAAGGCCTTTTTGATCGAATCGCGTTAGTCGACTCTATCACCGATGCCACCTAACCAGACATATAGGATTGTCTCCAGTAACTGAGCGGGAAGTAATAGACGGTTTAGTGTCACATTTTGTTGAAAAGTTCAGTTGACGGAATTGCTGAGTGGGATATCATTCAGCGTTGCTTCAAATTTTGACGGAGGAGGTCTCCATGTTCCAAACCAAACATTGAAGGAGGTACATGTACCAAAGAAAGAGAAAAACATATCAAGACATATATACAGTTGTGTCGGGCAGTCGACACCTTGGCACTCGCAGCCTGTCACAGCAAAATTTGGTTTCAGCATACCCCGGTCTCAGGTTGTCTCTCCGACAGGCTGCGCCGTTGTCGGGGAAGTGCCCAGCTCTTGCGCATCGGCGGCTTCTTCTGCATCCAATGGCTTCCTACCATAGACAACATAACTATCAAAGTTAGCAACAGACCACCTCTCAAGGTCAGAAATGGGCCGAAGAGAAAACTCACTATGGCCAGTAGCCGTGAAAGCTCAAATTCTTCAGATCCTTCCTCAACAACGCAGAGAAAACAAGAATCTCTTCCTCCGTCCACCCCATGGTCTTTTGGAACAGCCTCATCGTCATACCCTCGAGATTGTTCAACAAGTTATACTGCTCCCAAGCACCGACAAGCTTCAGACGCTCATCGCGGGGCCAGGGGCTGCACGGCATCTTGAAGACTTTCTCGACAACGTTCTCGAGGCCGCGAGCCTCGAACCATCCCCTCCAGCGGCTCGGGTCGTCGATGGGGGTGCCGAATTTTTCGCTGGCGATTTGGACGTTGTTGGCCATGACTTGCAAATGAGAATCTTTGGGGATGCTTCCGTCGTCGCATTTCAGGACGCCGGTGACGCACTGGAACTCGACCCAACCACCTGGTTTGAGATGTCTACAAGGGCTGTTAGCGGCCAGAAAATGATCCCAACGGGTGTGTCTGCAAAACCATTACTTATAACATTGGTCGATAAGCTTGGGAAAGTCTCGGATTGAGAAGATGGGGTCTCGGCAAAAAATGAAATCGGCGGCGTTTTTCTTCCACGTCCACTCTTGCTCGATATCGTCCAATTCGAACTGGCAGTTAGGGGGAACCCTATCCGATGGAAGTTAGAAAAGGAAATACGTCATGGAAGACACTTTGTTTCGACATGCATCGTACCATTCTGGTTGTGTGGGCGCAATGTCGACGCCGAGGATCTAAGACAAAGGTCTTCGTTAGCCGCACGGATGGTTGGCGTAAGAGTATGGGTAGGTAGATGTGGCGTACCTGCGCACCGGGGTATTCCTCCGCCATGTCGATACACCAGATTCCTATATCGCCAGTTAACATGGCCCGAAAGTTCCAAGAACGGGTGCAGCCCTTACCAGTGCCACAGCCCAAATCTAATATTCGCTGGGGATCCTCGATGGGAGCAAAGAAGAGATGCTTATCCAGCAATGCCGAGTATTTGACGTGACAGAGATCGATCCTGTCTAGTTCCTTGTCGTCCATGGGGAATCCATATTCTGTCCCCGGTGGTCAGATATAGACGATTTCGAATCGTTGATGTGGAAGCCACCCTACCCTCTTTTCCATAGGCCGCATAAGTTCGCTGGCCCTCGCCGACCACACCTTTCATTAGGCTCTCGCTTATTGATGTCAGAGATGACTGGACGGTTCCAACATCGGCACCCTGCAGCTATCTATGAGTACGCAACTCAAAGGGGTCAGGGGCTGTCGACCTCGAGATCAACTTGATAGTACCAACCTCATCTTCTGAATCATAAGGGTTCGACTGGCAGGACCGAATCGGGTTAGCGTCCGTTTCAAAGTAGGCGGCATCAAGTGTTGTCAGCTGGCAACGCATATGCTCTCCCTGCTTCTTCCAGCAATCCTCCATCGCCGGCCGTGAAAGCGATCGAGACAAAATCGCGCAACGCAACGGCCGGTTTCATGGAAGCGGATATCTAGAAATGAGATGCACATACTTCATCTGCTTGGATGAAGTCCTCCGGGGTCTCGGACATCGTGTAATAACGGACGAAAAAAGTCGACGTAAACGACGCTTTGTTCGACTCGGTAAGGCGACTCAACTCGATTCGCGCGAACAGCTTTTGTGAGGCAAGGATCAGATTTTAGCCACAAAAAAATGGAGGACTAAGCCGATAAGGAGGGGGAGCAGGAGGAAATCTCACGAGGGAGTGGACCACGCCGGAATGGAAGGGGCAGGGATGGGATATATTGGTTCGGTTTGTGTAACCTCACAGAGAATGGAGGGAGAAATGAGAAATCTGGGGCAGATGAAGTGGCCAGGTAGATGTTAAATGTTCGAAATGGGTCGACTACGGCTTGGGAATTGGACCAAGAGGCCAACATGAAGGTTGTCTTGGAGGTGGTGCCCCTTGCGTGAACCTGCCGCCGGTCATGGCGCACGGGACGGGCGTTGGGTGTTTGGTACGCACCTTTCTCCGTTGTTGGTTAGCCTACGCGGTGTCGATCAGCGATCAAATTGATGCTTATGCTTATCCGCGGTTCAATCGTTCACGGTTCCATGTGGCTCATTGCAATGTGGCCTGGTTTCTCCCCCTTCACACACTCATCTCCCCCCCTTCGGCTGCAGTTGTCATGTTCTCGGTCGAGCAACGACCTACTAGTTTGGTTTACCGAAGCCGAGGCGCTCGAGCTCATTACTCCCCCACCTTCTCCCTGTTTACTCTTGGCTGCCCTGTGGCCCCCTTTTATCCAGTCAATCGTGCCCGCAAGCACCATCGGATCGCATAGTGGAGTGTAGATCTGGTCTACTGGCACCACTTTCCGGACATCAGACCCGCTTTGCCGTTCAATGTTGGTGCCATATTTCGGACGTTGTCTCGGTAGTGCCGTGCACTGTCCTAAAACCCACCACTATGACCCGCTATTGACGGCTACGAAGCCGTCCCAAATAGTGTAGACACAGGAATAGCGCCTGAAGCATTGACAGTTATATAACCAAACACACTCCACAACCCCGCAAGTCCAAAGATTCTGTTTCCCGCTAGTCCCTGGTCCGCAAGCCTGAGGAAGCACCAGGCACCGCACTATTTCGTGAAGGGAGCCCTCGCCTGCAGGTCGACAGCCAGTTTCACTACTTCTTCACAAAACAAGCAGGAAGCATGAGGCCGAGCAGTGAAAACCTAGAAAAGAATAAAAGACATCTTCAGGGAAGATACCTACCCATCTCTTGATTGGATTGCATTGCTCGATTGGCCGCCACCATCCCGGCATCCCCTCCACCTATCCGACTGATGCCACCATGCTCAGAAGATTTGTTGGTCTCTGGAGGCAGACCCGCATCGGAAAGACCACATGCACATCCGCTCGCCTTTGCACCCTGGTTCCCGTTCTAGTGCTAGCTCCGCCTTAGCGTCCGATCCCCCCCACTCTCGCTCTGCGAGCAATTCAAAGGGGACGTTGAACTGCTACTCTGCGATTGCGGATAACCAGGATCCGCTTTACCAGAATTCCTCTCGAAAATCTGACGCTAGCGGTAACTAGGGGGCGCACGGGTAGGTTGAGATTAAAGCAAGACTGATCAGTTCCATACTTCGTACTTCTTGATTCCATACTTTGTTTTTGCGACCGAATGTCCACGCAAACTAATACCGATGAACATGGCAGCCCCAAACCCAGCGAAATTCGAATTCTTGAACTGAAGCTTGCCAATGATCCTTCGCAACTTCTTGAATGTGAAGTTATTTCTTGCTGCCTATGCACCACAGCGTCCTTTGAGTCGATTTCTTACGTCCGGCGAGACCCAGAACGCCACTCTTGCCCAAAAGCGTCCCAAGATTAGCCATAGCCTTACATCCGCCTTGGGGTGCCTCCCAAAGAGAGCGCCGTAGGGTTACTTTCGGCGGATACTGTCTATATCGACCAAGACAACATCGAGGAGAAATCTTAGCAAGATGCTCCCATGGGCGCCATACAAGTCCGGAGCCAGCTTACCTAGCGAATCTACTGCCCACAGCGCGATGCGATCGACAGTTGCCCGAATCTAGCTGAACATGCGAAGCGACTGGGCCTGTCATCTTTCATATGCCAGGCAACATCATGTTCCTGGCCCTTTGGCAGAGGGGTCGGCGGGCACGGTGGACAGGCCGGGGCCGCTCTCGCATGACGTTTAGCACTTCCGAAAGGAAATTATCGATGCAAAGCTCGAGAGTGTTACCGATCTGCCTTGGTTTAGCAGGCTTTGGATCGTCCAAGAAGTCGCACTCTCCGTAACGGTATGATTGCATTGCGTCACTCTGGCGTTGGGATGGGATTTACTTGCAATCATCGCCATCCTAACCAGAGCCGTAGTTGAGGATTGCAGACAACTAGGTGACGATACCTGTCTCGCGTTTGGAATATGGTTTCTCTACGAAACGAAGACGGATTTACTTCAAATCCTTACCTGCATTTTTGAATCCGCAATTTGGTGAGAGGTTTTTACGAAGCCGTCTCCATGAGTGGAAGGACTCATCATGGAAGCAAACCTTCGTACTCAATACTCTCCAGTTGCCAGACAATCTGACAATAGCAAACATCTCGCCGACGTCTATAAAACTTCGCAAGCCAGTGTATTTAGGCTGGGGATCTCAAAGTTTTGTACTACTCTGGTCATTATCTACGAAAACAGCCCCAGCATCTAATGGGAGATAACTCCTCTCCAGCAGAATATCTTCTATCCAGGCATTGAATATCCGTCTGCCGAGCAGCATTATCCTTTGTTATGATTTGACTGGAAAGGTCGACAATGGTGGTATGGTTGGCTTTGGTGCCTAAAAGGATGATGGTTTAGGGACGCATTCTAAAGAAAGAATACAGCGTCTTTTAACCCAACTCGAGATAGACCCTCATCGTACAGTCTCCCATGGATGAAGAGGGCCTCCCAAAAGCGAATTCAAAGGCAATGGGTGAGCTGGCCAATGCATTTGTATGCAGCCTATGCGGAGAACATCATCCCTTTCGGCTAATGATGGAGCGAGTCCCACGTACCGCTGCATAGTGCCGACCGACTTAGCCGTTTGAAGAACATTGTTTACGGCTGGATGGCTAGCAAGGGCCGGATTAACGCCGCTCGTACATCTTCGCCAGTGTGGTATTTCTCTGCTGGTTTCGGGGCTTCCTGGATGTATAGTGACACCAACCGTATCATACCCTCCGCATCAAAACGGAAGTCTCCCAACACGCTTGTTCTCGTCGGAGGTGTGACTGGGGATCGCACAGCTATCTCTGGGGGCCCCGGACCTTGGGAGACGGAAAATTCGATCGATATGGAGTCAAAAACCTGAGATTCCACTCCGGGAACGTGTGCTCCAAAATTTGACTTGACCACGCTTACACGAGACGACGGACCGTCCATTACACAGGAAGGAAATTTGGAGATATCCCATACCGGGGGCTTGCCGACTAGTTCTGACGGCCCGCAGGTAATCTGTTGGAATATCGCCAGGTTGATTTGCGGCTTGACACTAGAACTGAGGCGGTGTGAAGGATGTCCCCAGATATTCGAAATCGGTACATGTCGTCCTCTCCAAGTGAGGAGATCGGCGGGAGGAGCCTGTGGAAAGATGGGAACGGGATGACCTGGCGGGAGTCGAGATGTGTGCGGGTGTGTTTGCGAAAGTGTGGACAACGGCGAGATGAGACCGACGACAGGAGAGTAGTTGGACTCTATGCCACCTCACGATGTCCCTTTGGACATGCGCTGCACGCCTATTACCCAACTGTAAGTGGTGAATTTCCTAGAAGCCTTGGATGACTCGAGATTAGGGTGGTCAGTGGTAATCTGTTATGAAGGATCAATCGCGTGAGTATTAAAACAAAATGAAGCTCGATGGATCAGCTCGGATCCAGGATTAGAAGATTGAACATCAATGCTAGATACTGGTCAGACACTGATCGACAATAACGTTGAGGGCGCGGCCATTTGAGATACAGCCCGCCGAATCAAGGGAAGACAGCGATGACGGCAACGTACTTAGGGACTTGACTTGCCTAATTGGCCTGCAACGAGTTGTCATCGCCCAGAGAAGACAGCACAGTAAATACTGATGCAGCTAAACCAACCTGACTAAACCTAACATGCCTTACCTGCCAAAAGATCTGTGAGAGGACCTAAAGTCGCGCAGACGTTCCAATCATGTGCGGTATCTTCTCTGGCTCACAGTATCGCTGGAGGTTCTGAACGCGACGGTATTTGCCTACCAAGTCTGTTCATGTCCGTTTCGGTCAATCGGATTTCGGTGAAGCTGCGCGTTACCTAGAAGCCTACATCCCTTCAGATGATTGCGTACAACGAAAAGCGACGGAGATGGCATCAAATTGGGACGGGGCCTGGCGTACTCGGACTCTCGGACCCCCCACAAGCAACCTGAGAGCCTCTGCTGACGAAAGGAACATAGATCAAGCACGTCTAGAGCAATCGTGGTGCATAAACAACCAAAGGCAACAGAAGTGTAACTGAATATTAAAACCAGACCAGAATGAGAAATGAGCGAGGAACGGTCGAGTCAGGGTAGAGGTCGCCATATTACGTAGCATTGTCACAGCGGATGGCTCTTCCTATGTAAACTCATCATCACTGCGCCACGGTATTTGATGGGCCATTGATACCTTTGAGAACTTCCTTGTTGCTGGGGAATCTAGACCGGGTTGAAGACACCGTAATCTCGGTCAGGGCGCACTCCGGTATGGTAATGGATGATGCCATGGCCCAATTTCAAGAAGAGCAGGGGTTTATTCGGTGTATCCTTGGCCAGCCGCCCTCGACTTGAGCCTCAAAAAACTCGCGTGGCATCTGCTACCGATAGCACAGATCTTACATCCCCTCTCGTCTATTTATCACCGAGATGCGTGCACGCATAGCCGGGAGGGCAGATCCTAAGGTCACATTGATAATGCAGGGGCTGCGATTGCGAATAAGGCTATTGGCAACGGGAGGAGCAGAGAATGAAATTAACGACGCTTGGGAGGACGTCTGGTGGGGCGACCGCCGAGTTCC